CTATATAGACGTTATTATTGCGATTTGCGCGAATTTTTCGCGGTCATTATACAGGGAGAAATTTGGGCGAAAGTAAATGATTTTGCTGCAAATTTTTCTTCGGATAGGTCGATTGCTAAGTTTTCGGCTCAAATAGGAAAATATTGATTTTTTGTCGAAAGGTGGACATTTGATATTGTAGATTGTAAATAATCTGGTATAGTCAATAGGAAAATAAGTGGAATATAGAGAATCTCATGATATTTTTTTCAAGTATTCTTGTCAATTCCCAAGATGTTGTTTTGTTGTTGTCAAGATCAGGTATTCACGAGTAATCATTAAAATCTTCTTTTAAGAAACTCTGTACAAACAACACACCCATCTTTATGAGTATATTCGAAAATGCTATATTAGCATATATTAAAATTGATAAGGTACGTGTCTCATTGTTATAAGCTAAATCTAGAATTTACTTAGGTGGATTAATTCCAACACAACAAGATCTACACACACCTCTATAGCTTCCTTCGGGAGGAGTGGTTGGTAACCCCTTCCCCCGGCATGAAAATAAAGCCTACATTATTAAATGATTAATTTAGTATTAACTATTTTTTAAAAAATAAATTAATATAATTTTTTAAAACAACTTTCGTATAGAACTTTTTTTAAAAAAAAAATAAACACACTGTTTTTTTTAACAGTTTAAAAATCATGCGCGGGAAAAACAAAGAGGTAAGTGGGAAAATTGAGAAAGAACATAGCCTTTAAATCATTAAAATCTACACTAAACGCTACTCCCTCCGTCCTAAAATGTAGCTATTTCTAGCACAGTGTATTGTCCCAAAATGAAGCTATTTCTTCACCTACCTCCTCCTCTCAACCAATCACAACCATTCTTCTTCACCTACTTTCTCTTTTCAACCAATCACACACTTCCTCTAATCATTCTCACATATTTTCTTTCAACCAATCACACACTTCCTCCAATCATTCATTCTCACCTATTTTCTTTCAACCAATCACACACTTTCTCCAATCATTCTCACCTACTTTCTTAGTACCCGTACCAATATCAAAAATGGCTTTATTTTGGGACGGAGGAAGTAATAACAATGATCGCGTCCAGGTTCAATCAACAGTCAAACTGATCTCCGAAAACAGATAAAAGCCCAAAAGATGGCGCAGTGCAGTTCAGTGTGCCGCCAAGCCTACAGTGTGGTATTGTTGACGTTAAAAATGAGCCCAGAAGATGCCCATCCAGTCATTTAACTGGACTGAGACCATGAAAAGTTTATTTATCCTGATAGACCAAAATCTTGCTCAGATTGATCTGCCTTTTATGGGGGTTTATAGAAAGTTATTCGATTGGTAGAAAATTATACTTCCAATCAAGCATCAAGCATAATTAATAAAATTTCTCGCGTAAGAAATTAAGAGCAAGTTTAATAGTATAGACCATCAATAGCTCCAAATCATCTATAACCAATGCAATAGCCAATTCATAGAATATTGCTTACTATTCTATTAATACTTATTCTATTAATACTTAGTTCCACCTGTCATATACACATTACGTTGTTTATAGAAGTTTATAGAAGGTTTGTAGCCTACTATTGTACCAGCTCCAATCCAATACAATTCCATAGGAAACTAATCGCCGAAGGAAATCAGGTCTTACTCTCGACTAAAGAAAATAACTGTATGGACAAGTTGAATGCAAAAGCCACATATGAGATGGCGAGTGCCAGAATCTTTGCCCAATTCCTCTCGGAGATTGTTGTTAAGATTTGCATCGTTATAATCCTCGGATAGTTATGTTAGGTTAATGTCGCTAATTGCCGTTCACAATGGTCGCGTCCAGTCACAGGCTCACAGCTTCAATCAACAGCTCTTCAAACGGGTAAATAAGCCGAGAAGATGGCCGGCCCAATATAGGCAGTATAGCCCCACCCATAAAACAAAACAGTGAGGTATCGTTGACGTTGAGTTTCATTATCTGCCAACAGCGAGGAGTCGTTGATAAAGTTATCCTGAAGGAGAAGAACTTCCTCAGATTGATCTTCCAACAGCGCGAGGAGTCGTTGATAAAAGTTATCCTGAAGGAGAAGAACTTGATCTGCCAACAGCGCGAGTCGTTGATAAAAATTGAAGGAGAAGAACTTCCTCAGATTGATCTGCCTTTCGTTAAAAAGTGATTCAGTTAATAGAAGACCGTATTACCAATCAACGCTTTCGACTTAAAATCCGAAAGTTAAAATACTAACTCAGAAAACATATCTCGACTGAACATCCATTAGAACAACCGAGAGAAAATAACCTTCTAAAAAAACAACCGAGAAAAAATTGATAAGAGGGAACTGTATGGACAAGTTGAATGCAACAAGCCATATATGAGATGGCGAGTGCCAGAATCTTTGCCCGATTCGTTTCGGCAACGTACAGCGCTGACAACGCTATTGAAATGAGCGCATCAGAGACTCTAATTTATTGCCTTGCAAAAAAGAAAGCACAGCAAGTGAAAAGAAAATTCAAACAAAAACGATAGATCAATATGAGAACGCTCTAAGATGGCATTAGACTCACGAAATATTTGTGCAATCAACACAAGGTATGATTGATTCAGAGTTTGATGGTATAAAGAGCAAATCATCATCGCCTAATGCACAACTCCAGGCATCGCATCAAAAAGTAAAAGAAAAGAGGAAGATGGATTGAGAACAAAAGAAACGAAACCACCAAAGATCTGAATATAGCGATAGAAGCTAGAAGAGGATCGGCGGACGCTGGCGGAAGACGGCGGCTCGGGGAGCTCCTATGACATCAGGCGGCTTATATAGATGGGAAGCCGGAGGGGGGTGGGGTATGAAACCCTAAAGGCCATGATTTGACATATTTACCCCTGCCGAGTTGTAGCCCACATGCGGCCCAGTTGGACCAATGAGCCCATGCAAACTATACGGGCCTGGATGAACTAACGAGTCAACCAAGGAATAAGTTCACTTTGTGACCCTCGAAAGTGATCGAAATCTAATCCGTAACCCTAACCACAAAACCAGATATCTCAACCCCTTAACTTTTAAAACCGGTGCAATATGACTCCCTCGGTGGTTTTGGAGGACGGTTTCGCTTACGTAGCGCCTACATGGCCTCCCAGTCATCAAATAAATTAAAAAAATAAAGTAAGGCCCACCTCTGACTCTCCTCCTATATTCTCTCTTTCTCTGTTGGCAGCGGTGGCGGGAGGACGAGGGGAGCGGCGGTTGGCGGCATCGGGGCGCAGCGCGGCGGCTCGGCCGCGGAGGCTCGTGGCAGTGGGAGGACGAGTGGAGCGGCGGCGACGGCTGGTGGCAAGCTCCCATCGGGGCGCAGCGAAACCGGGGGCGACGGTTGGCGTCTGGGACGACGAGCCAAGGAGGACGACGGCAATAAACATTTCTCCTCCGCCTTCGAACCCCACTGCAAACCGCCACCGTCCTCCATGCGCCGCCGCCGCCCGGCGAAGCTCTCGTGGCGCTCAAACCGCTCCGCGCCCTCGAACGCCACTGCGTTGCGGATCTCCCGCGCGAACATCTCCTCCACCTTGGCCCTCGCGGGTCTAGTCTCCAGCAACCCCGCCGCGTCCACCGCGTCGAATGCCGCGTCGTAGTACCGTAGGTAGTGCATGCGCGAACCGCGCATCCCACCGCCCGGAGTTGAGGCCGCCGCCCTCGTGCTCGCCGAGGAGGAGGATGGCGGCGCCCGTGCTGCGCGCTAGCCGTGCTTCGATCTCCTGCAGCTCCTGCCTGGACTCGGCGACTCCGGTCGAACATGTGCGGCCACATGCGCACGATGCGTAGCGCGAGCGCCTCGGTGAAGTAGGCGGCCACGCTGTGCATTGGCGTGGGCCCCGCCGGCGAAGCCATCTCGCCGAGCCGGGCCAGGTAGTAGTTGGCGACTTGGCTGCCTCGTGGTTACCGGCGGAGAGGGATTCGGCGCATGTCAGGACTCAGGAAACTTGCAATTCGCTCACAGCCCACACGCTCGACCTCACTGAATCTCTGAAACTCTGAAGATTGTCAGTCTGTGAATAGTAAACTGAAAAAACGAAGAACGGAGTTCTGTTCGTTTGTGTGCTGCTTAAGTCTCACCGCAGCTTTTCTGTTTTCTTCTCTATTTATTCATCTCCATTAGGAGTTCATTACATGCATAACTGGAAAGAACGAGCCAGACTTTAGCCAGCCACTACGTGCATGCAAAACAGAAATCAAAAAGCTCAAGATTACAAAATATCCATCAACTCACGCGGTGAGCGCGCGCACCAGCTCCATCGCCTCCTGCTCCGCCTGCCCCGGCGCAGGCACGCCGTTTCTCGCGTCGAACTCGGGTGGCAGCGGCGGCGGTGGCATCATCGCCTACGAACCACCAAGATTCCGACGCGAGCCAACTTCCTCTTCTGTCGTCGCCGTCGTCCCGCTCCTGTTCCCACTCCCTCCCCGCCGCCGACTGCCTCCAGTCGGGACTATCCAAGCAAAGCCGCGGCTGAGCGGGGACGAGGAGCCTCGCCCTCCTCGTCGGTGCTGAACGGCGCGAGTGGACGGAGCGGCAGCCGGATGTGGCCCCGACCCCGCCAGTGCAGTTGATGGAGATGTGGTCCAGCGACTCGCGAGCCGTCGAAGACCGCACCGGTAATTGCGAGGGCGAGGACGACGAGCAACATCTTGGGCCGCCGCTACCACCATTGCCCTCGTCCTCCCACTACCGCGAGCCGCCGACCGCGCTGCGCCCCGATGCCGCCAGCCGCCGCTGCTCCCCTCGTCCTCCCGCCGCTGCTGCCAACGAATAAAGAGAGAATAGAGGAGGAGAGTCACTGACAGGTGGGGCCCTCTTTATTTTTTAATTTATTTGATGACTGGGATGCCACGTAGTTGTCACGTCAGCGAAACCGTTCTCTAAAACTAGGGAGTTAAATTGCACTGGTTTTAGGAGTTGAGAGTCGAGATATCCGGTTTTATAGTTTAGGTTTATGGATTAAATTTCGATAATTTTTAAGGGTCACAAAATGAACTTATTCTGTCAACCAACTATAGCCCATGACAAACCAATTCCATGCCATGGCCGGTACAGATCGGTGCATCTCACTTCTGTTCTGCCTGACACGTCTCTGCGTGTACATGCCTATACGCATTTCATATTGGTAACTTGTCTGCAAGAATGCCACAAATCGGTGTGACATACACAAATCTATCGAAGCGAATTTGAAACTGAACTCAAAATTCAGCGGGTGAAAAGGAAAAAAAAAAAGAAAAGAAGCAGCAGCAAACGAAGAACTCAATGCAAGACGGGTCAAGAATTATTCGTTCCTGCACTTTATGTACGCGCGAGTGCAGGAGTCGATGATCAGCAGACGAGGCTGCTCTTCTTCCTGGCGACGAAACTCCGCCAGTAGGTGGTCACCTCCTTCTCTATCTCCCGCACGGTCTTCTTGGCCGGCTCGGCGGCGGCCTTCTTGACGGCGTGGGCGTCCATATCGGCCACCGTCTTGGTGAGGTCGGTGATGAGGCGCTCGGCGAGGCCGCGGCTGAAGTCCTCGCGGATGACGACGCGCATCACGGCGACGTGCTCAGCGTCGGCGGGCATGGTGTACGCCGGCACGATCCAGCCGAAGCGGCGGAGGCTCTCGGCCACCTCGAACACCGTGTACCGCGACGAGTCCTTGAGGGAGAAGGCCACCAGCGGCACGCCGGAGTCCTTGGACACCACGTCGAAGTGGCCCGTCTTCTCGATCCCCTCCCGGAGCACCGTCGCGTTGTCCCGGCAGTTCTGCATGATGTCCTTGTACCCCTGCATCACGAACAGCAACATTCGGTTTCGCATGATCAAATAGGTACAGCCGACAGGATCCCAACAAACGATGCAACCATTCGGAATGCATGAACTTGAATCCAAACATCCAGGGTTTCTCGCTGATGCAATCAACACACATGATTCCGTGTAGTTGCAAAAAAAGAGTAGTTATATTACCTCGAATCCGAGACGAATGAGCTGGTAATACTGCGCAATTATCTGGTTCGATCCTATTATCAGAACAGGGTAGAAAAATCAGATTACTGGATGTGCAATTATCCAAAGGTAATCACGTATGCAAAACGGGCATGCACCTTTGGAGAAGTTGAGCGTGAAGGTTGGCTGGTCGGCGCCGAGGTAGTTGATGTGGAAGATGAGCTCATCGGGGAGGTCCTCCTTGTTGCGCCAGATGACCCACCCGACGCCGGCGTAGACGAGCCCGTACTTGTGGCCGCTGACGTTGATGCTCTTCACCAGCGGCAGCCGGAAGTCCCACTCCAGCTCCGGGTAGATGAACGGCGCGATGAACCCGCCGCTCGCCGCGTCCACATGGATCGGCGTGTTCCACCTGTCATGCATTCTCAGATCGATCAATGATCTTGACTTCTTGAGTTAATTTTGGCATTTTCGTGCAGTGAATGCAGAGATCGGCGAGGTGTCTTACCCTGTCTCGGCGTTCTTGGCGGTGAGGAGGTCGTTGAGCATCTTGACGTCCTCGAACTCGCCGTTGAGGGTGGAGCCGAGGATGGCGGCGACGCAGATGGTGTTCTCGTCGACCATCTCCACGGCCTTCTCCGGGTTCATCACGTAGTACCCTTGGGTCAGCTTCACCTCCTTGAGCTCCACCTCGAAGTAGCGCGCGAACTTCTCCCAGCACACCTGCACGTTGGCCCCCGTCACGATGTTGGGCTTGTCGTGGGGCTTCCCCTCGGCCTTCATCCTGTTCTGCCACTTCCTCTTGAACGCCAGCCCCGCCAGCATGATGGCCTCCGACGACCCCACCGTGCCCACCCCGACCGCCGTCTCGTCGTCCCCGATCGGCGCGTTGAACAGATGCGCGATCATGTTCACGCACCGGTTCTGTTCATCGGATCCGTGTTAGACATGATGCGTTGTGCAGATGCAGAGGTGTTTGTTGTTGTCGTGGTGGTTGTTTACCTGGAGCTCGGTGGTGACGGGGTACTCATCCATGTCGACGTAGTTCTTGTTGATGGCGGCCATCATGAGCTTGTCGCACTCGGGCTCCATCCACGTGGTGACGAAGGACGCCAGGTTCAGGCGCGGGTTGCCGTCGAGCATCAGCTCGTCGTTGATGATCTGGTACGCCGCGTCCTTGGGGATCGACTTCTCCGGCATCCTGAACCTCGGCAGCGCCGTGCGCACGTACCGCGACGCGAACGTCGAGGAGTGCATCGACTCCCCTGTCTGCGCCGTCGACAGCGCCATATGCTCCTAATTCGCCTGATCTGATCTCTGCCTTAGTTACTCCGGCTGCGACGATCGATCGAGCAGTGGTGTGGGGGTTTGATAGCCGCTAGCTAGGAGAGGGGACGACGACGCGGCAGAGCGCGCGGCGTCCCGTGTATTTTATAGGAGGAGACGGGGCATGCGCGCGACGTGGTGGGGGCGCCACGCTTCTTGGGCGCGAGGAGGAGGGAGAGGAGAGCGAGCGCTGCGTGCGCGCGCGTCCGCGGCCACGCCATCCGCTCCTACATCTCGCCGGGTGACGTGCCACGGCTCTCGGCATCTCGGACTCGGCACGGGCGGGGTGCCACACGACTCTCGCTCTCTCTCGCTCACCAAAGCCACCGGCCCATATAAAAGCCCAAGATGTAAGAGAAAATTTAGCCCAGATGCGGCGGCGGCGGCCCAGTTTATCCGTAGCATCCACCGCACTGGCAAATCAAGCGGCAGTGACGCAGAGTATTAGCAGCAGGGGAGCCCATGGCGTCGCCGGGGAGCAGCGGGCGGTGCTCGAGGACCCCGGGGTTCCCGGCGGGGCCGCTCGGCGGCGGAGGGCGCGCGGTGCCGGCGGTGGGGCTCGGAACGGCGTCGCTCCGGTCCGTGGGGGAGGAGAGCTTCAGGGGCGCCCTGCTCGCCGCGCTGGAGGTCGGGTACCGCCACATCGACACCGCATCGGTGTACGGCTCCGAGCGGGTCGTCGGCGAGGCCGTGGCCGGGGCGGCGCGGCGCGGGGTCATCGCGTGCCGCGAGGAGGTGTTCGTGACCACCAAGGTGTGGTGCACGCAGTGCCACCCGGACCTCGTGCTCCCCTCCCTCAGGGAGAGCTTGCAGTAAGGAAACAAGAGGCTTGGGTTCTTTCTTCAGTTTTCTTTCTCTTGTTGTCCTTTTACCATGTCAATACACCATACTCTAGTAGTCATCGTGGTAAAATATTTGGTTCTTTAAACAGAGACTTGCATCATGCTAACTGGCATGCAGCTTACCACTTTTAGATGTTCATTTTATTACGGCAACTAAGAACATATGTAAGAAATGTGCAGAAGAAATGAATCTAAAAGTTGATTATTACATTGAGAACCAACTCTTCAGTAGTTGAAGTCCACCACTACAACTGTGTAGATACATGTTTCGTTCAATTCTTTTTTAACAATGACATTTTATTCATAGGTGAACATATGTAACATTGGTACTTTTTTGGAATTGAAGTTTGTAACGCTGGTGCAAGACTGACATTATTCACAGTTTTATCTGCCAGACGCACACGCACTGGAGGATATTTCTTATGCTTTGGGAACTAATTTTAAAACATTTGAAAGTTCAATGAAGGAAAACAATGTTGCTTTCATTAATCACCTAATTGGTACCTTAAAAGGTAAAATGTAAAAGCAGATTAAGTTTCTGAATTTGGTCACTTGATGCTAAATATGATTCTTGTCTTGTCATATTCAGGAACCTTCAAATGGAATATGTTGATATGTACTTGGTCCACTGGCCAATGAGCGTGAAGCCCACTAAACCTCACTACCCAATGAAAAGAGAGGATATCATGCCAATGGATTTGAGAGGCGTATGGCAAGCAATGGAGGAATGTCACCAGCTTGGCCTTGCAAAAATGATTGGTGTTAGCAATTTCACTACAAAAAAATTGCAAGAACTACTTGCCTTCGCAAAAATTCCACCAGCAGTGAATCAGGTTAGTGTTGATCAACTGTGCAATCAGTGGTGAAAGCAATCTTCCTTTGTATATTATTATTTGGTATATTGAAATAACCAAGAAGCTCAAACTGATTTAGTGAAATCTCATTTGTAAAAGATTGCACTTGAGAAGTGTTCCATACATATGAATGTTGCAATCAGTGTTTGATGCCTGGGGAAACTGTTCAGGTTGAGTTAAATCCAGTCTGGCAGCAGAAGAAACTGATGGAGTTCTGCAAAGCGAAAGGCATTCATGTGACTGCTTACTTTCCCCTGGGAGGCCGGCATAGTACATCCACAGTCAATCCAGTCCTGGATTCAGATGTTCTGAAAGAGATTGCCGCAGCCAAGGGGAAGTCAGTGGCTCAGGTATTACGTGTGCTCTCTCAAATTCAAATGTAGGAGCTCTGTTGGCTGTACCAGGGTTTGCCCCATCAGTCACCCTTATGTGCCAAACTTTTACATCAACCATGAATTGGTAGAAAGTTTGACAAAAATAAAAAAGAAGCAACAGGCACATGTGAGCGGAACTTGTCAAAATATCACCAAATAGTCCTCATTCCACATTTAGTGGTTTAATGCTTTCTAGTTTCTATTGTTGATCTTTAAAGGCTCTCACATCTCTATCATATCAGCTAGTACTACCGTTCATTAGGTTTTTGAAGTTTTGCACACTCTACTAGTGTACTATGCTCAACTTTTGTATTTGATTCCTTCTTGTGATCAGGGACAGATCCAGGAATAAAAAGTTGTGGGGACTAAACATATCGAGTACACCGGCATAAACACATCATATCAGTATTAAACTATGCTAAAATGCTATTAACACACCCTATTTTATCAACCTTGGCAAAAAAAAAAATTGAAATGGGGGCTCAGGGGGATATCCATGGGTTCGGTGGGTGCAGGAGTCCCCCCTGCACCCACGTTGGATCCGCCCCTGCTTGTGATCAAAGTGGGCATTATAACATGTTTTGGAACTTCATTAGATTTTGGACCAAGACCAATTTCACTATAAAATTTTACATTTCAGTGCTTAATATGTTTTTCTAATGTAGGATTTCCAGAATAGTTAGGAATTCACTACTATCGGCCTGCCATACTCTTGTGTTAGTATCCCACTGTTTTAGCATCGTAATTGACTCCTGTTTTCCTTCAGATCTCACTTAGGTGGATCTACGAGCAAGGAGCAAGCATGGTGACCACGAGTACGAAAAGGGAGAGGCTTAAGGAGAACATCGATATCTTCGATTGGCAATTGAGCGATGAAGATCGGCTCAAGATAAGTCAGATTCCACAGCACAAGACGGTCAGCGTGCTGTCGATCCTCTGCCCCGATGGTGTCTCCAGCGTTGAGTTGTCGGAGGTTGACGTTGTTGAAGTGTAGCGGTCGTTTTCGCGTTCCTGTTCACAGTAAACTGAACATTTAGGGCATGTTTAGTTCCCAAAAAGTTTTTCTCAAAAAAATCACATCGAATCCTTGTAGACATGTATGGAGCATTAAATATAGATAAAAAAAACTAATTGGACAGTTATGATGGAAATCACGAGACGAATCTTTTGAGACTAATTAAGTCGTTATTAGCACATGTGGGTTACTGTAGTACTTATGGCTAATCACGGACTAATTAGGCTTAAAAGATTCGTCTCGCGATTTCTCCCATAACTGTGCAATTAGTTTTTCTTTTTATCTATATTTAATGCTTTATACATGTGTCCAAAGATTCGATGTGATGTTTTTGGAAAAAAATTTTGGGAAACTAAACGGGTCCTAAGTTGTATACCGGTGTTTGCTGTGGTCAGAAAACATGGAGATGGAGGTACGAAGTACAATTCCTGTCCCCTTTGAGTTCTAAGCTTGGAACACACTCTCTCTCTCTCTCTCTGCGCTAGTGTGCGCGCCAAGAAGCCTGTACTACATTCGTTCTAAAAAAGAATAAAGGATATGTCGTGTTGGACATGAACATAGTCTTCAATATGTATGTTTTATCATTAATATCTCAAAACTATATATTTGTAAAAAAATATTAAAAATATAACTATATGAAAGTTTTTTCATGGTAAATCTACTATTATAAGTTTCACATTTCAAATCATGATAATTTTTTATCTATTAATTATTTAAGATTTTTTATGTTTGACTGCTCGTACTCTAGACTGGTTGAGCACGTCATGCAGTACGTCACAGAGTTTTTTTACAAATTTATTTTCCACTCATCGGTGAATCATTCACATACTCCCTCCGTCCTATAAAAAACCAACCTATTAATATATATGACACAGTCTAATACTACGAATCTAGATATATGTGTCCAGATTCATTGTACTAGAATATATCTTTCGTTTTTTACGGGACGAAGCGAGTAATTGGCCCCAGGTGGTCCTTGTGACACAAAGCTTTTTGCTAGTGCGTATGCAAGTCGTCGTCGCATGGAGCCAGGGTCGGCCCTGACTTTTTATGGCCCGGTGCGGAACAAAGAAATGAAGGCCCCCATTCACCATAAAAATACAAGATAATATTTAAAAATTCATTGTCATTAACGGATTTCACACTAATAAGTTTAAAATGAAAAAAGAAATGTCTCTAGATCATTTAAAACAATTTATTCTAACAGTTCTAGATATAAAATCAGTGATGATAGTGTCAATATCAATCTCATCCCGCAGCCTCGAACTATCATTGATACAAAAATCGAAATTAGTTTGAGTACATCTAACTGTTAGGTAGGGAAAATATAGACAAGGGAATATGATTGAGGAAGATTTTGAATTGAACCTGCAGACTATGGCAGTCACGAAGAGATTAGAGATGCAAGCAATCGGGCAATGGGATGGGCATGACAAGCAAGTAGCCATGAACTCACGATCTGCTGTGACTGCGGGCTGCAGCGGCCGGGCGGCGTCGCAGCGACGCGCCGTCTCCGCGTCTCATGAAGTCTAAGTAGTCACGATATGCTCGATCGCCAATCGGTTTTCTGTCTTTCCTCTAAGCCTATCAGGCCTGGTATCATATTTTGGAGTCCCCTAATTTTTGCAGGACCAGTGTGATCGCACCGTCCGCACTGGCCCAGGGCCAGCCCTGCATGGAGCCAGAAAATGAAATGCTGTCACGCGCCCACGCCTGTGGTTGATAATTGCTCCTTTCTCGAGCATCTTCATGCCCATCGTACATTCCACTACTCGAGTCCACAACCAACTTTCGTCCTGACTCTACCAACTCAATCATCGTTCGTCTGCAAAATAATCCGGCCATCCGCTGCATTCTCTTCCATCGGGCAGGCGGCAGGGCCATGGCGGTGGTGGTTCCGGAGGCGGTCCTGAGGCACGGCGACGCGAGGCCCATGCCGGCGGTGGGGATGGGCGTGGCGGAGTACCCAAGCACGCCGGAGAGGACCAGGGACGCCGTGCTGGCGGCGCTCGAGGCGGGCTTCCGCCACTTCGACACCGCCTCCCTGTACCGCACGGAGGCGCCGCTCGGCGAGGCCATCGCGGAGGCCACCCGGCGCGGCCTCCTGGCGTCGCGGGAGGAGGCGTTCGTGACCACCAAGCTGTGGTGCACCCAGTGCCACCCTGACCTCGTGCTCCCGTCCCTCCGGGAAAGCCTACGGTATATATATGCTCTCTGTTTTATGGGTAACTCGTGTTATAAAACCAACACCGAAATTAAAATCGGTAGCTAAACGCAAAAGAACGTCGTAGCTCGAAGATCCAAACACGACGAGCACATGATGTTTATGATCTTGTGAGGTCATGTTAGGAACCTGCAAATGGAGTACGTGGACCTGTACCTGATCCACTTGCCGATCAGCGTCAAGCCCGGGCCAATGGTGTTCCCGGTGAAGAAAGAGGACGTCGTGCCGTTCGACTTCGGTGGCGTGTGGCGGGCAATGGAGGAGTGCCACCGGCTCGGCCTCGCCAAGGCCATCGGCGTCAGCAACTTCACCACCAAGCACATCGACAAGCTGCTTGCAGTAGCAACCATCCTCCCTGCCGTCAACCAGGTTAATTAACTAATTGCTCTTCATTCGCTTGGGCTGGATAATTAGTTGATCTCTTATTAGTATTTGTTACTCATAAACCGCATATATTCCCGGCCTGTGCATGGATCTGCAGGTGGAGATGAATCCGACCTGGCAGCAGAGGACAGTGAGGGAATACTGTGACGCTAAGGGCATTCGTGTGACGGCCTACTCGCCGCTGGGAGGGCAGAATTGGGGAGGCAGCGCCAATTATGTGATGGAATCCTCGGTGCTCACGGAGATCGCCAGGGCCAGAGGCAAGAGCATCGCACAGGTAGGCTTGTATCGTGTGTGTGCGCCGGACGATCATATCATAATTTGAGCGAGGGGGATGACAAGTGGGCCCATGTACTTTTTTCTATTTATTTAGCTGGCTGGATTGCCATGTTGACGCTACGTGTGTGCAATCTCAGGTCAAAACTGCTCTAAAACGATGTGGGGGGGGGGGGAGTGTGGCGTTATCCGGTATTAATAGTCAAAAGTGAAAGATGTCTGGTTTTCGGGTTTGGTGGGATAATTCGTATTCACTCAATAGTTCAAAGGGTAATTCAGACTTTTCCCTATATAATATTATGATAGCAATTTAAAGACAAATCTACATATGCCATTTTTTCAACTAATTATTTAAGGAATTAATGATAGTTATAGTTTAAAATTTTAATCAAAATTTATCCTAAATATTTGTAAATATTTATGACCAAAGAGTGTAGAATATGATTATCTGCTTTATATAGTACTCCCTCCGTTTCAGATTATAAGCCATTTTGATTTTGGTCAAAGTCAAACTACTTCAAGTTTAATCAAATTTATAGAAAAAAAAGTAGTAACATTTTTAAATATTATTATATTTTGTATATAAACTTAGTCAAACTAAGGTTAAAACAACTTATAATCTAAAATGGGGAGTACTACCTAGCTGGTTTATGTAATTCATTGTACCATTTCAAATGTAGGGATACTGTCTATTGCTGAAAAATGAAAGGATCTTACTTCTCTAAAAATAAAAACTCTTAGGAATTGCTTCTTTTTCTTCCATCCTCCTTCAGGTATCATTGAGATGGATCTATGAGCAAGGAGTGACCCCCATTGCCAAGAGCTACAGGAAGGAGAGGCTTAAAGAAAACCTTGAGATTTTCGACTGGGAGCTGACCGATGAGGACCGGCTCAAGATCAGCCAGATCCCACAGAGAAAGAGGGTTACGGCTGCAAGCTTGTTCTCTCCAGATGGGGAGTTCACATCGGTTGATCTCCCGGACATCGAAATTGTGGAGGAATAGGTGTTGAAGATGCCCGCTCCTGCTGCTGCTGAACAACTGTGCCTGGAGAACTTAAATATGGTACACTTTTTCATTTTTTATGTTTACGGAAACATTCAGTAAGGATTTGTGTCGGAACAACAGTTTTCTATGGCATGCGATTTAATTCATTTTCAATGATTGGTTATCAAATGAATAATTATTTCAGTTATGCACAATTGGGCTTAAAATATTCGTCTCACAATTTACACGCAAACTGTATTGTGTAATTGTTTTTTTTACATTTAATATTTCATGAATATCTCCAAACATTCGTTGTGATGGGTTTAAAATTTTTGCTTTGGAACTGACCAAGGCCAAACTTGACTTTTATTCGAATCACGCGTAACTCCTGACATCCGCGGACCGCGGTAACGCCTGACGTCTGCGTTTGGTGCTTCTTTTGTGGAGCAACCAGCAGAGCAGACACACAACCCGTGTCAGCATAGTCGCACACAAACGCGATTTCTTCTCCTCTCAGCAGTATATAATCAAGACCGGCATACAGCCATACAGTACCTCGCACTCGAAGACGTATGCACGTGAAACCGTTTCTTCGCCTGTATAGCGGCCGGCACCGTGCACACGCGCGCGCCTTCCTCGATCGATCGGTCGGCCGCGAGCTAGCCCGGCCGGCCATGGCGGCGGTACCGGAGGTGGCCCTGCGGCACGGCGCCGGGAGGCCCATGCCGGCGGTCGGCGTGGGCACGGCGGATTCGGCGGCGACGTCGCCGGAGACGAAAAGGGGCGCCGCGCTGGCGGCGCTGGAGGTGGGCTTCCGCCACTTCGACACCGCGGCGCTGTACGGCACGGAGGCGCCGCTCGGCGAGGCCATCGCGGAGGCGACCCGCCGCGGCCTCGTCGCCTCCCGGGAGGAGGTGTTCGTGACCACCAAGCTGTGGTGCACCCAGTGCCACCCGGGCCTCGTGCTCCCGTCCCTCCGCGAAAGCCTCCGGTATATAACTAATCGACGAATTAATCGATCTTAGTTACTTACCGCGAACACTTCTTCTTTTTTACCCGCAGATTAATTAACGTGTTCGTGTGAGATCGTGTCAGGAACCTGCAGATGGAGTACGTCGACCTGTACCTGGTCCACTGGCCGATCAGCGTCAAGCCCGGGCCACCGATGTTACCGGTGAAGAGAGAGGACGCCGTGCCGTTCGACTTCGAGGGCGTGTGGCGCGCGATGGAGGAGTGCCACCGCCTCGGCCTCGCCAAGGCCATCGGCGTCAGCAACTTCACCACCAAACACCTCGACAAGCTGCTTGCCGTGGCCACCATCCCCCCTGCCGTCAACCAGGTCGATCGATCGATCGGTTAATTATTGCTTACTTAATCCGATCATTATCGCGGCAATATTTTTCGCTCAACATTTGTGCTGCACGGGGTCGCAGGTGGAGATGAACCCGGTGTGGCAGCAGAGGACGGTGAGGGAGTACTGCGCCGCGAAGGGCATCCGCGTCGCGGCCTACTCGCCGTTGGGTGGGCAGAACTGGATAGGCGAAGGCAACGACGTGATGGAATCCCCGGTGCTCGCGGACATCGCCAGGGCCAGAGGCAAGAGCATCGCACAGGTAAGTTAGTTCTGATGCCGTGTGTTACTATTTACTACTGTACTACGGTTCAACCATACCAGTATACCACAAATATTCTCAAAAAGAAAATTCTCAAAAACAGAAACTATACCACAAATTTCTTTCCACATTGTCAAACGACGACTAATAAGCGATGATCAAAGTGTCCACAAATTTCACCCAACTGCCAAATGACGAAACAATGATCATGACGCACGTAGTGATGCCGGGCGTCCAAATGGATATCGACGTATACGTGGAAAGTTCAATTAACAACCCTGTGGAACATGTAGGATGAACTTCGGGGAAACTTGCATATCACCTAGATGGTTACCAAAATTTTTTTAAAAAATTAATATGATAGGTTAATATATAATATATCACTTCACAAACATACAAGTTTAAATTCGACTTCTACAGGTTGTAACAAAAATAACAAATTTGACTGTGAATATACATATACTAGTTAGAATTTAATTTGTTATTTTTGTTACAACTTATAGAAGTCGAATTTAAACTTGCATATTTATGAAGTGATATATTACATATTAATCTAACTTGTAATAACTTTTTTTTTAAAAAAAAATTCATAACTATTTAGTTGACATGAAAAAAACGGATGGATGTTCATCCGAGATATTAGAATCCATCTTCATGGACTTCGTCCAAATAAATATTGCTGTCGACGTGGGGATTCCTTTGCCGATGGCTAATTGGCAAAGACTAGCTAGCCTAGGCTGATGTGGCGAATACTTTCTCAGTTCATTCCACAAACTAAGTTGCCATCAGTTTTGGGCTTTTGGGCAGAAAACAATAGACAAAATTTCTTATAGAAAACTTGATAATTAAAATATTATAGGACACTCTATTAATTTGATAGGGGACACCCCCAGTTATTATTTTATCATTTATGAGTCAACCGTGGGAAAAAAAAAAGAGATGATTTTGCCCCTGGACCAGTAGTTTGTAACGCAATTAGGTGTGGTTCAAATCAGACCCAAGCCATATCTCATCCCTCAATCCCCTCTCTAAAACCTAGAAATTGGTGACAGCGATAACAACATCGATAACATCGGCTAATACCAGTAGAATCAAATCATCTATTTTATACCTAGCTATTTCCTCCATCCAAAAAGAAATAACTTCAAGCTAAAAGTTTTTTTTACAAAGAAGTAATTCATAAACGATTTCTTTTCTAGGGACAATACATATGTATATAAACTATAGTTAGTTCGTATATGTAGGGGCGGATCCAGATCCCGGGCCAGGTAAAGCCCAACATTTTCATCATGTGTCATGCATTGGCCCAATACAATGGCTGGTTCAGGGCCTGGCCCAAACCTATGTTCATCCCTGCATATACACGACAATACTACTTCAAATACAAGTACATATGGATACCTATGTTGTTGATAACAAAGGAACTACTTCGATAATAAAAAGTCTTTTAGTTAGTCTGATATAAATTTTTACCCTTTAGGTGTCATTGAGATGGATTCATGAGCAAGGAGTGACCCCAATCCCCAAGAGCTACAACAAGGAGAGGCTGAAACAGAATCTTGAGATATTCGACTGGGAGCTGACCAAGGAAGACCGTCTCAAGATCAGCCAGATCCCGCAGAAAAAGATCGTCACGGCTGCACGAATGTTCTCTCCGGATGGTGAGTTCGCGTCGGTTGATCTATCAGACATGGAAATTGTGGAGGAGTAGGTCCAGATGAAGATGCCTGGCTGCCCCTGCTGCAGTTTTTTTTTCACGTTTGTATTTATGAAAAGATTCAATTAGGATTTGTATTTGAATACTAATTTTATATGGCTGCCTTTTTAATTCGCCTTCGGATGATCGGTTATCAAATAAATAATGGATGTATCTTAAACTATACCAATATACCAATAGTTTTTGTTAAAAAAATATGTAAGATGTAATTATAGTATAACTTGTATCTAATATTTAAGCATAAATAGTGTGTAATTGCAATTCAACTAAAGTTTTGCTTGCTCGGTTGTTGGAGCCACTGTGCGAGCAAGTGGAGGTCCCAGGTTCGATACTCTGCATGAGCTTGGTGTAATTTTATTTTTGTCAACCTAATAGTACGAATCTCAAAGTTAATCTAATGGATCAGAAATCGACATATTTCTAAAATAGAATGTGCCGATAGTTGTTTTAGCCTTTCCGATAAATAATTATTGCAGCAGGTAAGTTCTAGCGATGTTTGGTTTGTCAAGGAGTGAGGACAACTTAACAAAACAAGTTCCTATTACGTGTAGAGTAAAATGTAGATACGATCATTCAACTTGTTTTAGTTGTGTTATATAGATCACTTTACTTTAGAAATACACACTTTTTTTTTGACCAAGGGCACGAAGCCCTCATTTCCATTACTAGAAATGATCAAAGCTACAAAGTTCAGGAAAAAAAAAGGACATAAAAACCCTTACAAGGTTGGTTTTGTAACATGACAGCTGACAATGGTAAACCCCAGCTACAGAGAACTGAAAGTGAGGATACGCAAAGGCCTATCGAAAACTAACATTCAGTCCTACAACCCAAAATCAGCGCACACATAGCAGCAACAACTTCAGTATCAGATTTCCTTTTTTCAGAATCCTATTCTTCTGACATCAGCTCACCATCCAAACTTGGAATTGAAGACGTCACTTGCCACTTGTCTTATGAGCTGGGCCCCTAAGAGCAGCCTTCTTTGATCGACCTCCTGTTTCTGCAATACAGCCTAGGTTTCCACCCAGTGGCAGACCAGAAAAACAACATCAATTGGATCCTTGGGGAGTTTTTTTTTTCTCAAAGCAGGCTTTATTTCTGGTTTTCCAGATTGCCCAGAGTACAACGGCTACCCCAGTGATTACTAGAAGTTTCAATTTTTTCCCAAAGGCAGCAAGCCAAGAGCCAAACAGATGATTGCTATCTGTCACAGGTTTCAAATCAAAAGCACAGGAGATAATGTTCCAAATCAACCTAGCCATAGGACAATCGAAAAAAAGATGTTGGATGGTCTCTTGTTGATCACAAAACTGACAATTTGTGTCTCCTTTCCTCCAACCTCTTTTAAAAAGATTATCCTTAGTAAGAGTCCTTCCTTTTAAGATAAGCCAAATGAAAATTTTGATTTTCAAGGGGATTTTGAACTTCCAAACTTTCTTGAAGGGTACATTTGTTTGTTGGACACAAAGTGCATTGTAAAAAGATTTAACATTGAAAGTCCCCTGTTTAGTCAGATTCCAACAAAGTCTATCTCTGCAGTTAGGGATGAAATGTAAGTTATCAAAACCCTGTTTGATCTTATCCCAATCTCTCAATTTTTCACCAAAAAGGGTCCTTCTGAATTTGATCACACCCCAACCATGTTCCTTTATCATGGCTAGAGAAATGTTTTTTGACAAGGTAATATTGTAAAGAGCAGGGAACTGACTAGTTAGAGGTCGACCCTCTAACCAACTATCTTCCCAAAACATGATGGACCTTCCATCACCCACTTTTTTTTGAACAAAACTTGAAGAAATCATTCCTTACTTCCATAAGACCCTGCCAAAAGTGGGAGTCACCAGCTTTAGTTTTGAGGACAGACATGGGTTTTTTCTTCAAATATTTAGAAATACACACTTAGATCATTAATGTGAGTTAAGTGAGTTATTTGTACACTTATTAACTAGTTCCGCGAGCATATCTTAAATACATGACATGTCATGTAGAATTGAAAAGTTACATATAAAATTAAAAAAAACATGTATTTTTTTCCTTTCCCATGGTACTACAATTGGCAATGCAAAAAATTAGTAAAACCAAATCATTTTAGTTTCATGTTTTGAAGAGTGTAGTTCTCGGCTTGCCATCAAACATGAGCACCTTTTATTTTCGATCTCCATGTTCTTTTCCACCCAATTACATCTGCACATTTTTAGAAGTATTTTTTTTCAATCCTAGATGACATGCCACGTGTACAAGGTATGCTCACTTGGATATGTAGTTTGATGGACGTACATATGACTTACTTAACTCAGACTAGTGATCCAATTGTGTATTTTGAAAGTAGAGTGACATATATGATACATATAAACAAGTTGAATGGCACTTCATGCATTTTACTCTTACGTCTATCATAAAAAAACAAAAAGAAGCAATCCTCAACTCATATACCCAGGTAAAAACACACCTTTGCAAACTTAAACGGTGTGAGCAAATATCCATACTATCAAGATTTGAAATGTATCCAATTAGGCCAACCTACACCAAAACTTTTTTTTTAATAATGGAACAGAATCCCACCAAAAACTAAATATGCTCAATGTTTCTATTTGTGAAGTTAATCTGGGGGAAAGTCAGTTTATAATTTGAGTGCATATGCTTTAATATTTTATATGTCATTCAAATGGTTGTTTTTTTAAAAGAAAATATAGTGCCACGTTATATATCAGTCCATCAACACACAAATCTAAATAAACTTGTACTAAGTTGTAAAAATCCAACTAGAGTACTATCCAACCTACATGGGGATGTGATACGTATCATCTAGCGCAACAAATCTAAAGAGGGAATTATCTAAATTTATTGCATGTCCATATTCACTGTCCTAAATGGTGTTACTCCCATCTAGATCGGGTTTGTTTGGAATGGAAGGAGTATGTCCAGATACATAGCAAAATGAATGTACCAAAAAAGTCAAAGTGATTTATAATGTAGAACGGAGGGAGTATCATACTACAATCCTTTTGAAAACGATATCATTTCTTTATTATCCTTTTGGAAACTATATCGGTACCGTCGAGGATTTTTCATAATTTTGAAATTTAGCCACTTCGATAGGATGCAAATATAAATTGAAAAAAACTAAATTCCATAATAAAAAACAATATAATTTTCTATTATTTAACGGTATCGGTACTGTCGAAAATTTTTCATACTGTTTTCATCCCTATTCAGGATGAATGAGACGCAACAACACGAGACGTCGAGACCCCTCACGGAGGCACGAAAAATCCATTTCTTGATGCGGGGAAGGAGTGTTAGCTCAACCGGGGGGGCTAATCACTATCGAATAATTTAACAAGCCACGCAACGAAGCAGCAGGAGGAAGCAACCAAAGGCTAGCAAGCAAAGCAGCACCTAGCATTACGCAATAATTCAGGCCGAAGCAGAGTCACCCAGCAGCAAGAACATGGGACAAGCAAAGCACAAGCCACATTCTAAGGTAGTGTACAAGCTAGCTGACCTGGGAGTCCAGTATATAAGTGCGTGTAGCCGCATGTACACAGGGTGGCCAAAACGAGACGTGCAGAGAGAGACACCAATCTCGTACGTAGCATATCTACATCGCAGGAACACCCAAATCACTCGTGCGTAGGTATGGTTCTGACGCACGTCGAGGCGGTGGAGGAGGGCAGCGAGGCGGCGGCCGCCGTGTTCGCGTCGAGGTACGTGCAGGACCCGGTGCCGAGGTACGAGCTCGGCGAGAGGTCGATATCCAAGGACGCCGCGTACCAGATCGTCCACGACGAGCTCCTCCTGGACAGCAGCCCGCGCCTGAACCTGGCGTCCTTCGTCACCACCTGGATGGAGCCCGAGTGCGACAGGCTCATCCTCGAGGCCATCAACAAGAACTACGCCGACATGGACGAGTACCCCGTCACCACCGAGCTCCAGGCAAGCAATCAAACAAACCAAACCATATACCCTCGTCTCCTCCATATCCTTTCGTTGCATTGCGTTGTGGTTGACGTACGACGACGATGGCCCTGGCGTTGCAGAACCGGTGCGTGAACATCATAGCGAGGCTGTTCAATGCGCCGGTGGGCGACGGCGAGAAGGCGGTCGGGGTGGGCACGGTGGGGTCGTCGGAGGCCATAATGCTGGCCGGGCTGGCGTTCAAGCGGCGGTGGCAGAACCGGCGGAAGGCGGCGGGGAAGCCCCACGACAAGCCCAACATCGTGACGGGGGCCAACGTGCAGGTGTGCTGGGAGAAGTTCGCGCGCTACTTCGAGGTGGAGCTCAAGGAGGTGAAGCTGACCGAAGGCTGCTACGTGATGGACCCCGTCAAGGCCGTGGACATGGTCGACGAGAACACCATCTGCGTCGCCGCCATCCTCGGCTCCACCCTCACCGGCGAGTTCGAGGACGTCAGGCGCCTCAACGACCTCCTCGCCGCCAAGAACAAGCGGACGGGTTGGGACACGCCGATCCACGTCGACGCGGCGAGCGGCGGGTTCATCGCGCCGTTCATCTACCCGGAGCTGGAGTGGGACTTCCGGCTGCCGCTGGTGAAGAGCATCAACGTCAGCGGCCACAAGTACGGGCTCGTCTACGCCGGCGTCGGGTGGGTCATCTGGCGCAACAAGGAGGACCTCCCCGAGGAGCTCATCTTCCACATCAACTACCTCGGCGCCGACCAGCCAACCTTCACGCTCAACTTCTCCAAAGGCACGAAATTATTTTTCCAGAATTAAATGATCCGTACATATATAGAGTGGAGTAGTACATTTTGTGACTTGGCAAGTTCATTTTTGTGCAGGGTCCAGTCAGATTATTGCGCAATATTACCAGTTTCTTCGACTCGGATTTGAGGTATACTGAGACTAATTGCCCCAAAATTTCGAATTTAAAATTTTGAAAATTTTATGTCAAACTCCTATAATTTCGATTTTTTTTTTGGCCGGATGCACATCCTACCGGAACACACCGGCATAACTGAAATTTCGCAAAATTCTTTCTGAAATTGTGCACATTTATTTCAGTTTGATTGAACCGTTGGGTTGTTTGATTGTTGCAGGGGTACAAGAGCGTGATGAAGAACTGCATGGAGAGCGCGAGGACGCTCCGGGAGGGCCTGGAGAAGACGGGGCGGTTCACCATCATCTCCAAGGAGGAGGGCGTGCCGCTGGTGGCCTTCACGTTCAAGGACGGCGCCGGCGCGCAGGCCTTCAGGCTGTCGTCGGGCCTGCGCCGGTACGGGTGGATCGTGCCGGCGTACACGATGCCGGCGGCGCTGGAGCACATGACGGTGCTCCGCGTCGTCGTCCGGGAAGACTTCGGCCGGCCGCTCGCCGAGCGGTTCCTGTCCCACGTCAGGATGGCCCTGGACGAGATGGACCTCGCCGCCAGGGCCCCCGTGCCCAGGGTGCAGCTCACCATCGAGCTCGGCCCCGCCCGGACCGCCGGCGAGGAGGCCTCGATCAGGGTGGTCAAGAGCGAGGCCGTGCCCGTGCGCAAGAGCGTCCCGCTCGTCGCCGGCAAAACCAAGGGCGTTTGCTAGACCGGGTTAAATTTTTTTTTAAAATACTGGTGGGAACACGACCAAAATAAAATTTCAAAATGGGAGCGTACTAAACCTTCTTTATGCTACAGTAACTATGTAGTACAAGCATGCCGAAAGTTAATCATCGTGTGTAATCGTATTAGAGTTTGCAACAGCATATTATAATGTGGAGAAGAACACGCAAGCGACATCAACCAGGACTCTGCACTTCTGATGAAGTTCTGAAACCCATAAGGATTCAGATAAACATGAGCAGACACTGAAATATGTATGTACATAAAAAATTTGTGCGAGGCATGCACATCATGCTTGAGCACGTTATTGTTGCAGAAAACACGAATTCAACGAATTAAAGGGAAGATAACTTGCATTTTTTTTATTTGGATCTACAACAACACTTCCCTGAAGTGTTTATGTCCGTTTCTGACGGACGGCCACGATTTGCAGTGACCGGTTTACGAGGTTCGCTTGGCTCGCTGCCGCGCGCGTCAGCGCTTGCGGGAGAAGAGGCCGGAGCAAACCTCGTGGAAGGCCTCGAGGATGGCGGCGCGGTGCTCGCGGGCGTTCACGGACACGTAGCAGTTGAGCAGGGCGCGCAGCTCCGCCGGCTCCGCCATCCGCTTCGCCGTGATCACCTCCGCGATGGACCGCCGGAACTCCTCCCGCGGGTCGCTCGTCCTCCTGTCCACCGCCACCAGCACGACGCACGGCCTCCTCTGGCCGCACGACGCGCCGCCGCCGCCGTCGTCGTAGTGGCCGCCGCAGTAGTTGCACGCGCAACGGCAAGGCCCGCCGCGCTGAACCTGCCGCTCGGCGGCCGTCTCCGTCGTCCCATGGCGCGGGAGCGGGCGCGGGCGCGACGCGGCCGACGACCGGCCGGCCGCGGCGTCGATCATGGACTGCAGCCTCGCCTGGACCATCCCGTGCGCGAGGTTGGACAGCCCCCTCGACTGCGGCGGCGGGGAGCCGCTGCTCCACCGCGTACTCCACCGACGAGCACGACGCCGACGACGACACGCTGAGCCGCGACGCGCCGCAGCACAGCGCCCGGCACCTGCCGTTCCTCTGCCTCGCCCCCGCTCCCGCCGCCTTATCGTTCGCCATCACCGCCGCATGGTCCCTGCCTCCTCCTCCTCCTCCTCCGCTCTTCCGCTCCGGCCTCTTGCTCCGCCCCGAGAAGAGCGGCATTGCGCCGCGCCGCCGCCGCCGCCGCTCCGTCGTCGCCTCGCGCTCTGCGGCCTGCAGGCTTGCAGAGGCAATTGGCATGCGGGTGCAGTAGAAGAGGACAGTGCTGCACGATTGTAAAGCGAGGCAAAGGCGCCGCCTTTTGGGCCTTTGTGATTGAGCCAATTTTCTAAGCCTCGGCAAAGGGGAGAGTAGCTAGGCGCCTTTGGGGCTTAGCCGGATCATGCTGTCCCCTAACCTGCAGCAACTTGGCATCTCAGTATACCCACTTTCTCTTTGGCTCTGCATTATCAACTATGATCATCAGCTAACCTCGCCAAATTAAAACGTGAATAGACCTCTTATTCTAAACCAAACCGTAGCCGCCATGGCGTGAAACTTACATATCATAATTACAGCACCACATGTTGTTTGCCTGTATGAATTCTTCAGACACAGACTTCTTCAGGGAAGTGATATAGTGTGCTATGTGTTGTTCTATCTTCCATCTCTAACTGTTCCTAACAACAGCTGATTTCAGACTTTTTTGTGTACTCTGTGAGCAATTTCAGACATTGGACAAAAAAAAGAAAAAAAGAAAAAGAGAGAACTCGTATCTGCTTCAGAGATTCGGCTCCCGTGGCATAGTGACATGTGTGCTAATCCCCTAATTAAGCACACAAACCTTTGATTAGGTGTTCACTGAGCCCATCCCAAAAGAGGAGACAAGGGAGCCCAAACGGAAGCAAAGCTAGAACGAACAGCCACGCAGCCGCAGCTGGTGGTAGTGGCCGTCATGTGGCCATCATTGCAATTAAACTCGATATATCATAAACCGCGAAATGGTCAACAAGCTTTTGGGCAAGCTCTCCCCTCCCCTTTCCTTTCCATCTCGCCTCCTTTCCGATCCGTCTCTCTGTTCTGTTTTTTTTTCCCACCGTTTCCCTTCTCGGCAAGCTGGCGCCGACAGGTTTGCAGAGTGTTTCTGCCCAACACCAAAGTTTATTGTGTTCTTTGTGTTGTTGATGTTTCAGGCTTTCGATCGGCAGCTTCATGATCAATTCATCGTTCTTTGTTTGATTCGGTGGTCGTTGGCGGTGTATATGCATGCCGGTTGCTGTCAGTTTAAAGATGAGACGAACAGCTTTCTATTTTTGATTTATTTTAGCCACAGTACACGACGATACGTAAGTTTGTACCCAGCCATGAAGACGACGTGGAGAGAAGGATTTTAAAGGCGTCTCAGGCCGAGTTTAGTTCTAAACTTTTTCTTCAAACTTCCAACTTTTCCAGCACATCAAAACTTTCCTACACACACAAATTTTCAACTTTTCTGTCACATCGTTTTAATTTCAACCAAACTTTTAATTTTGTCGTGAACTAAACACACCCTAAATAGTTGTTGAAATTTTTGAAATGTTTTCCGTTTGTTGCACCATTTGTTTTTAAGATCAGATGTTAATTAAACAGCTTCACAAATTCCATTCGGGATAGGGCAAGGGTAGGATCGAGTAATATGTGTTGGTTAACTATGTGGCTCTGTTGTCTATAAACCGTAAATGTTTTCGGTTTTGTCAGGTCATTAGGCCTTCCTACACACCAGGGCGACCGGTAAAAACGAGAGGTATAATTAAAGGCCGGACAGGGACGAGCACGAGCGCGGGAAAGAGAGAGCGCGATGGCCGACACGGCGTCGCCGGCGGCGGCCAGGGAGGCGATGATCGAGCCCGCGTCGACGCCGCTGCTGCGGCGGAGGGGGTCGTACACGAGGTCCATGTCGCACGCGCGCGACGAGCTGGGCAGCTTCCGGTCGTGCCTGCGGTGGATGTGCGTCGAGCACTCGGACGGCTCCAGCGCCGTCGCGTCGTGGCTCGTGTTCACGCTGCTCGCCGTGGCCGTCCCGGCGGCGGCGCGCGCCGCGCTGCCGCGCCGCGCCTACGACGGGCAGGTGCAGGCGTCGCTCACCCTCTCCGCGGCGCTCGCCTACCTCACGCTCTCCAGGCTCGTCCGGCGCCGCGGCCTGCGCCGGCTGCTCTACCTCGACAGGCTCCGGCACGACTCCCAGGACGTCCGCGCCGGCTACACCGTGGAGCTCGCGGGGTCCTTCCGCCTCCTCGCCTGCTTCGTCCTCCCCTGCTTCCTCGCCGACGCCGCGTACAAGGTGTACTGGTACTGCGCGAACCGGCCGTTCCCGCTGTGGTGGTCCGCCGCGGCGTGCGCGCTGGAGATGGCGTCGTGGATGTACCGCACGGCCATGTTCTTCATGGCGTGCGTGCTGTTCCGGATCATATGCTTCCTGCAGATCCTGCGGATGACCGGGTTCGCCAGGGACTTCGGCCAGTGCGCCGACGTCGCCGACGTGCTGCGGCAGCACCGCCGCATCCGCGAGCAGCTCCGGCGGATCAGCCACCGCTACCGCAAGTTCATCGTCTCCTGCCTCCTCCTCGTCACGGCCAGCCAGTTCTCCGCGCTGCTCGCCGCCACGAGGCCCCACGCCCAGGTCAACATCGCCACCTCCGGCGAGCTCGCGGTGAGCAGCTAGCTTGCTATACTTCTACTACCATGCATCCATCCAACGTCCCAACAAGGTTAAAATCACCCCGTTTTTGCGGCGTCTCGCGTCCGTTCTCCGCAGCTTTGCTCCTTGAGCCTCGTGACCGGGCTGCTGATCTGCCTCCACAGCGCGGCGAAGATCACGCACAAGACGCAGGCGATCACCAGCGTCGCGGCGCAGTGGCACGCCGACGCGACCATCAACAGCCAGGAGCGTGACCACGAGAACCCCAGGACGCCCATCAAGGCGTCCAGCTACTTACACGCCGCCGGCCCCGTCGTCCCCCAGCCGGCGCCGAACGCGTCGTCCTCCGGCGACGAGTCCGAGGACGAGACGTCCCCGAGCGACGACGGCCTCGACGGCACCAAGATCGTGTCGTTCCATGCCACCCACATCTCCTTCCAGAAGAGACAGGCTCTAGGTACGTGGACGTGCTATCTCGTTTATTTTATACTCCCTCTATCATATAATAAAAGAGATTTTAGAGGGATGTGACACATTCTAGTACTAAGATAATAAGATAATAGACAGTGTCACATCTATCTAAAATCCCTTATATTAGTGGGACGGAGGGAGCACTCAACTAAACCAAATAGTTACGATTTTTTTAAACAAAAAAATGCAACAGACTAAAATAAATATACATACACAAACATGCAAGCTCAATTTTGAATTCTACAAGTTGTAACAAAGATAACAAAATAAACTACTCCCTCCGTTTCGAAATGTTTGATACAGTTGACTTTTTAACACATATTTGACCATTCGTCTTATTCAAAAAAATTTTATGAAATATGTAAAACTATATGTGTACATGAAAATATATTTAACAATAAATCAAATGATATGAAAAAAATAAATAATTACTTAAATTTTTTGAATAAGACGAATGATCAAACACGTACTAAAAAGTCAACGGTGTCAAACATTTTGAAACGGAGGGAGTATAACTTATTACGTCATAGTCGATTCGAATTCTAGTCAACTGGTGATTAAAAGGTTCCCGTGTTAGCTTGGTTGTACTTAGCACTGTAGCTGGTCATGGTGTTTTTTCAGTGACCTACCTGGAGAACAACAGGGCGGGGATCACGGTGTTCGGCTTCGTCGTCGACCGGACATGGCTCCACGCGCTCTTCATGATCGAGTTCTCGCTCGTCATGTGGCTGCTAGGGAAGACCATTGGCATATCCTAATCGATCAAAGGGTAGCTAATCAAACTGTGCATATGACCCAAAATGATGGCTCACCAAGGGTCAGGGATATGATGCATGCATGCACCATCAGTTGCATCATGTAGATTTCGTCACATCTGAATGTGTAAATCAAGCATAGATCGATATTATACGAGAAACCTGTAACAGCTAGTGCTGATGATCGATGGTGTGAGAATTAGCGTCTGTGGTTGATTTGATGCGATGACGTGCTAAAGACAGTTGCTGAACTGATGAGCAGTTTTTACTACTGCTTCAAATCTGCTCATGATGGCAGATTAATCAGGTCGCAAGTGCCTGGATTTAAGTAGCCGGCAAGTTTCTGAAACCTGCAATCAAACTGGTTAGGTGCATAAAAAAAACCTGGTTAGCTGCAAGAGAATAATCACCAGAACTGCTAGCACATTGTTATCACTGAAAGTTGCAGATCCACTGGACAAGAAGAACACATGTAACTGCTTAACTAACCATAATCGAGACCAGGATTTACATTTTGTTTCCCGTGACATAATACCGACTAACTAAACTGTGGTCTTTAGCCTAACCTGTTTCTTAATTTACTTTGATAAAAAAAAGGGAATGAAATTCTAACCAGACGACATTCACAAACGCGCCACTCCATTCATCCTATAGTGCATCAGAGCACGTCATGGACAGGATAGAATGCTGAAGCTCAAATGGTTCCATTTCTCAGCTGTCAATTGTGGCCCTTTAGTATCTTACACGGGCATTAGGAATAATCCGAGCGGGCCTTCGAGAACTAGTGGAACCATTAAGCTGAGTTCCAGGATCACTATCTGAGAATGTCAAAGAGTCAGAGCTATAGTCAAACGAGTCGTTGCTGTCACTGTTGGGGTCAATGAAATAGTCCCCCATGATTGTTGACCCTGGATTCAATGCTGTAATTATGCTTATTGCATCCTGCCTATCCTTCTCATATTCAAGCTCCTTCCACTCAGCTAAGCTTGCAGAATCGATTTCACGAGGATTTGATGAAGGATGATTGGACCTCACATGGTTGCGGAGTTTTCTGTATGATCCACCAAAAGAGCATCCCTCATGCATGCAAGTCCTCCTCTTGCGGTTGAGAAATCTTCTGGCTGGCTCAACCACTGTCCATCCTTTAACATCCCCACGGCAGATAGGGCACACAAGCTCCATCTCCTGTGGCTTCTTGCTAGCTTGTGCCACTGCACCTGATAATTCACAAGCTGGCTTTCCCCTCGAATAAGCATTTTTGAACTGCTCAAGACAATTAGAGTGCTGACGGTTGGTGTCACACATGTACGGACGACAACCTTTGCTGTGAGAAGAACAGAGGAGGAGAACAGCTTTATGTGGATGCTCCAAACATATTGAGCAAGTGGCACGTTTCCAGTCCTTTTTCTCTGAGGTTAGTTGCAATCCATTTTCCTTGGATGCCTTTTTTGTTTTCTGGTAATACGAAGGTACAGCACTGGTAGCTGAACTAGCACGCCGGCTTGATAGAGTACGGTCTCTTGGAGCTCTAGCCATTTCTTGAGAAAACTGTGAAAAGGGATATAGAACAATTGCATCAAAATATAGTTATATTCAGCTAGACGTCCAGTGAACAAGAAAAGTCTGTCCTCATTCTCTAGTAGCATGCAAACATTAATAGGAAAATCACAAAAAACAGCAATTGAAGTTGCACTTAGAATATTGTGGTTTACAGAAGCTATAATGCATGTATAATGAAAGCAATCAATTTCTTTTGTAAATTGCAATACTCTGGGTCGTATTCTATATCTTTATTCTAATGACTTTGCTTACATATAACTTCCAAATTATGTGTCGTAAAGCTATCTTATTTCAGGCACAGGCTACTATTCACATATATTGTTTGCTTCACATGGTAGAAGCACTAAACAATTTGCAGTAATTTGCACTTCCATAATCTGTAAGTCTTCAGTACTTTGTACACTTTATTTAATGAGGATCCATCGTCATCCTCAAACTATCAAATACTTTCAAGTTAAAATGTTTCATAGCTCCCACGTTAACAATGACAGAGCACCATGCAAATCATTGGTGCAAACAAAAACAGAACCTAGAATTCAAATAAAGCAGATAAAGCACGCACATCACAATATTTATGGAATAATTGCATTCTGATAACAAATAAAGGGGTAAAAAAAGAGAGAGTATAAATGCATTTCAGAAGGCAAGCAAAGACAAGATATTATATCATTTCCTAGAAAGAAAACATGAAGCACATATTATATATAACTAATCTAACTCGGAACTGTCAAGTTTCGCCATTTGGATAGTACTATACAGCATTGAAAATGTGATATGTGAACTGATCATCTAACTTCAATTCATCAATTGCAAAATGCAGAGATGGAACGAAATGAGTACTTCGACGAACGACAGATAGCCCCCAATGCAGTCAGTTGTAAAATACATGAACAAAAAATGTGCTACGGATCAGTAGCGGAAGCGCAGTGGATCAACTTTCTCCTCCAAGATATGCACAATACAGCGAATTACCGATCACAGCTGGATCTACAGCCACGGAAGGGGGGACACGCTTCGCCTCATACCTCGGATCGGTGGACAGCGGCCGGCGAGGGACGACGGGCGGTGCGGGCGACGGGGTAAGGGGATTAGATGCGGAGGGATCCTCGGGGGCGATCGCGCCGCCGCGGACGACGGCGACGGCACCGTCGCCGCCTGTTGCGCGCGGGGGAGGGAGGCGGCGTGGGCGAGGGCGGCGGCGAGGGCACGCGCGAGTCACGCGAGGAGAGAGAGAGAGCGACGCCTCGATGGAGGTCATTCCTTCGTGATAAACGGACCACATTCCCTCGGGGGAATGGGCCGAGTTAGGGCCCGTGAAGCGGAAAGGCTTTTGTCCACGGTGTGTTGGGCCGAAATATCTGCCAGCCCCGGCCCAACGTGATCTTTTTTATTTACTGTATGGATAATGTTGCAGTTATACTTATAGTTTTAAGGTTTTCCTCCTAATAAAAAGTATAATGTTGGTCTTCCTTCTACATTTGGCTTCAAACATGAAATTTTGTGTGGAAGAAAGTTCTATTCACAACAGCGATATTGTTATATCTTCCCTTAAAATTGAGATAATCAACACATACTCATTTATATTATATTCCAGTTACTTGTTTGGTGGGATGAGTAATAATCAATAAAAATAATTTCTATATTCGATATGAATCCCGCTATACGTACGACCGAATTGTACGACCCACATCCGACTCAGAGGCATCCACCAATAAAGGTGATCGGATTTCTTACTATATAGACCAAGTAAACAACACCTGTATCTATACAGGCGCTGGTTATATATAGATTGCATATTTGGATTAGATGTATAGCAATTTTCATTTGACATATGCAGTTACAAAAGCAAAGTTTTCAAATGTAATGCTGTCATAGCAATTTCCATTTGACATAGAAAAGAGGTACCAATTTAAATCGTGGGCGTAGATAAAATCCATCCGGTGCGTGAACGAGTGGTGGATAGGTGGAAAACAACCGTCGTCCGATCCGAGTAGAGGGTAGTTGAAAGGCAGGGCAGAGTCAGCCACCAGGGAGCGTAGACAAACAGGCATAGGGTTTCTCTCTCTCCCCCTCTTCTCTCCTTCGCCGAGACGAACAAGCACAGCACACAAACCCAGGACACTTCCCCCACGGAATTCACAAGACCACCCCAGCACAAAAATTCCCACGGAAAAACAAAAAAAAAAAAGAGAGAAGGAGAAAACAAACGGAGAGACAAATCCCGTCCAGAAATCGTCGCCCCAATTCCAGATTTCCAGTCCTCTCTTGTGCCCTCCCTGAAACCCTCCCGAAATCCCACGAATCCTCGCGATTTTTTCTCCACCCCCAATCCACCACCGCGTTGGCCGCCGCCGCCGCCCTCCGCAGATTTCCCATTAGGGCGCCGCCGGAGTGGTCGTCGCCGGCCGAGGGGGGCCTCGACCCCGCCCCTCCCCTGCTCCCCCCACTGCGGGGGCCGCGTCCCGCTTGATCAATCGCGTCGCGGTGGATTGATACGGGGGTTGGGGGATTCGAGAGGGGGGCGGAGCGGTTTTCCCCCACCCCAACTCGTCGTGTTCGTGTTTTTTTTCTTCCAATCTGCGCGCGTTCGTGCGTGCGTGAGGGAGGTCGTGGTGGTGGTGGTGGTGGAAGTTAGGGTTTGAGGGTTTGGTTCCGGAGGGTAGGGTCTGGTGGTGGCCGTGGCTGCCCCCGGCCGGGGGTGGTGGGTGGCTGGGGGGTGGGGGGGATTCGCCGTGCAACTGTTGCGCGCCGTGGTGGTGTGGGGATCGTGTTGTGGCGGCGGATTGGATCAGTGGCCGCTGTCGCGCCTCCGCCCGCTGCTGGTGCTGGTGGAAGTTTAGGGGGGGTGAGGGTGCAGGCCCGGCATGGACCGAGGTGAGCCCTCGCTGAAGCCAGAATGGCTGGTGCGGGGGCATGGCGCAGTGGCTGCCACGAGCCTCTGGACTGGAACTTCTTCGCCGCGCGCTGGTGAGCTCGCTTTCAATGCTGACTTTCTATTGCATGACATATAATGGTTAGCATTGATTGTATACTGCTTGTGAGATTAGCGGCGGGTATGTTTTGTAGCATTGTATAATGTTGCGGTGGCTGTTGATTATTAAGTTAGGATGATTGGTGCGGTTCATAAGTTCATTTGTGCATTTTTTAAGTCCATTCCTTTTGTGACTTATTGAGGAATTCCAGATTGTGGTTTTACCTTGTTCTTATGACAAAGGTCGTTGTTCAACTCTTCATATGCATTGTTGTGGCTGTTCGTCATGTTAAGTCTAATGTTTAGACCACAAAGTGCTTATTTAGTATGTTACATTAAACCTAGAGATTTTACTGTGTTACAAATGTATAGCAATTGTGGTAGGCAGTTAAAGAATCCTGTTGAGAGACATTACTTTAGATATCAACCTCATATTGGTGTCTATTAAACTACCTCAGTTCATGTAACAAATTAACTGCAGTAACTGTTTATGAGTATGAGATTCTTTTATATGGAAATTATTTCTGTTATTGGGGCCTTTTAGTTAAAACTCAAAATATTTTATTGCCTGTTGTAACTTGGGCTTTATTGGGCAATCATCATGTAAGCATGATGATGTATATTCTTCCTGTTGATTGCTCAATGTTATTGCTCGCCTTCAGTGTTTAGGAAATTTGCTGTTTCCAGTTATTGTTGTTTTAATGCCTTCCTAATTGGTTTAACACAAGGCTGCATGATTGAGCTTATCATTTGTGTGCATATGCTTGAATCAACTACTAGGGAAATTGCTTTTCATTTTGCGGTTTGCTGTGTATTGTTCTAATAAGCTGTCTCTTGCATGCTTAGATGATCAAGGTAGGAGCATTTCATCAAGAAACCAATCATCAGGTCGTGACCGTGAACGGAGCTCACAACAGTCCATCTCACGGAGGAGTTCTGGCTCAATTGGACCTAGACGGCATGACCGGGATGGTACAGCAAAGTCAAGAGGCTATGCCAGTTTTGGAAGGAGCAACCGGGACAGGGGGGGTGAGAAGGACTCTGAATCCCGTAATTGGGAGAGTAGGTTGGGTCCACCTGATGATCCCTTGTATGATGGCTTCAAGCCATTCAGCTCATGCAGACCTGAAAGGGACAGGCTTAATCATACTCGTTTGAAGGTAGATACATTGAATCAGGCGGTAGGAGAAAGTTTAGACAATGGTGTTCGTAGTGTATCAAGAAAGGTTTCTGGTGGTGTCTCCTTTGAGCGAGAATTTCCACACCTTGGTTCTGACGACAAGAATGGAAAGCAAGATGTAGGTAGAGTTCCATCTCCTGGAATTAGCACCCCGATTCAGAGTATGCCTTTGGGCACTGCACTTGATGGGCGGAGTTCAGTGCTAGCAGAAGTTCCTGTACTTAGTGGACCAACCAACTGCCCTGTTCCATCTTCTTTGTTACGCACTGGTTCCAGTAAGCAGATGGAAGTGCCAAACTGCGGGACTGCATTAAGTATGGCTGAAACAGTGATGCAAGCTCCGTTAAAAATCTCGACAACACCCCAGGTAGTTTAATATTTAAGATATCCGTGTTTCCCCTTTGATGTATCCACTGCATTCACTTTATTGAACTAGTGCTCTGTGTTCCATCTCTTTTTTACCCAGTTATCGATCGATACTCATAAGATTGAAGAAAGAACTATGAAGCAGTGCATCCTAAGACCTCGGACACCTTCTTCGAACAAAATTTCTGTACGTCTCTTATAAGTTTCATGCCTCTGTTGCAATACTAATGATTTCGTTTTGTTTCTCTCTATTTACCATTATCATTAATGTGTTTAGATTATGATTGCTCACTTCAATCTTGTTTATCAAGTGATTTAAGCATTTAGCCTTTGAAAACAGCTAAAGCGTTAAAGTTTCTTGTATTTAGTACTTCCTTGATTGCTTCAACGTACTGTTTGGATCCCTTGTGATAATGCTTCTGTATACTTGTCACATCCTTTTTGCTTATCCACCAAAACTTATCTGCTTCAGGAACCAGCCCTTACCTGTCCCTATAATATATTTTATGCTATTTGTCATCATTTTTAAAACTATAGAACTCTCACAGGATAAAATCTCCACATTCAGGAAAAGAAAAACAATCACTAGAGCTTTATGTGAGTCTAAACTATAACATGCAGATTTATCTTACTTCAGTATTTGGATATTATGTTTACTTTCTTAATTTTTGATTTATTGTGATTGGAGGTATCAAAGCTATATCCTTAAACACAATTGTATATAGTTTTGTACGCTGTGTAGCCAGTGAGCATATATTTTTCTACTTTTTGATAGCTAACCAATTGAAAGCGCCTTTTTCATGGATTGGAACCACATGAATGAAGCCTTACTACAATTGATAAAGGTTCCAATGAAGATTCCAGCGCATTGCAACTGACCCTTTCTATATTACTTGATCTGTGCTGGATCATCTGGATGCATTTAATAAAATATCTTAGAGCTCGGTCACATCTTTTGTGTTTTTGTGGGATCCTATACTAATCTCTTCTCCCAGATGCAGTTCCTTTTTGAACTTATAGCAAATGCTGTACTCTGGCAGTATTTTTTTTTTCACTTATTTATGGAGTCATGTTCTCTTGTGGTGATTCTCTTGTGGTGAACTAGTGACATATTGGTTTGTGCTAATTCATTCAAAATGCTTTACAGGTATCAAGTTCTTCAGATAAGTTAAAATCCAAAGGTGCAAGAGCTGGAGATTCTAATGGCCCTGTCAAGGGTACAATGCAACTGCCATTACAGCTTTCTGGCAGCTTTATTCGCGCTCCAGTAAAACATGAGCTTGTAAAGCCAACTCAATCAGGAAGCTTTCAAGTCCTTAGCCGTGAGCAGAATGGTACTGTAAATACTGCCAAAGAAAGTACTAGCAATCCTGCGAGCCCTGTTCTAGGCCGATCATATTCAGTAGAACCACTGAGAAAGCCTATTGTAAACCAAAAGCTAAAGGGTGTTGCTAATGGTCTCCCTTTACAACTGCAAGGATCATTTGGTGAGAGAAAATCAAGTGCGAAAGATAAGCATAAATTCTTTGAGTTGCTGCGCAGCAAATCATTGAATGGTTCGTGCACTTCTACTGTGTCTTCATCTACATTGCTTGATGAGCAAAACAACTCTTGTCTTGAATTGTTTGATTCTGGAGTCAAATGTATGGAACATGGAAGTAGTTCTTGTGAGGAAGCAAATTCTTGTGAGGGATCTCAGCAGCACCTTTCTGACAATGAGGAAATCAATCCACCATGGGAACCACATGATGTTTTTGATGAAGGAATGCAAGAGGTTCTGTCTGACAACAGGGATTTTAACTCTTCATCAGAAATTGCTGACACACAAGATGTATATATGAAGCCCCATACAAATAATGCTGGTTCCTCTCCGTCCATCATACCTGCAGAAATTTATGATGGCTCCATGGGGTCCAACTGTAGTGATGATGAAACTGTTATGTTGTTTGAACCCATTGGAACAGGGGAAGAGGAATCCTATCCTGCTCAAGACAGACCTAGTCCAGAGGAGATGGCTTTCTTGGTTTCTCTTGGCTGGAAAGAGGATGAAATAGTTCCACCTCTGAAACAGGAAGAAATTGCTGATTGTGTAAGTGTTTCTTATGTTTTGCTAATTTCAGCAATAATTTTTTATTCTCTTCCCATACACAATTTACATGTTTAGGGGCTTAACTTTTTAAAAACATTTTCACTAATATTCATAGTTGACCCAGCACTTAAATTGACCCCATTCATTCAGCTTCATAAAAAAAATCTAGTTGAAGATTCCCATTCTGGTATTCACTTTGTAGTCTTACATGGGTGGTCTAATGGGATGGCTTGCCATGTCAGCAAAATGGATTGATAGTGTGGCCTGCTAAGCAAGTGTTGGGCACCATCATCATTGTACTGCAGATGAGGCTTGCTAAATCACCAAAACATAGGGTTTAGTTAATGCTGAAATGGAAATCCAGTGAGCGCTGACAAAATAGCTACACTGGAAACCCTGTTGAAGTTTCTGGACCAATGGTCCTCTCTTACAACCATACTTATACATCACATTTGGTAGTGCATACCTCTTTTGAGAGTCTAAAAACCAAAAGGAGCTAAAATGACTCCTACCGATGTTTAAATACCTTAGAAACAAGATATGTAATGCAGGAGAGATGTGATGTTTAATGATGGCAAACAATGAAATGGTCATTCATGTGCAAGTCCCCTATATTATGCAACAAGATTGAAAAAAAATGTAGACCTTATAAAAAGAAACAAAGGGGGCATTATTTTAGTATACCTTCAATCTCTGTTATGCACACTGGTAAATTTCATGCTTGTCAATCATTTTCTCATGACATAATGTCCCACTGTTTTGTAGTTACGTCACAATGTGAGGCTGCAGCAGAAGCTTGAGGAGTGTAGGGGTTAATGCAGTAACGCCAGAATTTTACCGAGCAACATGACGGGGGATCTCATCGTGCTGATAACCTGTGGATGTGAAGCTGTATCTTGATGGTTTTCGGCAACCACTTCAGCCGTCAGTATGACTGTCTAGCTTAACAAATTGAGTTTTTTTGTTGATGTTTCAGCGATGTGGGGATGTTTCATGAGTAGAAAATTTTCCCTGCTGAAAAGAGGTTTTAAGGTTTTCTCCCTCATTTTCCCAGAAGGAATACTAAATGAAATTCTGTCTGGTGTTGGAGGCACATAGGTGTGCGGTGCTCTGAAAGAATAGGTTTTCTTTTTACTACTCATGCTTGTCCTTGTTTCAGAAATCAGAAATGAAAGGAAAAGAATACTGGGTCTTAACATGAAAGTTGCATAGGGTTTTCTTGGTATACTCAAAGTTTGCATTACTTCATTAAATTTGCTCGTTTGGCCCAGTGCGGAGTTGATTTGTTGGGAGCCCCTGATGTTCACATTTTACGCTGGGTGTGTTTAGTTCACATCAAAATTGGAAGTTCGGTTGAAATTGGAACGATGTGATGAAAAAGTTGGAAATTTATGTGTAGGAAAATTTTGATGTGATGAAAAAGTTGGTAGTACGAAGAAAAAGTTTAGAACTATACAAGGCCGCTGTAGAACGAAAGCTCTCCTGGGAAAAAATATCCCGATGAGCTTCTGCTACTATTGATGGCCCAGATTGCGCAGTTGCTATTTTGCAATTCCAAGTACACTGGTTCTCAATTCCTCGAGATTATCCTATTTCTCCTCCAATATAAATATATAAATCTTTCGATAACCGTAAGTGTCTGTCTTATGTCGAGTTCAAACTTTTTTTTTATCACCAAAGCATACACGTTACTTTCAGGTATCCACAAATTATTATGTCTTCTAAATGACAATTCGTGTTATCCAGTAGTGTGTTATAAGATTCTATGATGACTTAGAATCTTACATCATATGTTGAGCACCTGTCCACTTCGATGGGACCCTACAAGATGGACGGCAGTGATCCATTGATATATGCTTAGGGGCCATTGATAACGTGATTTGCTGGTAAAACGTACCTTTCTCACCTTATACACCTTTTGGCGACTAAAATAAAGAGAAGCACATCAGGTTGCTCACCCAACAAACACAAGCCTCATATCTCATACTAAGATGTCTAAGTATTAGACAGTTCTACTTGCCCATCCATTTCGAGGACGACAAATTTGTCTCTCTCTTGTGAAATACCTGGCGCCTATTCCTTTTGGGATCTGACGATATAGGTTTAAACATATAGAGTATCAAATATTTTTCATCTCTGTCGGTCAAAGTTAAATGTTGGATTCTCTCGGAAGTTAATAGGCGGAAACAAATGTGTACCTATTACACACACAAAAAAAACAAAACAAAACAAGAGAGTTCCTTATCAGAGTTTCTTGCAAGGGAATCAAGCTCGTTCACTACTTGGAAGAGAACATGGACAGGGGCCTAATTCTAAAGGTGACAGGTTGCTCACCAACTCAGGCAACCTCTCTCCATGTTGGCTACCTAGCTCACCTGGTCTTTGGCTTTCAAAAGTTAGAATCCGAGTCCAGTAGGAGTCTGCCATACCCATCTTCTAGAAAGTATTTAGAAGCAAAGCTTCCAGGAAGGTCCTAAAATTTAACTAACTCGCCAAAATCCCAACCATTTCGACCTAAAAGTGTACCTCCAAATTTTTGGGCCATAGTGACACAAAAAGTATACAATCTTACAAAGTACAAACCAAACAAGCACCAAGGGGAAGCTTAGTCAAGTGCAAAAAGTTGCCGCCTCAAATTAGGTACCAATATATACATCCCATCCTACCTAGCTTCCACCTCAGCTCAGTCAGCTGTGTCTCCATTTCTTTTCTCCCATTAGTTTCTTCTCAAATTGCCTTGGTTTGCGTGTATCAGTGTATGGTCATAGAGCAAACCTAACTATAACTACCAAATCATAATTATATTTGGTCACAAATATATATATCTATAGCCTTTGTCCAATAGAAGGATTGAGCATTTGCTTTCCCGTGTCATCTTTGTGAAGCAAAGCGATCGATGGAGGCGCGAGTGCTTGTGTTGGTGACCATGGCGATCGCCGCCGCGTGCTGGGCCACCGGCGGCGTGGCCGCGGCGGCGACGGCGGCGACGACGACGACGACGTCCCGCCTCAAGGGCCTGCGCGTGCACCTGACGCACGTGGACGCGCACGGCAACTACTCGAGGCACCAGCTGCTGCGGCGGGCGGCGCGGCGGAGCCACCACCGCATGTCGAGGCTGGTCGCGCGGGCCACCGGCGTGCCGATGACGTCGAGCAAGGCGGCCGGCGGCGGGGACCTGCAGGTGCCGGTGCACGCCGGGAACGGCGAGTTCCTGATGGACGTGTCCATCGGCACGCCGGCGCTGGCCTACTCCGCCATCGTGGACACCGGCAGCGACCTCGTGTGGACGCAGTGCAAGCCGTGCGTGGACTGCTTCAAGCAGTCGACGCCGGTGTTCGACCCGTCGTCGTCGTCCACCTACGCCACCGTGCCGTGCTCCAGCGCCTCCTGCAGCGACCTCCCCACCTCGAAGTGCACGTCGGCGTCCAAGTGCGGCTACACCTACACCTACGGCGACTCCTCGTCGACGCAGGGCGTCCTCGCCACGGAGACGTTCACGCTGGCCAAGTCGAAGCTCCCGGGCGTCGTCTTCGGCTGCGGCGACACCAACGAGGGCGACGGGTTCTCCCAGGGCGCCGGGCTCGTCGGCCTCGGCCGCGGCCCGCTCTCGCTGGTGTCCCAGCTCGGCCTGGACAAGTTCTCCTACTGCCTCACCTCCCTCGACGACACCAACAACAGCCCGCTCCTCCTCGGCTCCCTCGCCGGCATCTCCGAGGCCTCCGCCGCCGCGTCGTCGGTGCAAACCACGCCTCTGATCAAGAACCCGAGCCAGCCATCCTTCTACTACGTGTCCCTCAAGGCCATCACCGTCGGGTCGACGCGGATCAGCCTCCCGAGCTCGGCGTTCGCCGTCCAGGACGACGGCACGGGCGGCGTCATCGTGGACTCCGGCACGTCGATCACCTACCTGGAGGTGCAGGGGTACCGCGCCCTGAAGAAGGCGTTCGCGGCGCAGATGGCGCTGCCGGCGGCGGACGGGTCGGGCGTCGGGCTCGACCTGTGCTTCCGGGCGCCGGCCAAGGGCGTGGACCAGGTGGAGGTGCCGAGGCTGGTGTTCCACTTCGACGGCGGCGCCGACCTGGACCTGCCGGCGGAGAACTACATGGTGCTCGACGGCGGCTCCGGCGCGCTGTGCCTCACGGTGATGGGCTCCCGGGGGCTCTCCATCATCGGCAACTTCCAGCAGCAGAATTTCCAGTTCGTGTACGACGTCGGCCACGACACGCTCTCCTTCGCGCCCGTGCAGTGCAACAAGTTGTGACGCTCGCCCGTGCCCGCGTAGGCGTACGTGCTCCGTGTTACGTGAGTCGTGATGTATACGCGTACTTGTGTATGTACGATGCACTTTGTACTAGTAGTACTCATCTAACAGGACGGATAGACGAATATGCGTTCAACACCGATCGATCATCGATGTAATTATTATCGAATTGTTCATTTGTTTGGTATGGTTCGGGAACTACTACGTTCTGGCCTTCTGGGAAGCATTGGTTATTGGGGGAAAAAATAGCAAGAGAACTCGTTTCTCATTTTCAGTATCTCTGCCTTTTCTTGGCATGCCTGCATTGTATCAGTGCTGCTCAGGGTTTTGAAGGACTCTCACCATTTCCGTGGTTCTCAGAACTAACACGAGACGGTCGACCACTACCCACAGCCCCACAAATATGACACGGAAGAGTTTGAAATTCATCGTTGAACCGTAATACTGGGTATAATCTGTTCTTCAACCTACAAAACGGGGTTACGTTTGGTTAAGGCAGTATTACTCCCGATTTTGGTTGATATGACGGTCGAGTCAGCATAAGACCAACATATCAGGGCATTTCAATCTTAAAAAAAGATATTGGTGGACCTCATGTCAGTGACACAAACTCTCCTCCATCTCCCTCTGTTTCGAGCGACAGCGGGTGTGGCGAGTGGCTTGCTCGAGAGCATGCAACAGGTGAAGCGGGAGAGCCACGCCTTGTTGGGGTCCGCCTTGTCGGGCTTATTCGCGAGGTAGATGGAGAGTTAGCAGTCGCCGGACTTGGCCCCTTTCGCGCCACCATCGCCAAACCAGCCGCGGAGCGCATGGAGGTGGAGTTGGACAGACCCCGACGGTGGGAGGGACTCCATGGGCGTGGACAGCGGGAGCGGGTGGTCATCAGCAATGAGGTAGAACGATGCCGGTTGCGACAACGATTATGACAACGTATGGAGGAGCACTGCAGGGCGATGTGGAGGCCGAGAACGTAGAGTCGGCTCACGAAGAGATGCGCACCATCTCCTACAAGGCGTGGGCCCGCTTTTTGCCCCCGAAGCTTGTTGATTTAGGAAATGGCGTCACCGAGCAACGACGCCTTGTCCATCTTGAACATGTTGGGCACCACAACACGACAACTTCTTTGGTGAGGGAGCTCGAGGAGGGATGATGGATGGCCCGGAGGGAGAGGGGAGAAGGAGGCGTCATCCCGTTGATGTCCAGGATGGAGAGGAGTGGAACACACTGACATATGGGTTTCACTATTTTTTTTATCTTTTATTTGACTGACATGTGGCCCCACATTTTTGTTTTAATTGTTATATTTTGCATCCAGTATCACATCATCGCCATATAGGATGAGGACCAAGTCAAACCAACCAACCATTCAAGCCTTTGAACTCGTATCAAGTTAAGGGATCTAAAATGAACTTATTTCCATATGACACTAACCATTCGTCCATCCCCGCACGAGGCCGCCGTGTGGGCTATTGGTACCTAGTAGCCCATTCTCGAGGCCCATAGAACTCTCTCGAGCAGCGGCCTCGCGGGACGCTTACGCATTGGCGTCTCGCCTTTGCGGCCGGCCCAGCATCCGCACCGGACAAAAAAAAAAGCCGCTACCACCGCGCATCACGCATCTCCCGTCCTATGTGGCGGTGTAGCCGTGTGTAACGTGAGGCGGACCGCAACGACGTCTTTGGTTTGGAGGAGAGAGTAGGGGGGGGGCAGAATTGCTAATTAGCATGTACGCGCCATCTACTTAACTCGTGCGCATTTTTTGCGCATAGCTCCGCATGAGGCCCACGCCCTTATGCGCAGCCCATCAGTTTTCCTTGCGCGTGGCAACAGTCATTCCCTTTTCTTTTTCGGGTCGCGAAGCCGCCGTATGTGCACAGAAATCAGGAGAAAAAACGTGATTAGCTGAGCTTTACGTGATTATATCTGATAATCATGGTCAATCAAGATATATTTCTTTTTTTTTTCACACAACATTGTTTTCCTTTTTTTACTAAAGATTTGAAACCTACCAACTTGAATTTTAAAAACTTTCAACTACAAATTTAAATTTTTAAGTCAATTTGAAAACATTCAAGTCAGATTTTGAAAACTTTCAAGTCGGATTTTGAAAATTTTTAACTCAAAATTTAAAACTTTCAACTCGAAATTTGATTTTTTTTAAGTCAATGTTTGAAAACTTTTCATCCCAAACTTGAAAAACTTTCAATTCAGATTTGAAAACTTTCAACCCAGATTGAAAACCTTTCAACTCAGATTTAAAAACTTTCAACTCAAATTTGAAAACTTTCTAATCAAAATTAAAAATTTTCAACTCAAAATAGAAAACTTTCAACACAAAATTTAAAAACTTTCAAGTCAAGATTTGAAAACTTTTAAGTCAAAATTAAGAACTTTCAATTCTACATTTGTAAAGAGGCGTGCGAAAGATTGAAAAAAATTTGGAAAGAAACAACCCAAAAAAAAAAGGAAAAAAAAAGCTCGGACATGGAGTCACGGTCCGCGTGGCTCGAGTCGTACAGCCTCTCTCGCGGCCTCGCGGGTGATGGATAACACGGAAATAAGAGAAACTTTTTTTTGGGGGGAATAACTAGAGAAACTTGCTCGGTACTAATCGGTACAGTACGTTGGGCGTCTCCTGCTAGTGCTACCGTTGAGCTTCTACCCCTACAAAACCCCGTTTAGTTCCTTAAAAAAATTTTCCCTCAAACATCACATCAAATTTTTGAATACAAGCATGAAGCATTAAATATATATCAATAAAAAAAAGCTAATTGCATAGTTAGGGAGGAAATCACGAGACGAATCTTTTGAGCCTAATTAGTTCATGATTAGCCATAAGTGCGATAATAACCCACATGTGCTAATGACGGATTAATTATGCTCAAAAAATTCGTCTCGCGGTTTCCATACAAGTTATGAAATTATTTTTTTTATTCATGTTTGAAAAGCCCTTCTGACATCCGATCAAACATACGATGTGACACCCAAAAATTCTCTTTTCGCGAACTAAACAGGTAAAAAAAAAAAGAGGAACACGGCTAACATAATTCTCTCCAGCACTCAGAATATCGTTGTGCATCACGTAAAGTCGGTAACTGTATTCCATCGATGAAAGGGAATAGAATGCTGCTCCTGATCGCTGGTATACCACGACATAAACTTATTTCCTTTTTTTTTTTGACCGTGAAAGTGCATTTCATTCAGAAGATGATCTAGCTAAATCGCTAGACACCAGATGAGTTACAAACTCTGGAAAGTTATCAAACCAGATCAAACGACTATTAGGTTCCAGGGAAGCTCCAAAATTAGCCAAAACATGGGCAACACCATTACAATTTCTAGGACAAAACTGGACCCTAACATCTTTGTAACTAGATAGCAACAAACTTTTGATAGCTTTAAAAATGACAGCATTAACACCATTATTCTCCTGAAGATCATTTAGACCAGAAACTAGATTGAGAGCATCTGATTCAATAATTAGACTTTCAATACCCAAGTATGTAGTTAAAAATATTGTTCTCTCTGCAGCACATGCCTCAGAATGTAAAGCATCCTGTAGATTTCCCAAATTTCCAGCTGCAGCCATCAAAATGTTTCCTAGTTCATCACGTAGCACACACCCCCATCCTCCATTTCTTGTATTTGGATCAAAAGCACCATCTATATTTGCTTTCAAGAAACCATTGTCAGGTTTACTCCAAGATTCACATTTGACTTTCTTATGCCATAGTTCATTTCTCTTAGCTAGACAATTAAAATCCCCTAGGGTAAGATAAATTGCATTCATGATACTTTGTGCTTGTACTTGACCTTGTCCCGAATTTACTCTATTTCTTTCATCCCACCATTTCCAAAGTAAAGCAATTATCTTCAGTTGTTTGTCATGAGGAAAATTCCAAATCTCCTCCAACACCTCTTTGGGTGAACCGCACAACATTAGTTTTAATCTTTCTTGCTCAAGATCTATTTGACGCCAACATTTTCGAACAACTTCTAACACCGTACCCCAAAAAAAAAAAAAGCACACCGTGCAAAGAACACAAGGACGCCAAGCCATATGCCCATCTGCTGCTGCTACTCTCAACCAGTTCTTCTTTCCTATACCACCACCACCTTTCTGTGCTCCCAAAACCATCCGCAACAACTCGTATTTATAGAGGTCATCCTCGTTTACTTAGCCCATTTCATACGTCCGTCCAAGCGACACCCGCCCACATGCGTAACGCCGGCAGTTGAACCAGTTCGCGGTCACCCCCACTGGCCAGTGGGCACTGCCACGCCGCGACGATGAACGCCGCCGTGTTGCTGCTGCTCCTCGCGCTCGCCGCCCTCCCGGCGTCGTGCGCGCCGCCGAGATCCTTCCGCCTCGAGCTCGCCAGCGTCGACGCCTCGGCAGCCGACGCCGCCAACCTCACGGAGCATGAGCTCCTGCGGCGCGCCATCCAGCGCAGCCGGTACCGGTTGGCCGGCATCGGCATGGCGCGCGGCGAGGCGGCCAGCGCGCGCAAGGCCGTCGTGGCCGAGACGCCCATCATGCCGGCCGGCGGCGAGTACCTGGTGAAGCTCGGCATCGGCACGCCGCCGTACAAGTTCACGGCGGCCATAGACACCGCCAGCGACCTCATCTGGACGCAGTGCCAGCCCTGCACCGGCTGCTACCACCAGGTCGACCCCATGTTCAACCCCAGGGTGTCCTCCACCTACGCCGCGCTGCCGTGCAGCAGCGACACGTGCGACGAGCTGGACGTGCACCGGTGCGGCCACGACGACGACGAGTCGTGCCAGTACACCTACACGTACAGCGGCAACGCCACGACGGAGGGCACCCTGGCCGTCGACAAGCTGGTCATCGGCGAGGACGCGTTCCGCGGCGTCGCCTTCGGCTGCAGCACCTCCAGCACCGGCGGCGCCCCGCCACCGCAGGCGTCCGGTGTGGTCGGCCTCGGCCGCGGCCCACTCTCGCTGGTGTCCCAGCTCTCTGTGCGGAGGTTCGCCTACTGCCTGCCCCCGCCGGCGTCGAGGATCCCCGGGAAGCTCGTCCTCGGCGCCGACGCCGACGCCGCCCGCAACGCCACCAACCGGATCGCCGTCCCGATGAGACGGGACCCGCGGTACCCGTCCTACTACTACCTCAACCTCGACGGCCTGCTCATCGGCGACAGGGCGATGTCCCTGCCGCCAACGACGACGACGACGGCGACGGCGACGGCGACGGCGCCGGCGCCGGCGCCGACGCCCTCCCCGAACGCGACGGCGGTCGCCGTGGGCGACGCGAACAGGTACGGAATGATCATCGACATCGCGTCGACGATCACGTTCCTGGAGGCATCGCTGTACGACGAGCTGGTGAACGACCTGGAGGTGGAGATCCGGCTGCCGCGCGGGACGGGGTCAAGCCTGGGCCTCGACCTGTGCTTCATCCTGCCCGACGGCGTGGCGTTCGACCGGGTGTACGTGCCGGCGGTGGCGCTGGCGTTCGACGGGAGGTGGCTCCGGCTGGACAAGGCGCGGCTGTTCGCGGAGGACAGGGAGAGCGGGATGATGTGCCTGATGGTGGGGAGGGCGGAGGCGGGCAGCGTCTCCATCCTCGGCAACTTCCAGCAGCAGAACATGCAGGTGCTCTACAACCTTCGCCGCGGCAGGGTCACCTTCGTCCAGTCCCCCTGCGGCGCCCTGCGATGAGATCTCTCGTCACCAGTATCTTTGTAAAACCCTGCATACATCAATTCATCATCATCGTGGCTGGCTTATGGCCTGATGTAGTTAGTGCTCATCAACAAATTATTTGGATACTCAGAGATGCTTTGATTAGCTTGAATCATAAAACATTTTATACGACAAAGCATGGTCGAGTGACCAAGCCTGCAGGCTGCAGCTAACTAGACCATGCACAGTGATTATGCTTCAATATAAGAGAAGTAGAGAACAATCTTGTTTTGAAAGTAAAAAAGAAGGGTTTGATTCCCAACGCAGTAATGTGGCAGTTTTCATACCCCCAACTTAAATCCTTATTGCGAATTTTCTACTGCCATCTACAGATGGACAAGAATATCGGCAGAAGCTGTCCACATTTACAAGATTCAAGATGTTTGAGCATGAATTGATCTAACTTCCTTCAGTTATATTTTTACCCTCCCAAAGAGGAGGGAAATGCCATCCTTCAGCAAGATACCGCAGTGTCTGGATACTTGCGCACAGCATTTGCCAGATCCTGGACATGTGGATCAACAACTCCTGCCAAGAACATATAATTGATACACACGCTAGAATCTTCTAAAGAATAAAAAGGCAACACAAAGATGATGACCTTACCTATTTTGTTCAATGCATCCTCAAGTTTGAACAGGTACTCTTTGTTAGGTCCAGATGGGCCTTCAGCTAGGTAAATTTGCCTATACATAGCACAAGTTATTATGGAAATTTACCTCAGATTAAGTTGCAATATGCCAATACTACAAGTTAAGTAGGTGCTATACTTGGCCATTTCTTCCAGCGGTGCAGGACCAAGGTAGTTTTGGTTGCTCTGCTTGTTTGTTGTGGCTAAGTATCTGTTGGTCGTGCATGACATTACATCAATTAAACATTAATTTATACTACTTCAGTATTGATTTTAATATTACAAAATCTCTGTAAGTCATAAAGAAGATCAGAAAATCACTTACACCATCACATTTTTGACGGCTGGTGTTTTTGGTGAGGAGTCCTGTTGCAGATCCAGACATATGAGCAATAAGTTAACTGCACATCAAACATTCTGCTACAAGAGAATAATTTTTTTTGAACGAATCGGCAAGCTGCCAATTTCATTGAATAGAGAAGGAGTAAACTTTACAAGTAAGAAAAACCAGGCCCAGGACCTTCGGTCCTACTGAACAAGAGAATAATTTCATTATTCATATCTTACCATATACAAATCAAGGTAAATCTTCTCATCATATTGCTTCTCTCTTACTTCCAGATGCTGCAATTCAAATCTGAAGGTAAATATGCAAGCAAGGTAAGCAACTGAAAGTCAGTTTATAAAGCACTGATTAAGGTATTGTTACTTCAGTTCTCAGGCTGCCATAAGGCCCATAAAGAGGGATGGCATCTAGATAACATTTATCTGAGTTCATTCAGATGACCATCTGGGACAATATCGCATTTTCAGAGTAGTTATCATTTGGCTATATTGAATCATATATTTCAATGGACTAGAAAAGAACAAATGCACAATTGACCAATCTATTTAACTCCACACAAACAGACAAGCAACATCAGGATTTTCCAATCAAGAAATAGTTGTGTAAACTGAATATTATGGCACAGTATTAGTGAACAAAACAAACCTAACTACCGTCTTGGAAAACTTACCTCCAGAGCTGTCTGCTTATCTTGTTCCGTTGAAATTTTGTAAGCAACACCCCACTACATCATAAAACAAAGAGATTCATTTACAAATTCAATGTATGCACTGAGAACAGGGTTACTTGGCCTGCAGAACAGCATAAAAAGATGGAAGAGAACATGCCAAATAGCTATGAGATCATTAGTCCATTTTGCATATCACAAACAAGCTCCTTTTTTACCATTTGTACCACCCTTCAGAGTTCAGATCGATCTCGGTATCTCAATGACCATTTTAATTTGGACTGCAAGAGAGTCTCAGTGCCACTCTTTTACCATTACTGCAGAAAGGTCTCCCCTTATAGCCCATTCTTAAATACCTTAGGAAGTTAGGATACAGGATTACAAGTACACATCTGATTATCTGATGATCATTGTTTTCATCCGATCACTGATACACAAACTCATACTTACTCCTTATTAGCATGGCTGACCAGTAGTACCTCAGTTTCACAGATGTACCGAAATAAAGATATCAACAACAACAACAACAACAAAGAAGCATCTTAAAGCATAATGTAATCCATGCTCAATTCAACACAAGGATTAACGATTAGCAAGTCGCGTAGCACATCAACAAAGAACATATGAGAGAGAAGCGTTACGCATGTGGCGCCGGGCTGGTGCTCGAGCGTGACGGTCCTCCCGGGGAACTCCGGCGTGCCCCTGTGGTCCGTGCTCCCTGTCCGCACCCGGCGGCGACCGGAGAACCAAAGAGAATCAGTAGGGGATCAACACATCAAACAGCGGCGGCACAAACCGCGGGGGCGGGATTGGACGAGATGCAACAACCGCAACCACGCAAGCAGGTGGTAGTGGTATTATTTACCCTGGTAGAAGACGCGGCGGTAGTCCCTGACGAAGCCGACGAGGCGGGCGTCGTGCGCGAAGCCGGGGTTCCAGACCAGGGACCCGTACCCGAACACCCACATCGCCATGGCCTCCGCGCTCCCGGCTGCTCCGGTGGAATGGCGTATTGGTTGCGCCGCGTGCGATGCGAGCTGTGAATGGTGTGGGCAGAGTGTTCTTTGTGGGCTCTGCTTCTCTGATAGGGTATACGCGAATCGTGCACCACGCAGGAATCGAGAGCAAGACAACAAATTGGCCTCTCTTTTTTTTGGCCCTGGATGGCTGAATAGGGACAATTGGCTGAGAAAAACCAAAGGTTGGACTAGTGCCAAGTGGGTTCCGTTGCATATGCCAGCAATTTTGCTCCCCTCGTTCCAAATTTAATTTCCAACAGTTCAGCAATCACCATCAAGCTAAACATCCCCTCAAAAAAAAAATCATCAAGCTAAACATGCCCAGAATCTTTCCCTCTGTCGCCACCCAAAAAAAAAAGAGCTCTGGATAAGAGGAAGAGCAATCTCAGCAATATGTAACAGAGGAAGTACACAGTAACTTCAGTAGACAGTAAAAGGCTCATTCTGTCTTAAGTTAGACAGCAACCAGTAGAGCATTTCAATTGGTCTCCTCATACAAGAAGCACAATCACAAATTTGGAATTTTCAAATTCCTATAAAGGGCATCTCTCTTCTTCCAAGTACCAGTACTAATAACAATACTTTCTATTCTTAGTTTGTTACTCCAGTAAATTTCCAGTGAGTAATATGCTCATATGCACCATCAGTAGCAATAAGAGAGAAGGTAACTGAACCCAAACAAACAAAATGCGCCATGTAGGCATAAGGTTGTGAAGGACAGGGCAGATGCTGCAGACTGGCAGTAGACTACCAAAACAAAAGTATCTCAGAATTATGCCAAGAACTTGAAATGTTCAGTAAAGTATCCTGACGATCTTAAACTGAATTTGTTAATTATCACTATCATTGTCTTCATCATCATCGTCATTGTCGCTTCCGGTACTTGAGCAGTCACTGTACATAGGCTCCCATGGCTCCCTGAATGACTCCAGGGCACAGCATCTCAACTCAATGTCACCTTCAAGCCTGACATTCCAGCAGCCAAGTATGTCAAGCGTTTGCAGCCGAGGGCACCTGGTGAGGATGGCACCAAGTCCGGTATCGCTGAACAAGCCATAGGCAAGCTCGAGATGCTCGAGCACGGGCATGGTGTTCGCGATTGCCAAGGCCTCGTCGTTGACCACATTAGGCACCGCATTGTAACCATGGGGAACATCTGGAGGAGGCATGTTCCTCTTCAGCTGAACGAGCAGCTTGCAGTGTCGGCCTAGCGCTTCGATGCCACTCGATGAGATCTTAAGGCAGTTGCTGATGTCCAGCACTCTCAGCGCAGGAAGGAATTCGGCGTACTTCTTCACAGCTTGATCAGAAATCTCGCTCATTGGGATTTGGAGCACATTTAGCAACTTCCCACTGTAACAGAAAAAAACAGAAGAAAATATCACTATGTGGACCGATTGAGTGATGTTCATTTAGGTGTCATGTTCTCAGCATTCAACAGAAAGCAAAACATACTATTTTGTTTAAGTCAATACATGCACCAAAAGCAATGACATATTCCCATATGTTTGGGAATTGGTTGACGGGGATCAATGTGGGGTTGAGGAAACCTTTTTTTGGGTTGGGGGGGGGGCGATTTATGTTGGGCTGTTTGGCTAAATAGAAATGATATTGCTTTTTATTAAAAAAACACATTTAATCCATACAGTTTACATGTTGTGGCTGCACTTTTGGTTTTGCTAAAAAGGGAGGCACGGTGACCAGTCATTGCAGCAAGCCACTTGTTGGAGCGGGTGACAATGGAGGTGTTCAATGGCCATAGGTGAAGATATAGCAAAAGGATATGTGCATTGAAATTTTGGGTTTCTCGTTATAACCTGTTGAACTTGCTGCGGATTTATCTTCCCAAAATAGTGTGGAACTATCATAATAATTGTTTGTGGTTTTGTCACTTTGTGCCAGGGTTTAACTTTTCGATTTCGAATTAAAAACTGCTCCTCACCGGTTTACCCAAAACCGGTAAAAACCGATGACTTTCAGTCAAACCGTACGAAAATCGGCTAATATCGACCAGTTTTCACAAACCGAAACCTAGCAGTTTCAGGAAAACCGACTGGTTTTCGTGAAATTCCATCAGTTTTGTGAACCTTGCTTTGTGCATCCTAGATGTCGTGGCCGGTTTATCCATCATTAAAAAAATAGCATATTTGATTCACAAACAATGTTTATAAGAGGTTTGCTATGAGTATATGGCCCCTAATTTTAATGTACTTTTGGAATATCTACACTGATGCATTATATTCCCATCAATTCAAATCTAGCCATAAGTCACATGCTTACCAGTGATAAATTACTGTCATGATAAGACGCATACATCCAAAATGTCATATGCCAGTGTTCATACTTTAGTACATGTCAAGATGCATCTAAACTAATAGTCCCTCCAGCTGTTATGTTTATTTGACGCTGGGAGAATTAAGTTTAGTTCCCCTGGCGTCAAATAAAAATAACCGGAGGGAGTAGTATATTATCAACCTATGTTTATTTGTATTGTTTTAGATGAAAAAAAGAGGTGAAAGAATTATGCACTCTTTAATTCATAGCAAGACGTTACAAAGTGAAAAAGTCCATTTTTTACATAACGGCTAAGCCTTGGAAGGTCAACAGAGATAGGAAAACCGAACATGTTTGTGAGATATGAACTGCACATTTATGGATGTGAGTTCCAATTCACTGCTTCTAAAAGTACCAACCTAGGATGTGAACCGGTAACCGGTTGAGGGAAATGTACAAGCTTGAGCAGCTAAATTCACGGCTTCCAGTGTAAAGAATGGATTTTTACAGTGCAACGCAACCGAACACACTCTAATTTTAAACTTACTAGTACTAAATTCTACCTCAATAGATATCACAATTCTGCAAATATCGATGCACCACGGTAGAATTTTCATTCTCTATGTTAGTGATCAGTGATCACAAATTCACAATATCACACTTACGAGGCAAAAGGGAACGCGACTTACGAGGCAGCGACGTAGGCGAGCGCGGCGTCCCCGACGCGGTAGGCGGAGAGCTGCCGGAGCGTGCCCCGCGCGAGGGCGACGAGGCGGCGCACCGCGGCGTCGGCCCTGGGGCGGCAGTTGACGCGGCGGCACCACGCCTCGATGTCCACGTCCCCCCACACGTCCGGCGCCGCCGCGGCCTCCCTCCACGCCCTGCACACGCGCGCCGCGCCCCGCGCCACCTCGTCCGCGTCCACCCTGCCCCGGAGTATGAGCGCCAGTATCTCCGGGCTCACCGCCTCCGTCCACCTCCACTCGTACATTCGCCCCTCGCCGCCATCGCCTCCCACCTCTCCTCCTCCTCCTCCGCCCCATTCCCCGGCATCGAAAGGCCTCTCTCTCTTCGCCTCCGCCTCCGCCTCCGGACGAAACCGAACGTGCTTTCCTGCTCCGCCGGTGGCCGTACCCGACGCCCTCGTTGCTGCCGCCTCCGACCAACTCCCCCAACACGAGCCATCAAGCTCAAGCCCCGCCTCTTCCTCCTCCAACCTCCTCATCCACCCTCCTCCGTCGCCGGTGACGGCAGCATCGCCCCGACCGCTAGGCTTCTTCTTCATGGCCTCCGCGTGCGACCACTTCACCACGGGCGCCGCTCTCTTCCCCTCGAACCCCGGCCATCTCCCCTTCTGGCCTCCTCCCCCCGTGAATCTACCTCCCGAGCTAGAACCGCAACGCCTCATCGCCGGCGGGCGATCGCCTCCGGCGACGGCGAGCTCGCTCCCCTTGCGCTTCTTGGTTTTCCTCTTTGGGAATTTGGGGAGTGGGTTTCCGAGAGCTTCAATGAAGCTCCTCTATATAGCCATGGCGCAGTGGAGCGGAAGAACCGATGCGCGACACGTGTACAATCGGACGGTGGAAGAGCTGCTGCCTTTTCGAGTTCGTCAGGTTCGGACGTAAAGCTCAGAGTACAGTGACATTTAACTCCTCGCATGTGCAATTAATTATTTACCACTCTCTCTATAATACGTAGGCTTTCACGTATCTATGACATGGGGTCCAGTGACAAATAATTTGGTGCCACTCGTAAGAGTGGTAAATAGTTAATTATTCCTCGAGTTACATGGCTAACTCTTAGTTTGGAACGTACATCTCACTTCCATGTGGGGTACACATCATGTGGGCCCGCGAGTTTTGGTCTTAAATCTCGTTTGGTGTTCGCTTCGCTGGGGGACGCGGAGCTACGCAGCATCCGGTCGTGTCCACGACCCCACGTGCCCACCCTTTTCGCTCAAATGGGCTGGAATTCTTACTGGGCGGCCCATTAAGGCCCACGATGAGGTAACCCACACCCACCTGTGCGGACTCCGCTATAAAAGCCCAGCCCATTCGGAAGCGGATGCCCTAGCAAATCGCGGAGCCACCGGTCTCTCCCACCTCTCCCTCCCCCGCGAGCGAATGGCGGCGAGCCGCTCGCGGGAGCGGAGCTCGCGCACGCCGCTGCTCAAGCTCAACAAAGCGCGCCCCCGCGCCCCTCCTCGAGATGAGGCCTCAAACCCTAAGCCGCGAGAGCACCACCACCGCCAACGCCCACGCCCGCCGCCATGGCCGTCGTCTCCGAGAGCTCGCGCAAGGCGCTGCTGCCCAGCTTCCTGTACGCGGCCCCTGCCGCCTCCTCGTCGCCGTCGTTCGCGGCCGCCGCAGCCGTGGGTGTACGTGGGGTCCCCGCGCCGTCGCTGGCGGGGCCGGCGGTGTGGGCTCGCTCGCCGAGAGAGCCGGCGGGGAAGATTGAGATGTACTCGCCGGCCTTCTACGCCGCGTGCACGGCCGGCGGCATCGCCAGCTGCGGGCTCACGCACATGACCGTCACGCCGCTCGATCTCGTCAAGTGCAACATGCAGGTGAGATTCACGCAAATTTCCCTGTTCGATTCGGATTGCAACTGTCGTGACTCGTCTACTACTACTACGTAGAAGCTTTCTGGGTTGTGATCGCATTAAATTTATGAATGCTGCCGCACACATAGCATGTTGATGATGCATTGGTTCTGTTGGTCAGTTTGAGATTTCGGTTCGTCATTTGGATCACCTGGCGATCCGTAGTTCTTATGTAATCCGGGTTTGAAGTCTTGGCATCATGCATTCATGCAAGGTTATAATGAGTATCGCCTGCAATGATTCTGAACATGAATGTTCTATCTGATCCTTCAAGGCATACAATTTCTTGTATGTACTTCCTTTCAATTTGCAGTTGGCTACCATTATTTACACATTGTTTAGCAGTTTGTTGTAACATTAACTACATGGGTACATGTACCCTTAGTCTTTGAGCAGAGCCAGGAGTGAGTCATGTTAGATGATGTTCACCTATGCATATATATATAGAGGAGGGAGAAGGATAAATCCCCCTCTACCCTTCTCTTAAATAGATCTAATAAGCGTAGTTGGGTGCATTCCAAGTGACTATTCCAGGACATATTCCTTTGGTATCCTAAGGATATTCTCCTAGGAGACGCCGTAGGAGACATCGTTTGTGCTCATTGCTTTGCTTGTATATTGTCACTGTTATGAACCAACTACCAAGCAATAACGAACCATTGCAACTTATCTTTTGCGGTGTTCATAATTGCAAATTTGCAGTTGATTTATAGGTCGTGTTGCATGTCTATGTGTTTTGTCGATGTATCTTGGATTCGTTGGTGGTTTCTGACCCTGTGACTGAACGACCCTCAGGCTAGTTGTTCTGTGATATGCAAATGTAGGCATGCATTGTCAAATAAAATCATTTTTAATTTGATTGAAATTATACTGATTGCAATTTCATGTCTATCTCATGTGTTTGTACCCCCTAGATTATGTGTTTGATGCATTGGCATGGAATTGCTAACATGCTGTTTATGGTCACATTAGTCATTTCTCCGAATCAATTATTTTACGTTCTTTGATTTCTCAGATTGATCCAGCCAAGTACAAGAGTATCTCATCTGGGTTCGGTGTTCTCTTGAAAGAGCAAGGAGCAAGAGGTTTCTTCAGAGGATGGGTGCCCACACTGCTTGGTTACAGTGCTCAGGGCGCGTGCAAGTTTGGTTTCTATGAATTTTTTAAGAAGTACTATTCGGACATTGCTGGGCCTGAGTATGCAGCTAAGTACAAGACATTAATTTATTTGGCTGGATCTGCTTCTGCTGAAGTAATTGCAGATATTGCACTCTGCCCCATGGAGGCTGTGAAGGTTCGTGTGCAGACACAACCTGGCTTTGCGAGAGGTTTATCTGATGGTCTTCCAAAGTTTGTCAAGGCAGAAGGCTATGCTGGGTAAGTTGATAGGGTCTTGTAAATCACATTGTTCAGTAAGCGGGTCTCTAACATCAGTCTTCCAACTCAATGTTTACTGTGCAGATTGTATAAAGGGATTGTTCCACTCTGGGGGCGACAAATTCCTTGTTAGTACCTATCTCCTTTTTAAGAATTTGCACATGTAGCGACGATTGTCTAATTTTTAAAGTCAGTTAGTGATCATTTTACATAAAATGTATAAATTTTTAGTGCAAAACCTGATTCATGCAGCTTATCCTGTTATTGAAGGGATGGGAACTCCTGAGATACTTGTTTTTTATGTAGTGTACAATGGGCATGCATGAATGATTAAGTGGTTCATTCATGACTTTGCCATGAAAGAGTACAATTGAGTTAAAAACATAATTTCAATGTTTCCATTACAGCAATGCACATAGTTCTTCTTGAAATCACCCAATGGTTTCAAGTTTTTATGTGTGCATATATTGATTTTTCCACACTGCTTGAGCTATCTCTATTACACTGGACCTAGACTCCAATGAAGTGGTATACATTGATTACTGGTATTATTTCAATTATTTTGTACCAGCAGTTATTATGATATGATGTGTTGTAGATGATGTCTTATGATCTGTCATCTTTGTTGTAATGTCATTTTTTTTTCATAATGGTGAAAACTGTTGGCCTTGAACAATTATTTAACATGATTGCAAGCACCAGTGCTCTATGAATTCTTTGTACATATTTAATGGCAACTCCAGTTTAGTCTTGTAGGATTTTTTTTTGGGTGCACATAGTTCTTCTTGCAATCATACCATGGGTTACAAGATTTTATGTGTGCATATATATACTATCCACACTGCTTGAGTTATCTCTTCTATGTTGGAGATAAACTCCAATGAAGTGGTGTACATTTATTTAAAATAAGCAAATTGAATTTCTTGTGGGGAATTTTCTGCCTTTGTATATTTAGTACCCATTTTGATTTTAAGTTGTGGGCAATTGATCTTGAGACATACAATGTTTCATGGCAATTCCAGTTTAGTCTTGTAGGATTTCTTTTTTTGGTGCACATTAGTTCTTGCAATCGTACCATGGTTTACAAGATTTTATGTGTGCATATATAAACTATCCACACTGCTTGAGTTATCTCTTCTGTTTTGGAGGTAAACTCCAATGAAGTGGTGTACATTTATTTAAAATAGACGAATTGAATTTATTGTGGGGAATTTTTCTGCCTTTGTATGTTTAGGACCCATTTTGATCTTAAGTTGTGGCAATTGATCTTCAGATGTCCATGCAATGTTGAAGTACATTTCGAGCAGCATCCAAGATACTTTTGAGTGATGCTATCATGCTGTCTATATCTGCATGCTTGGACATAAAGGCCTTGCATTTTTTGTGCACATTGTTCTTCTGGAGATCACACTATGATTTTCAAGATTTTATGTGTGCATATATAAATTTTCCACACTGCTTGAGTTCTCTCTATTACTATGGAGCTAGACTCCAATGACGTGGTGTACATTAAACAAGTGCCTAACTCATGTGAATCTTATATCGCTTGCAGCCTGCAGCAAACACCTAGTTTAATGATTTTCTCTTTTAGTTTGGATATCTGTCTGCTCAACTTATCTCCTTTTTTGTAGCAATGTCCAATTTGGTGATTTACATGAGGATAGTTCATCAGCTGTATGTTCAGCAATTAAATAAGTCAATACATTTGATGTTGGGATTTTACATTCTAGGTTCTCTGTTGTGATTGTAAATTAGTTTTTGCTATGATACTGAGCACTGATATTCAGTATGCAGCAATCAGATTGTTATCCCGTTGAGCCTTGAGTGCTTTTCATGAAATTTAATTAATTTGACCATTTTATGATACACAGATACTATGATGAAGTTTGCGTCTTTTGAAACCGTTGTTGAGATGATATACAAATATGCAATCCCTGCCCCCAAGAGTGAGTGCAGCAAACCACTGCAGCTCGGTGTGAGCTTTGCAGGTGGTTACATTGCAGGGGTGTTCTGTGCAATAGTTTCACACCCTGCGGACAATCTTGTGTCTTTCCTCAACAATGCCAAGGGCGCAACAGTTGGCGATGTAAGTTTTGTAATCACCATACCATCTTCTGTAACGTGTTTGTTGGATTTATTATTTCTTGTTGCATTTACAGGCTGTGAATAAGCTTGGTATGTGGGGTCTATTTACGCGTGGACTCCCTTTGCGTATCGTGATGATCGGTACTCTCACTGGAGCGCAGTGGGGACTCTATGACGCTTTCAAAGTGATGGTTGGACTGTAAGTGTTCCTCTTTGTTGATTCTGGCCTCTGCCAACATTGATATTGACCAACTTCAGGAAGATTTATTTGGTTTGTTCTCTTCTAGGCCAACTACTGGTGGAGTTGCTCCAACACCAGCCAAGTGATGGTTGGACTGTAAGTGTTCCTCTGTTGATTCTGGCCTCTGCCAACATTGATATTGACCAACTTCAGGAAGATTTATTTGGTTTGTTCTCATCCAGGCCAACTACTGGTGGAGTTGCTCCAACACCAGCCATTGGTGAAGAGCAGCTGAAGGCCTGATGCTTGATTCTATACTTCCGAACTTCTAACAATTCCGTGCCAACTTGGATGATGGCGAAATAGGTTCTTAGTTTAGAAACAAAAAGGATTTTGTTGACGAATGCTTATAGTTCATTAATTCAATCGCTGCTAAAAAAAACTGAGATAAGCATGCTCAGGGCTTACAAATTATAAGGGTATTGCGGTACAGAGTTTAGGATAGTAGTATAGATGGCCATTCGATGAATGATGCTTGCGTGAATGACCGTGGCATCCTTCAATTTTTGTAGGTCTATTTTTTTTATTGCAGTAGAAATGTTGATTACGCCTTGGGCCTTGGCTCTATCTTTTGCTGGCCGGTTGTTATCGTTGTAACTCTCCGCGGTATTCGTTCTTTTCTTCAGATGTCAATAATGCAATCTGTGTAGTGTTCCATTCAATATACCACTGTATCATATCTCTCTATTGTGCTAGTATTAATGAAGCTGTCGATAAGTATTTGACAACCGAAACAAATAAACTTTGGACATATGAATATGAGAATTTATCCTCCCTCCTCACATACATTATCGTTCATTCCTCAACTTTCTTAACTCATCTCATTTATTTTCACGCTCACGTTTTTCAACTGCTGGTTTTTTAGAAGTTGCTTTATAAATTCATATTAATCCATTTTTATGTGCAGCGAGTTTTCAAGCTCACCTCTGAACACAACCTTAGTAGATGTTATCGGCTACTGAGAATTGACTGCTGTGAATGGGTTCGCTTGTAGACACGTCACCTCGCACTGGTAGGTACTGGCTGGTTTTGGTGAGTCGGTTAATCGTGCATTCCTTTGGCGTCTTACAGTTTTGTCAAAAGATAAAAATTAAGAAAGTCACGTCTCATAAAAAGTATCTCGGAGTGTCACTCTCCAACAGGCACACACTGCTTCAGGAGAACCGGATGAAGCCATACGCCAACTGAGAAAAGATCTCCAAACTCACCTATGAAAGAGCAATTTGCCACGTCTCCACGCGTGCTTCTCTAGTTCGTTTTCTGATCTTCTGTGGATATTATTACTGCATGACGTTTTGCTTGCTATGGAATGCACCTTTTCGAGCCAAGCCAACCCAACCCATGATAAATACAAAGATATAATTAGGAAATAAGTCCGAACTTATTTGTCCACGCCTATCAAAATCTATAAAGTTGTGTAAACAACAAGAAACTATGTAAAATGTAATTGTTTAGTTAATGACATAAGGATAAAACTATAATGTTGTGGTATATAAAACCGAATAAAAAATTACTGAATACAAAACGCTTTTGATAACGTGGGAAAACACATTTACAAAACACCTAATTCTACCAAACCTTTACAAACCGCTTGGGCTATACTCCTCCCATAGAATTTAATGGTGTGAATGGACATGCAAGTTAATATGTCATCCGCACCTCCGTGCTAGTAGGCATATGGTTTTCGAGCGGTCTACTTCAGTTAATCATGCATCCCTAAGTTAGTACCTTGCAAATTTTATCAAAAGATTAGAAATGAAGTTAGTACGTATAAAATATCTAGTACGAGTTTATACGAGATAATAGATAGAAAACAATTAACCTTATAGGTTGAAATAGGATTGGAAACTTATCTTCATAAATAGTTGTAATTTTTTCTTACGCTTTTTTTAGAGGTATAGATATTTGTGCTAATTAAGAGGTAATCCATCCTTTCCAAATTGATCATCATATAAGTTTATGCACCAAGACCAAGAACAATTTAAATCACATCAATCAAGACACCATGCACATATTCTCCCACAATGCATGCATCGATTAAAACCCTATACCAATTACACCCTAGCATGCACACATTCTTCCATATTGTATTAATTGTATTCCAATGAAATCCATATCCATGCAGTTATATGATGATTAGAAATTTTGGATTTTATTACATGATGATCAATTTGGGAAGGAGGGAGTATATACCTTTAGGGTGGAGATATATTCTTCGGACTAACACTATGAGTATATATACCTCTCTATACCTCATAACAACTTAAAGTTTTGTAGTGCTAATCATAAACTTATATTTTTCAATCAGTTAAACTAGTTTAATTTTTTTACCTCATATATTATGAGAATGTATATACTTTTGCAATGGAAGAAAACCTCAAAAAACAATTCCCTTTAGAATTAACGGTGAGAAGGTCCCAGTTCAAACGTTGGACATGTAATCTCAATATATATGAGTATTTAGTTCTCAATTCTGAATAAAATTTACATTTGAAACACGACCAAAGAGCCAATAATTAGCTTGTCTAGGCAGTTGGCCAAGCTTAACACCGCCGCAATAAAATTACCATGATACTAATTTTTAAGACGAAAACCACGTACCATAATGTAATGTTATAACAAAGAAAAATCTACTCCATTGTAAGTGATACCCCCATGAACTGTGTTCCACAATATTTTGATCTCCACCATAAGTCTTTCAATTCTCTAATTATTTGATATATGCCTAATAAACCATGAAAAAAATAAACTAAGCAACCAAGAGTAATTTATTAGCACAAACATTAACAGTGTTCATAGCGGATTAAAAGCCAATGCTAAAAATATTACAAACTTTAAAATAAACTAAAAATTATGTTTCAAAATTTAAATTTTGGATCCAGTTGACGACGAGAGACTAGCAGTTTACTGCTTTGAATACTCTGGTAAAAACCGGTGCACCGCTCTTCTTCTACAAATGGACAACTAGGTTTTCGGCTACCGTTCTACACGGCCACACATGGTTAGCCACCCAGCGGTCCGCGCACAGAAGATGGTGAGAACCTGGCAAGATAAAATCCTGAGCCAGCGTCATCCGACCTTCCAAATGGAATCAGGCGATTGGCTGCGGTTCCTCCTCCCTCCACCACCACACCACCACCGGTCGCCTACTCGCCTTCGCCTTCCCTCCTCTCCTCCCTTCCACGACCGCAGCCCAAAACTTCTAGAAGCAACCGCCGCGAGCTTAACTGCTAGTACTACTAACACCTCACCTACCTCCCTCCCCCGCCATTGCTCCGTCTCCGCTACACGCGAAGAGCTTCACCTGACTCTCGCTTGACGTGCTAGTTAGTAGTAGCTCTCGATCGAGGCGCGGTCGTCCGTCGAGGGCGCGTGGCCATGGCGCTCCTCTCCGCGACCGCCCCCGCCAAGACGCGCTTCTCGCTCTTCTCCCACGAGGAGGCGCAGCACCCGCACCCGCACGCGCTCTCGGCGTGCTGCGGCGGCGGCGCCAGCGGCAAGAGGCAGCGGGCGCGGGCCAGGGTGGCGGCGGCAATGCGGCCGGCGGACGCGGCCGCCTCCGTCGCGCAGGCGGCGTCGCCGGGCGGCGGCGGCGAGGGCACGCGGAGGCCGCGGGTGCTCGTGGCCGGCGGCGGCATCGGGGGGCTGGTGCTGGCGCTGGCGGCGAGGCGGAAGGGGTACGAGGTGACGGTGTTCGAGCGCGACATGAGCGCGGTGCGCGGCGAGGGGCAGTACCGCGGGCCGATACAGATCCAGAGCAACGCGCTCGCGGCGCTGGAGGCCATCGACATGTCCGTCGCCGAGGAGGTCATGCGCGAAGGCTGCGTCACCGGCGACCGCATCAACGGCCTCGTCGACGGCATCTCCGGCTCCTGGTACGCCACTCCCCTCCCCTTCCCTTCTCTTTTCCCTTTTCGGATGAAACCATCCGGTTGCATCAGACTCCAGTGAGCAATGTCTTCGTAAGTTCGTACTCGTACAGTCGTACTGCACCACAGTGTAACTAAAAACATTCATTTCAGTCACGCCATCGTGTGTTTAATTAACGATTCTGACCATAATTAAGGGCTTAATAATAATCACCTCGCGGCTGCAACCCTAGCAGTCAGACTATGAGTCCTGAAGGGTGTGTTTAGTTCTTTGGGTGTAAAATTTTTAAAGTATACAGATACATTCGAAGTATTAAACGTAGACTAATAACAAAACAAATTACAGATTATATCTATAAACTGTGAGACGAATTTATTAAGCCTAATTAATCCGTCATTAGCAAATGTTTACTGTATCATCACATAGTCAAATCATGACGTAATTAGGCTAAAAAATTCATCTCGCAATTTACATGTAAACTGTGCAATTGATTTTTTCCCCACATTTAATGTCTTATACATATGTCCAAACATTTGATGTGATGTTTTGGCCAAAATTTTTTGGATCTAAACAAGGCCATGTAGTTATAATTTTGATCCACGTTTTAATACCAAAATTTTACTCTGAATCATCCTCTAACTAATATTTTCACTTTAGATAAGATTATCGTTGTTGTACTTTGGATCATCTAAATCATTTCTCTGGCTGCATCTACCATCTAATCTTGCAAAGAATAGCCTATATGTATGTCAGGAATATTATCGGTTTACATGTACCGATGTAGTTAAAATTATTTATACGCTCGAGAGAAGTTTTTGAGGTGGTTCAAACTAAAATAAAGATAGCTAAAGTGAAAAAATCGTTTAAAAGACACTACGTTCAAAGTGATTTTTTTAATACGGGTGACCGTAAACGTATTTTACTCTTTTGTTTACTCGAGTCTCCAGCATGTTACTTGTGCAGTTGCTAGGCGCGCCGCTGATCTCACGAACACACGTGGTGCGACGCCGCTTAGGCCAGGCGACCCACGTTGGAGCCGCCCCACCAGCCACGGCAAATTGAAAAGAAAAACACCTGGTTAGAGCAAGTTTAACAGTATAGCCCACTACTATCTCCAAATCATCTATAGCCAATGTAATAGCTAATTCATATAATAGGGCTTACTATACTATCAATAGCTGGTCCCATTTGTCATAAATGTCTTGGAGCCTGTGCTGCAGCTCTGTAGTCAACTACTCTTCTCTCTCTTCTTTTATCTCTTTAAAATATGTTTATAGCTGGTTTAGAGCAGGTACAATAGCAGGCTATAAGCTAAACTATAAATATATTTTAAAGAGATAAAGGAGGAGAGAGAAGAGTAGCGGGCTATAGATATGTAGCCAGCTGCAGTACGAACTCTAAGATGTAATGTGGGTATGATAGGTAGGACCGGGTATTAATAGTATAGTAAGCAATTATATGAATTGACTATTAGATTAGATATAGATGAATTGAAGCTAGTAGTGGGCTATACTAGCTCTCATCAGTCAGCTGGTCGGCGTCGGCGTCGTCGTCGCTGCTTTCCCCTTCTCCTGGCCCCGCCGGCGAGCAACCCGCGCCCGCCACGTACGCGCGTCCCACTTCCCCCCACCCCACACGCTGCTCCACTACGCGCCGAAAGGGTGAAACCACCCATCCGGCCCTTCCATTCCGCGGCGGGTGCCTCCAATTCGTCGAGCACGAGCGAGTGAGCGACATGGCTTCTAACACACCAATTCGTCGAACACTTCCGATCGTCTTCTCTGTCTCCGTGTGAGTATTGACCTCAGGCGCCGCGACGTCTGCAAGAGTAGTCAGATTCAGGAGATGCTCGTTGGGTAGAGCGGATCGGAGAGTCACTGTCACAGTAGCGCTTCTGCTCTTGCTTCTCGGATCCCACCACCCAAGAAGAGCTTTGCTTTGCTCCCGTTCCACTGCCAGTGCCAGCCATGGCGCCACTCCCAAGCTCCAGCTCAACGCGGGCCACCTCTCTCGTGGCGATCCCGGGCGCCTCCTGCCCCCATGGCCAGGCGCAACGCCTGCTCGCCTTCCGTCCCCCACGACGCGGGTCACAGTGGCGCGGGCTTTGCGTGTCCCGGGGGCGCCACGGGGCGACCGTCGCCATGGCAATGCCGGCGGCGCAGGCGGCGGGGCGCAGGGCGCGCGTCCTGGTGGCCGGCGGCGGCATCGGCGGCCTGGTCTTCGCGCTCGCGGCCAAGCGGAAGGGGTTCGAGGTGGTGGTGCTGGAGAGGGACATGAGCGCCGTGCGCGGGGAAGGGAAGTACCGGGGCCCGATCCAGCTGCAGAGCAACGCGCTCGCGGTGCTCGAGGCCGTGGACGCCGGCGCCGCCGACCAGGTCATGGACGCCGGCTGCATCACCGGCAACCGCGTCAACGGCATCGTCGACGGCGTCTCCGGCTCCTGGTAAGGAGTCAAGTCGTGCCAGCGTTAGAAGCGAATTGCAACACCCACCAAGGATTGGTTGCGTCTATCAAGCCTAAAATTATGGGGTTTTTTTTTCTCCTTTCTAGAAGTACTAAGTGTAAGAATAATTTGCTGGTTTACACTATTGGCCGTCCTGTTTGTACAAGTTTTGCTTACCTATTGCTACAACCTACATGAGAATCATTAATCACAGACCTATAGTTTCAATTACAGTACAATACTGTACAAGGAAATGCAATTTGTTGCTTAATCATTAGTGCTAACTTGACATATAAGGCAATTATTCTTTGTGCTTACTCTGCTACATTTGTTTGCATTTGCAATTCTGAATGTTGTTGTCTGCTTGTTGGTTAGCTTTAAGATGGGAACTCAACTGCTGAAGGCATCCATTTGACTGTGTCAAATTGGTATTCAGGTACATCAAGTTTGATACATTTACTCCTGCAGCTGAGCGAGGTCTCCCAGTTACAAGGGTTATTAGCCGAATGACGCTGCAGCAGATTCTTGCTCGTGCGGTTGGTGATGATGCTATACTGAACGATAGCCATGTTGTTGATTTCATAGATGATGGCAACAAGGTGAATGATCAGTTTGTCATTGTGGTCAATTGGCCATATCCTCAGTATAAAATGTGCTCAAAATGTTATGGAAAATTCTTATGTTATGGCTTTTGGACAAGTACAGGTAACTGCAATTTTGGAGGATGGCCGGAAATTTGAAGGTGACCTTTTGGTTGGTGCTGATGGAATATGGTCAAAGGTAATGTAATCACTCAAATCTTTTGGTAACAATTGACAAACATAATCAACAGAGACGTGATTTGAGAATTTAATTATTGGACAGGTGAGGAAGGTGCTTTTCGGGCAATCAGAAGCAACTTATTCAGAATATACTTGCTACACTGGCATTGCAGACTTTGTGCCTCCTGACATTGACACAGTTGGGTATGTAGTGCGGATTCAGATGACTGCTGTATTTTTTTCCTCTGTTAGGAAATACTAATATGTTCCTCATTTTCTTCTGTTGAAGGTACCGTGTATTTCTTGGTCACAAACAATATTTCGTCTCCTCAGATGTCGGTGCTGGAAAAATGCAGTGGTATGCATTTCATAAGGAACCTGCTGGTGGCACTGATCCTGAAAATGGTGAGTTCCTAGAGTGAAACTTTTGAGCTCACAAGCATATGCGGGCCCTGTCTGTGTTCTTATTGTCCACTAATGCTTTTTATTGGCAGGTAAAAATAAAAGATTGCTCGAGATATTTAATGGTTGGTGCGATAACGTCGTTGATCTGATAAATGCAACTGATGAGGAAGCAATTCTTCGCCGGGATATATATGACCGACCACCTACTTTTAACTGGGGAAAAGGTCGTGTCACTTTGCTAGGTGACTCTGTACATGCTATGCAGCCAAATCTGGGTCAAGGTGGCTGCATGGCTATTGAGGTACACAATTAACTTTTCATGTCTCTGATGACACTACCAGCATGGTGGATGCATTTCTTGCCCTGGTATTGAAACTCAGCATATATACTTATGTTACTGTGGCAATTTTTTCCCACTTGATTTCACAGGATGGTTACCAGCTGGCTGTAGAACTTGAGAAGTCCTGGCAGGAGAGTGCGAAGTCTGGAACTCCTATGGATATAGTTTCCTCCTTGAGGAGGTAACTGTTTTTTATGTTTTATCATACTAGTTTTACCTAGATAGAATGTCTTCTGGCATCGACTAGACTTTATGTCAATACGGATCAAAATTATTCTTCAAGGCCATCTTATTGTGTATACTCTTAATTCTTTAGGTGTGATCCTCAGTCATTTGATTGATGATCAAGACATTATTGTGCTTGTGTGGCTGCAGATATGAGAAGGAGAGAATACTACGTGTTTCTGTTATACATGGGTTGGCAAGAATGGCAGCAATCATGGCTACCACTTATAGACCATACTTGGGTGTGGGTCTGGGACCATTGTCGGTATGTCAAGAACTTGTTCTGCTTTGTACTTCTAATATCTAAATGTACTTATGTGGTTTATGCCCGTCAGCCAGTTTTAACCTGCTTATTATGTCTGTTGCTGATTATTTTATTTTATTTCTGAAACAAGTTTCTGATTTAGATTATCATCATAAGAAAATCATTGAAGAATCGCAGACTAAAATTATTTGGTCTTAATATGGATATCTGTCCAATGCAGTTTTTAACGAAGTTGAGGATACCACATCCTGGAAGAGTTGGTGGGAGATTCTTCATCAAGTATGGAATGCCTTTGATGTTGAGCTGGGTTCTAGGAGGAAACAGGTGATTATTGAGCTATAACTTCGATTTTATTTTGAGCTCACATGTAGATACATAATCTGAAAATACTCACTAGATTGGCATGGTTGTTATTACTCACCATATGTTAATGTCACCAATGAACAGCACGAAGTTAGAAGGAAGACCGTTAAGCTGTAGGCTTTCTGACAAGGTATATCTCTATTCTGTATGATTTATCAATGTGGGGCAGTGCAATATTTTCCTTTTCTGACTTTTACAATCATGCTGAAGGCAAACGACCAGCTTCGTCGATGGTTTGAGGATGACGATGCATTGGAACAAGCCATGGGTGGAGAGTACGGTCTTACTTGTCTTCAGAATTTTGATTTCATTTTATGTCAAATATGCTCTGTATAATCCTTCTTAATTCCAGTGCCTTTGAGAAAAGGTACTCATTAGAACAATGCTACTTGCAGGTGGTACCTCCTCCCCACAAGTTCTGGAGACTCGCAACCCATTCGATTAATCAGGGATGAAAAAAAGTCACTCTCCATTGGGTAGGTCTAAATAATAAATCTGTTATTTTTTGGTAACACTTTCTTCAAGGATTGTAGAATAAAACAAAATTGTTCTTTTGCAGAAGCCGGTCAGATCCCAGCAATTCGACTGCTTCCCTGGCATTGCCCTTGCCACAGGTTAGATAAGCAAAATGATGGCATCAAATATTTGTTGGAACTTCTTTCGAACTATAAATGCATTGCAACGGTTCTTAGGTGGAGACATTCAACAGCTGAATTTTGTTTTACTTATTACTACAACCTAATTTTCTCTTGCCTAAAAAAATCTTCAGTTTTATTTCTGTCAATAAAAAACTAATGCTTCTCCAATTTGTTCAACTTCATTGCAGATATCAGAAAACCATGCTACTATCACATGCAAGAATAAGGCCTTTTATGTGACTGATAATGGAAGTGAACATGGTACATGGATTACCGAGTAAGTTCTGAAAACCGCATGATTCTTTGCTCTTGCCCTGAATTCGAAATGGATGCATCTTACTAATTCAGTCCCATGTGGACTCTCCAGCAACGAAGGTAGACGCTATCGCGTACCTCCGAACTTCCCTGTCCGTTTCCATCCCTCGGATGCCATTGAGTTTGGTTCAGATAAAAAGGTACCCAAACCTTACTGACACCGTATTGTACCATTGTCTCCTCTCATTTTGTTCAGAAGAACCATTTGCGTTGAGTTGCTGCAAAAATTCTGAGTTCTGATCAATTTCTACGAACTTGCAGGCCGTGTTCCGTGTGAAGGTGCTGAGCACGCTCCCATATGAATCTGCAAGAGGAGGGCCGCAAATCCTGCAGGCAGCATGAACGAGAGACTTCAGTCAGCCATGGCTGCTGTCATCACTCATCAGCTACTGTACAGCATCCAGTAAAACACAGTGAATTTTGCACTAAAATGCAGGTTCCACTTCCAGACAGGATTTTGAATAGCTTTCTCTGACGGATTGAAATTGCAGTTCTCCATACAGAAACTGAGGTGTACAATATAAAAAAAAAGAAACTGAGGTGTACAATAGCCAATAGGGACAGGCAATTTTAGCTGTTGCCTGCTGTATATACATTGTTGTGCCATTACAGCAACAAGGTGGAATGTAATTACGGCATGAACACAATTTACCAAATGGAAAAAAATGTAGCTAAAAACCGCTTTGTTTGGTAACTAGTTGTACTTTTCCGAACTTTCTTCCAAGCGGAGGAGCCTTACCTTGCCACGATGCGATCTGATTTCTGAACTAGAACGTCAGCCACAATGCGCCACATGCACCACCGCAGAGCGCCGCCGCCACCGCCGCCGCCGCCGCAGTGTTCGCCGCCATCGCCGTCGGGAAGGCGAGGTCATGGGAGTGTGAGATTTGGGCCGCTAGTTCGGCGTAAGAGCCCTTCCCAGCCGTTGGATCACCATTGCTCGGTCCAGATTTACGCCAGGTTAGGCTTGTAGAATCTGCGAGGCGTCTCCTGCCTGGCGCTAGCCGCTAGGCTCCCCACTCCCCGCGAGCTTCAGCCATGTCCGCCCGAGCCGCCGCCGGCGGCGGTGACGGCGATGGCGGGGGCCGCCGCAAGACCCTTGCCAAGGTGTCCCTCTCCTCGCTCTCCGCCGCCGCGGCGGAGGCGGCCACGTTCCCCATCGACGCCGTCAAGACGCGCCTCGAGCTCCACCGCGGTACAGGGGGCAGCGGCGGGGGAGGCGGGGGCGTCATGCGCGTCGCTGGCGAGCTCGTACGCGACGGGGGAATCTACCGGGGCCTCTCCCCCGCCGTACTCCGGCACCTCTTCTACACCCCGCTCCGCATCGTGGGGTACGAGCACCTCCGGTCCACCTTCGCCAGCGGTGGACGAGACGCGGGCCTCCTCGAGAAGGCGCTTGCTGGGGGTGTCTCCGGCGTTGTCGCACAGGTAACACGTCTCCTTAAAGATCAGACTCGTCTCGCTCGTTTGTTAGCACACTAGATCGAACTGTGCTCTATTCTGAATTTCTGATGGGTAGTACTACTAGGCATTGTACTGTCTGTACACATTACTCCCCAAGTTACTCAGGGAAGATCATTTTGATGTTTGATTATTGAAGTTAGGATATGTTTTTTCTCGGTGTAAAAGTAAGAACTGCTTTGGTAGTATTACATTTAGAAGATGGAATTGAACTGGACTTGGGGACTTGACAGGATTGGAACTGTTTTTTGCTGGACTTGTTGAAGACTGTAACATGCTAGCATTTCTTAGTTCCAACCTATTGGTTCCAAACAATGATGCACATTATCATTAAGTAAAAAATTCAACAAAATAGACATATACATCTTAAGGCAGGGGAAGGGATCTTCTAATTTGTGTCATTACCGTTACCAAAATTATAGTATCACAATGCAGATGATAAAGCAGCAGACATCAGTCTGGATGTGTTTTTGTATGACAGGCTCATTTGTCTCCAAGTCTCCACCACCTCCTTATGATCCAACCTACAGTACACTCGAGAGCCACAATGAGACCATGCCATCCCTGCTGACAATGCATTGACACATTGATGGACTGTAGGACTTGTGTAGCGCAAGATGTGTGCGATAGGACACCTCTACCTCAAGGTCACTTGCGTGACTAGTATAGGAAAGAGGCGATACCTGGGTACTCAATGATGCTGCTCCTCGAGGGTTGTGAATAAGGTTGATTAGAAAAGGATGACCTGACTAGCACCCTCATTTAGGTTTTGAATAGTTTGTCATTCCTAGAGTAAAGTAGCAAGCAATTGAGATAATCAAAACATTTTAGTTTGTTAGAGAGAGATTTTGTAATCAACATGCTGCTGGTATTAACCATCTGTTAGAAGTAGAATTGATATAGCTTAATAGCTGCTATTGTTTCGTTGATCATTTATTGACATTATAGTTACTCTGCAGTGCAGGTGGTGGCAAGCCCTGCTGATCTCATCAAGGTAAGGATGCAAGCAGACAGCAGACTGTTGAGCCAAGGTATCCAACCACGGTATACAGGAATCTTTGATGCCTTTACAAAAATTGTACGGGCCGAAGGATTTCGAGGACTTTGGAAGGGTGTTGTTCCTAATGCCCAACGAGCCTTTCTTGTCAATATGGGTGAATTGACATGCTATGATCAGGCAAAGCATTTCATCATCCGGAAGCAAATCTGTGGCGATAACCTGTATGCTCACACACTTGCCTCTGTCGCATCTGGACTGTCTGCGACAACCTTAAGCTGCCCAGCAGATGTAATCAAAACTAGGATGATGAACCAGGGCAAGGATGCAAAAGTTCTATACAGGAATTCTTATGATTGTTTGGTCAAGACTGTCAAACATGAGGGGTTGACAGCATTGTGGAAGGGATTCTTACCTACATGGGCCAGGCTTGGTCCATGGCAGTTTGTGTTCTGGGTTTCCTATGAAAAATTGCGCCAAGCATCAGGTATTTCGTCATTCTGATGGTGCTGGCTTAGTTTTATCTTACATGATTACAGGGAGCATCCAGAATAAGATTTTGTTAATTGTTTAGCTCGGCTTGTGGCATTATCATATACCATGCTTGTCCTCATTTACTCTTGACCATGTCTGAGTATTGTACCCATCGCTGAGGATGCAGTAGTTACAAATCACCACCATGTAACTTTATAATTATAATTGACAACTAGCTGGGTGGCCCGCGCAATTGCGCGGCTAGCACCCATACAGAATTATCTATTTTTAATATGATTTTACTTAATTTTTATTAAATAGCTATCTCATTTTCTTAAAACTTTGAAAGGCCAAACCTTATCATCCTGTGTTTCTACTTTTATAGGTTTTTTAGAAGTCACACAGGCTATTTGCTTCTGTCTACCCCTTATTTCTATCACCCTCTTCTTTATTTGTTTACTCGATCTATTGCCGTTTCTGTTCATTCTCCTTGTAACCTTTAAAAATTGAATATTATAGTTTTTAGTGTTTATTATCTCGTTGGTTTCATTTTTATAATTTTTAGAAGTCCCATCAAATGCTGCCACTATGCTTCTCTACGGCCTATTCTCTGTCTCCTCTCTTTATTGTCATTGGGATTTTAAAAATCAAACATAATTATCATTTGGATTCATTTCGTTTACTTTAAATCCTACCAAACCGTTAGTGGCTTAGCCACTGTACTATTATAAGTCTCGTCCGCTGCCTCCCCTCTTTCCTGTCATTGAGATTTTAAAATCAAACATGATTATCATTGTTTTTTTTTACTTTTTAGAAGTCCCGAACCTTTAAAAATTGGACCTCGTAGTTTTTAGAGTTTATTGTCTCGTTGGGTTTTATTTTTGTAATTTTCAGAAGGCTCGTCAAACACTGTCACTATACTCCTCTACAGCTCGTCCATTATCTCTTTTTGTTATCATTGAGATTTTAAAAATCAAACATAATTATCGTTTAGGTTTTGTTTTTTTACTTTCTAGAAGTCCCGTCAAACCATCAATGGATTTGGCATTATACTCCTTTATGGCTCGCCCGTTGCCTCTTTTCTTTATCGTCATTGAGATTTTAAAATCGAATATGCTTATTACTGGGATTTATTTTTATTTTATAGAAGTCCCGCCAACCGTCATGACCGTGTTGCCTAACGGCATGTCCGTTGTCCCTTCTTTTAATCGTCATTGAGATTTTTTTAAATGTTTTGTTAATAGTTTTTCGATGTCCCATCAACCATCACCACTGTACTTCTTTATACATCGGTTGTTTCTCCCATCTTTATTGTCATTTGTCATCTGTGTTCTAGATGATTTTTTTGTTTGAAAATTCCGTATTTTTCATTCCAATATTTTTTATTTATAAGTCATATTCATACTTGAACCCTTATAATTATTTTATATTTTCGGGATCATTTTATTTGACATTCCAAATTTTAATTAATATCATCATGTGTTCTAGATGGTCTCTTTGTTCGATAGTCTTTATTATTTATAAATTGTATTCCTAGATGAACCCTTATTTTTTTTCTAATTTCAGATTTTATTTTATTTTTTATTTTGAATTTTAAATAATCTCGTATTGTGTTCTTATATCTACTATTATTTTAATATTTCTAATTTCAATTGTTTAAAAACTATAGCCGTTGCTTAAGTCATCAAAATTTTGGCTTGCCTATAGCTTCCGCGTGGAAGGAGCAACGTAGCCTATAGCTTAATATGCTTGCTAGCTGATAGCTAGGATTGGTTTGTCTTTCAATTTTTTTAAAAGTGGTGTGTGCACGCGGATTCCTGGAACATTGTCAGTTTCCAATGTATTGTATGACTCGGTTTTCCTTATTTTCATTTTGACTTATTGCCCGATTAACTTTTTTGTTTTTTCCTTTCAGTTTTTAACTAATTCTAATCCTAAATCTAGTTCTATTTTTCTTTTTCCTTATTTTTTTGGATTAATCTTATTTTCGTTTTGACTGATTGTCCGGTTCACTTTTTTTTTCCTTTCTTCAGTTTTTAACTAATCCTAATCCTAATCTAGTTCTATTTTTCTATTTTTATTTTTTTGGATTAATGTGAGAATTTCTAGCCCGTGAAAGCAAACGTGGAGGCTCCTTTTTCTATTACTTTAAAGATATAATAGATTCTCGCTGTCATTGGTCATTGATCAAAATAATTCAATTGCTTCATTATTACATTTCCATAAAGTTTCCATACTCTTTTTCATACGATAGTTGCCATGTTTTCCTTTTCACTTGGTAACATTGTTCTCTCAATTACTATAGTTTTGTCTTGCTAATGTGCAAAGTTTCTTATCTTGAGAAATATCATATCATACAAACTTGATTACAATTCAGTAAATGTTTTCTTAATGCTTTAACAACAAACAAGTGAAGAACAGTGCAGATGGACAGGCGGAGGGACAATGGAATGCAACTCAGTCCACCAATTGAACACCATCCTTGAGGTCCTCGCAGTGCCGGACGTGCCGGACCGTCTTGCCGTTGTCACCTTTGGTCCTCGCCTGGCAGTCGTAGTGCGGCGGTGTGTGGAAGCACGGCTCGACGGTGGCGGCTAGCCGGCACGGCGGGTTGGGCGCCTTCTTGCGGACGGGGACCATGAGCACCCACGGCCTCAGCCCGGCCAGCCCGTGGCTGACGTACCCGAACGTCGAGGCGGCCGACGTGAGCGCCACGTCGGAGAAGCTGAGCAGCATCATCTCGGCGAGCGCCTTCTGGTTGTGCATCCGCTCCTCCGACCGCTGCCCGCCCAGGTGCGTCGGCTGGAATACGCTCACCGCGTCCCCGCCCGCCGCGCCGTGCTCGTAGTACATGTCCCTGATCCTCTCGTAGTACTCGCCGTGCAGCGACACCACGAGCACCGCCTTGCGCCTCGCCGGCCGCTGCTGCTGCTGCCGCCCGGAGCCAGGGATGGCGGTGGCGTTGTCGGAGCCGGAGCTGGACTCGCGCACGCGGGGCAGGATGTTCTCGCCTTGCGCGCACGAGACGATCTGGCCGTAGAGCTCGTCGGTGGAGATGGGCGCCCAGGAGAAGGTGCGCACCTGGACGCCGACGCGCTCCTCCGCCTTGGCCAGGTACGAGCCGTGGTACCGCATCACCATCCCCCACACCGTGTTGCTCGGGTGGAACAGGTAGCGGCCGAGGTGGTGGAACACGGCGTCGCGGCGCGGGAACATCCGCGACAGCTCGCGCTCGTACCGCGGGATCAGGAAGAGGCCCGGGACGAAGTAGTTGTCGGAGAGGAGCACCACCCAGCCGACGCGCCGCAGCGCGTCCTGCCCGTCGTCGCAGAAGAAGAGCCGGTCGCTGGCGCCCGGGCGCGTGTAGTCGTGCCGCAGGTGCACGTACATCCACGGCGGCGGCGGGTCACGGCCGCCCTCGCCTCGGCCCAGCGCGTTGCCGAGGCTCTCGCGGGTGCGTATGCCGAAGCGCTCCATGCCGCGGATGGGGAAGTCCTTCTCCGGGAGGACCCACGTCGCGCCGGGGAACGGCTCGCAGAAGAGGTCCTTCATATCGTCGCCGGAGCGGTGGAAGAGGAGGACGCGGCCGGTGAGGAGCGCGTAGAGGAAGGCGGACGTGATCGAGAGCATGCGGTTGCCGAGCCCCGCGTGAGGCGTCCACACGAGGTACCTGCACTCGGAGGGAGCGTCGGAGGTAGTGTTCGACGACGACGGCGACCGCAGGCGGGCGACGGCGCGCTCGTAGGCGGACGTGCCGGGGCCGCAGAGGCGGTGGAGGGACTCGTAGCGGCGGAGGGCGGAGACGAGGTGCGACGAGAGGACGTGGAGGGATCGCCGGCGGTAGAGCGAGGCGCGGTAGCGGCTGAGGCAGGAGGTGTCGTTGAAGTCCGGCGAGAGGAGGCCGCCTAGTAGCCGGTCGTGCGGCTGCGCCACCTTCACGACGGGATCGGCGCCTTGTTGGCTGGACACTGCATGCACGCGCGGTAAGAAACGTTTCGTTCTTCCTCCTTTTTGTCGTAAAAAATGGAACAAACAAAACCATCCAAATGCACACGTACTGGCATGGACGTTATCATACGTACCGGCGTTTAAGACGACGCGAGCTCCGGCCGAGACCCAGCTGGTGTCTGCGCCGCCGCCATGGCCGCCGGAGGGCGTCCACCGTGCGCCGAAGAGGACGGCCATGAGAAGCACAACCATCACGCTCACGGCGATCGCCAGCAGCGCCGGCCGCACGGCCGATGAGGACGAGCGCCCGCTCTTGGTCTTGCCGTGACCGGCAGTTGCCAGCGACGACGATGGCGCCGGCGCCATCCTGATCGAAGGACTCATCACAGCATGCAGCTGGACCGTGTCTGCTAGAATGGATACAACTGCATGCCCCTTGCTTCAATTCACGTCCTGCATATATATCAAAGAATGTTTAGTTTTGACCTCGTTTGGTGTGTGTCAAGTATCAGAATACTGGTTGGAGTAATGCACAGTAAACGGCATTTTACTCGACTGCAAGCTAAGCGAACTCACAAAACCGGGTCTTGCCTACTGGGTCTCAGCCGCTCGATTACATATCCGACGGTGGCGGTGGCGGTAGTATTGTGTCGATCAGCTGGAAGCGTAGTTGCGTCCAAGTAAAGTTCCTGTAAGGCGGTAAATCAAAGATTCAAAATGAGAAGTCAGTCTACATGTCAAAGCTTCGATCATGGCAAAGTCCGCTTCTTGGACATGAATAGCTGCCGATTTAGGGGTACGCCAGTTCAGAAAATTAGAGGCAAGTAGTTCACTGTTCACACTGTATTGTCACTCCGATTCTTCCTCCATATATTGCAAAACCTATATAAACTCGAGGTATGGTATAGGAAATTAGGAGCAACATGTCTTGTTTATGCATTCGAATTGCGTATCGGGATAGATCGAATTGGCGAAACCGCTAAAAAGTGGCTAGTCGCACGCCTCTCCTCAAGCGTAGCGCAGCCACATGGCGCGCGCAGAGAGGGAGACCGCGGTAGAACGGCGCAGGAGCGCCACGTGCGGCGCCTTTCTCCGATTTTCTCTCGGTTTTTTCTTTCTTTTTTTCTGGTTTTTTCCTGATTTCTTTTGGTTTTTAACGTATACGTATATAAATTTTGTATAATTTTGTATTCGGATGTATACAAAGTTTGTATAAGCACGAATACAAAATTTGTATACGTTATGTTTTTTCTATTTTTTCTTTAGTTTTTCGGTTTTTTAAATATGTATCCACATATACAAAATTTATATACGTGTATACAAACTTTGTACGTGATATTTTTTCTGGGTTTTTTTAATACATACGTATATAAAGTTTGTATATGTCGCATACAAAGTTTATATATGACGACATATCCAAACTTTGTATATGTCATATATAAACTTTGCATATGTGTATATATTTTTTTATACATATAAAAATATATTTTTATAGTAGTATTAGCAGTGTAGTAGTAAGTAGTACTACTTTGTACTAGTACTAGTAGTACTACTAAAGTAGTAGTACGTACGGGTGCGCCGCGCCGGCGGCTGGGCGTGCGCCCAGCCGCAAGCAGCGCTCTCAAATTGGGCATTGAAATTTTTTTTTATTAAGCTATGCCTGCCATATCTCTCGAACTTGAGATCTTTTTAACTTTGAAAGCGTATTAATTATATGGAATTTAAATTACATTAAATAGAAAATTGAGGCCAAAATATTATAATTTTATAACCTTAGGGTCTGCTTCGCGATCTGTGCTAGCTCTCCTTCAAATCCAATGACTCTAACAACATCCGCGACCAGCTATGATCCAATGAGTTAGGGGGTGGGGAAGGAGGAAGAAGGAGGAATTCCCTAAGCTTAGAGGGATGGTTGTGGGAAGCGGAGAAGCCAGCGGGCAGTGCTACTGAAGCTGTTGGATGGCAGCAGGTGATGAGCCAATGTTGACGACGGGGCAAAGCAGAGTGAGTGTTTAGGTGGTAGGGAGTCTAATGGTGGAAAGCTGCCTGAGTCGCCACTAGGTTGAGGAGAGGCAAGAAGGGATAAGGAGGAAGGTCAGGCATACCTCACAGGAAGCTCAGGTTATTGGAGATGTTGAAAGTTTATGTATGTAGGAAAGTTTTGATGTGATGGATAGGTTAAAAGTTTGAAGAAAAATTTTGGAACTAAACTTGGCCATAGATGATGAGGATAGGCCACGGGATTGGCTGGCACAGAGAAGAAGGAATGGAGGAAGGCAGTTTGAAGGGTACAACCATCACTATTGGTGCACCAGAGAGGTGGAGCAAAGGGATTTTAATGAATATTTAAATGACACGTAAGAAACAAGGGGATATTTTCTCTAAGGATGAAAATACTTTTCATACTTCTCAATGTGATAAGGGAAAAAAGGGCAACTTAAAAAAAACAACCTCTTTTACAACATTAATAATGAAATTGTAGTGCAACGCACGGTTGGCATTTGGCAACTACTTATTACAGTTCAGTAAATGTTATCGACCTTTATACGCTATAATAACAGCAGTTTATAGTTTTCAGTTTTCTTACTGCTGTAAGATGTAAACACTCAGCAGAAATGAACCATGAGAACATCCAGGCAACTAGGCAAGAAAATGGAACAAAGCTCAGTCCACTAACTGAACGCCATTCTCGAAGTCCTCGCAGTGCCGGATGTGCCGGACAATCTTGCCGGTGTCGCCTTTGGCCCTCGTCCGGCAGTCGTAGTTTGGTGGGTTATGGAAGCACGGCTCGATGGTGGCGGCCAGCCGGCACGGCGGGTCAGGCACCTTCTTGTCGAGGGGGCTCATGAGCACCCACGGCCTCAGCCCGGCGAGCCCGTGGCCGACGTACCCGAACGTCGAGGCGGCGGACGTGACCACCACGTCGGAGAAGCTCAGCAGCATCATCTCGGCGAGCGCCTTCTGGTTGTGCAGCTGCTCGCCGGAGCGCTGCCGGTCCAGGTGCGTCGGCTGGAACACGCTCACGGACTCCCCGCCCGCCGCGCCGTGCTCGTAGTACAGGTCCTTGATCCTCTCGGAGTAGGCGCCGTGCAGCGACACCACGAGCACCGCCTTGCGCCTCCCCGGCCGCGCCGCCGGCTGCGGCTGGTCTCCGGCGGCGGTGAAGTTGGGCCCCTGCTGCGTCACGCGGGGGAGGATGTTCTCGCCGTGCGCGCACGACATGATCTGGCCGTAGAGCTCGTCGGTGGAGATGCGCGCCCAGTAGAAGGAGCGCACCTGGATGCCGACGCGCTCGTTGGCGCAGGCCATGTACGAGGCGTGGTACCGCGCCACCATCCCCCACACCGTGTTGCTCGGGTGGAGCAGGTAGCGGCCGAGGTGGTGGAACGCGGCGTCGCGGCGCGGCAGCATCCGCGACAGCGCGCGCTCGAACCGCGGGACCAGGAACAGCCCGGGCACGAAGTAGTTGTCGGAGAGGAGCACCACCCAGCCGACGCGCCGCAGCGCGTCCTGCCCGTCGTCGCAGAAGAAGCGCGGGTCGTTGGCGTTGCGGTTGTAGTCGTGCCGCAGGTGCACGTACATCCACGGCGGCGGCGGCGGCGGGTGGTCCTTGGCGGCGCCCTCGCCGCGCCGCAGCGCGTTCCCGAGGCTCTCGCGGGTGCGCGCGTTGAAGCCCTGCATGCCGGAGAACGGGAAGTCCCCCTCCGGGAGCGTCCACGTGGAGCCCGGGAACGGCTCGCAGAAGAGGTCCCTGAGGCCTTCGCCGGCGGGGTGGTGGAAGAGGAGGACGCGGTCGGTGAGGAGCGCATAGAGGAAAGCCGACGTGAGCGTGAGCATGCGGTTGCCGAGCCCCTCGAGCGGCGTCCACACGAGGTACCTGCACTCGGCGTCGGAGGTGTTCGACGGCGGCGGGGAGCGGAGGCGCTCCACGGCGCGCTCGTAGGCGGAGGTGCCGGGGCCGCAGCGGCGGTGGATGGACTCGTAGCGTCGGAGTGAGGCGACCAGGTGCGGCGAGACAGCGTGGGGGGACTGCCGGCGGTAGAGCCCGGCGCGGTAGCGGCTGAGGCAGGAGCTGTCGTCGAAGTCCGGCGAGAGGAGGCCACCCAGGAGCCTGTCGTTCCGCGGCTCCACCGCCGCCGCGACGGGATCGTCGCCGTCGCGTTGTTGGCCGGACACTGCGCATGCAGGAACGGGAGAAAATTAAAAATGCTTGGTCTCAGGCTCAGCTACTCAAATTACATCACGCGGTATCTCTGCCTTGTGCGTGCATGAAAATCTGCGTGCAACGTGTGCACACTTGGTGCTTCAAAAAAAAAAAAACTTATTTACGAAACTATTTACTTCTTCGTATGCAGTGTAAGCTACTACTAACTGTTCTGTTCAGTGTCAGGAACAGGAGATTAGCCAAATATTTGTGGCTGTCAAAGAGCTCAAGATGAACGGAAATGCATACTTACCGGCGTTGATGACGACGCGGGCTCCGGCGGAGACCCAGCTGGTGTCCCCGCCGCCGGAGAGCGTCCACCGGCCGGCGCCGCCGAAGACGACGGCGACGAGCAGCACGGCAATCACGGTCACCGCGATCACCAGCAGCGTCGGGCGCACGGCCGACGACGAGCGCCGGCTCTTGGTCTTGCCGTGCGCTGGGCTGCTTGGCAGCCACCGCGCCACCGACATTCTGACCCGAGGACTCATCGCGCTAGCTTCATTGTGGCAACCCCGAAACGACGAGATAACTCGCCTCGCATTCTACGTATATATACAAGTCAATAAACTGATGAAGATTCGTTTCTCCATGTGGAATTGCAGCAATGTACCGGCGCAGTGCAAGGGTGAGAGATACGTATATGTACTGAACTTGAACGCAAGAATTTGTCCCGACTCCCGACTAACCAAAGAAAAGATGGGAAATTCAGATCGCACAGATCGAGCAGATGAATCATGCATGAACCGCACAGGACAATAGAGTATGCGTTGCATAAGCCACCCTCTACGCCGTTTGATTTGCGACGTACGGTTAATATCATAACATGCTATAGTAGCCATGGTAGAGGAGAAACTCTTTTAATCCCTCCATGGGATGTTCAAATACCATTTAAATATTAGTTATGAAAAATCTCAAAAAAAATTGAAAACATACATATACCACTCTAGAAAGTCTAAACTCAACTCACGCATGGGTAAATAAAAAGGATAAATCCAATGTATAAACAATGTTGGTACTATTCACATCTAAATATCTTTTTTTTAATGCGTAGATAGAGTTTAAACTTCGATTTTTTTTTGTTGGAGTGATAGATGTTGGTACTCTACTCCACATTGATTTTTGTTTTTAGTATTTTTCACAACCAAATGCATACCCCATGGCCTATATATGCTAAAGCACAATTGACCTCTGAATAGTGAATTATCCAAAAAAAAAGAAAAGAAAAAAGAAGATCTCTGAATAGTGTAGCTATGTTACTCATCTACACTACTATAGAGAGGATCCTGGTCCGTAGCAATTATAGCAAGCATACTTCATTAAGAGTATTCTCAATAGAATTGTATTATCTTATATAATTAACTGAGTTTAGTAAAAGCTTTACGTTATCTATAAAAAAAATCAAGCATACCGCACCATCAGTGTTTTACAGCGTCGACGGCCGGACTAGGGCTTGGGGTGTGTGAGTGATGACCAAGCTACATTCTTTTAAGACCAGTTAAAAATAACTAAACAAGTTCCTTGCTAGTAGACCTCCTCCGTTGAGTCGTCGGCATCGGCGACTCTGGCAGCGTACGTCCGACGTACCTGGACCAGGATATGAATAAACCACCAGCTAGAATCCTAAACTATCATCAGATGCAAAGACCTACTGAACTACGTGGCTCAGCGTCTCAAATTATATGTCCCCGCGGCTCCTACACCTACGAGCCTTCACAATCAAGCAGCTTGGATATTCAGCAAAGAGGCACGCAGGATTATCCTTTTGCTACCTTAACCTCCTACCTCTCTACCTTGTTCATATCGTCAAATCTCGGGAAGCACATAACCTTAAAGACTTTGACCATCAAAATCGTATGCAGACATCGATCACGCATAATGAATTCTATGGTGGACAAAAGTTGTCACAAAACTAAATTACGGTGAACGCATCTTTCTGTACTCAAGAACAAGCAAACATGTAGTGAACTCATACCAGTCCTCACAACAGCACTCGTGCAAAATGCTTGGTAAAGAAGATACCGCTGCACGCAGAAGAAAGAAATAAGGAAACATGTGGCAGCAATGGCAACTCGAGCAAAGTTACTGGTCCAGTAATGACCAATGACCGAAGATTCAAATAATTGAGAAGTGAAATCAGCATCAGGTGCAATGTGCAATGGAGCAACAACTTCCTAACTTCAAGCTTATTTACATTACACATAGGTTAAAGAGGATAACAGTGAGGATAGCTGTTTGCAAGAATCTCCTTGGATATAAGTACACTGTTGAAACTAGAATAGGATGAAATGGTGAAAATTTCTAACAGGAAAACGGGTTACTTTGACCTTAATAATGTAATTTCTCCCCAAAACGAATTTCAGAATACATACCTAGTCCTAGCTGAGAAATATAAAGCCGCGGCGATTTGACGCACCTCTATATGATGAATAATTTACACATGTATCAGCCTTAGATCGGTCATTCTTGATTCGCAGGTCTTTGGCCTGTATGTGCCGCTGCCAGAAGCCCCACTGGAGATTTTGACTTGACAGTAGCTCGGTAAGATACTTGCTACACAATGTGTTGCGTCTTCAGATTTCAGTAATGTATAAGCCGATAGTCACCTTGTCACAGCTGTACCATTCTATAAATATATAATCCTATTTCATACCAATCCATGAGCAGAGGAACCACTGAAAGACTCCCAAGGGAAATGCAACTAATGCGTTATCGCTCAGAAAGCTGTTAGATGATTTCTTCAAGATGACTCCAACTTGGCTACTATTCACTTGACCCACTGTTTCTTGAGGAGGAATCTGCATGTACAACAGGACTCTATTACAAATGTGACTTTGGACTGACAAGTCGCATAAAATGGAACTGTAACAAAGTTGTACCTCGTGAGTGACGTTTTCCTTCCATTGCTTCTTTCTTTTCCTGGCAACTGTGGCAAAGGAAAGGCCCATCCCATGGACGCAGCTTTCCTGACTTTGACAAACCCTCATGTATGGATATACCCTGACCAGACTCTAACTCTACTTGACAAATTGCACATATGAAGAGCTTGAACATATTCCGAACTGGATATTCAGAATCTAGCCTGAATTGGATGGCAGAAAAAAAAAGTCAAACGCGAGGCATTCTTATCCAAACTAGTGGATTTTCTGCACAATTTTGTGTGGAGCTAGATTTTAAATTTTGGATTGGATTTGGTATACAACTCTTAGCAATTTTTTTTCCATAAATACATTTGTATTTCATATACAATAGGCTTTAAACGTAGAATTGGATTCGGTATAGAAGTCTTGGCTTATATTTTACATAGATACAATTGTACTTTGTATATTGGTCAATCTACACTCTTATAATCTGAACCCTCCAGAGCAAACATGGTGCTTTCGTTTCGAGCTATCTTAACAGGATCAGCTATTTTAACTAGTTTCATGCTTCATGGCCTACTTACATACTAACACATAAGCAAATGACCTACTGTTAAAATGAAGTCCCCATCAGAAGAGGCTGAGTCTGTGACCAATCAAAATAGACACATACTTCTTCCACAATCAATCATGTAGATTCTAATTGCAATGCTACAAATAGAGTATAAGCTATTTCACAGATTGAAATGTGTTGAAAACTGGCAAGCTTGACAAAATGTTAGAATAGCCCCCATGTACTACCTTAAGAACAAATGTAACACCTAGAAAGTAGAGACCAGGCAATAGCAATACCTAACCTAAGCTATGACCAAAAAGGTTGGGCCCTGATGTTCCATGCTTCACCCTTCAATAGGAGTTGCAAAGAAATGAATAGGTAAGTAGTTGGAAACATGGAAAGTTTTTGCAGAATCTTCAAAGGGTGAAGCATAAAAAAATCTCTCGTAGAACTGCCTTCCAACTAAAATGGCATCTCACTCTCACAAATCTCATAAGACATCAATTCATCACACTTTTAATTGACTGTTGGCAATTACCACCATAGTGCAGTGATCTTTATGCAAAAACTTATTGATTGCACTGCTTAAAGCGTACTATTGCATCCATTGTCAAGATGGATAAAGGGTACAAAGTACAAACCGTCTTGAAAGGGAAGGACATCCATCCTCAAAGACTTCCTCCACCAAATCTGGCTGGGTACATTGGTCCTTATCTGCATGACATGGTGAGTCTGATGTTGCTTTCTTGTAAAAGATATTTTTGAAAAGTCCTTTCCCTGCCTTTTTTGCAGGTTGCACAGTGGGGCTTATTTTTTCTGGAGGTATTATGTCAATGACAATACAAGTCGTATCATCTCTCAATCCTTTTGATGCAATTGCTTCCTACAAAAGAAGCAGAATATAAGGATATAATTTGAGGTTTCTGGTAGCACACAATGAGGTGGTGAACTAACTTTGACAATTTGATCCGCTGCAGCTTCTGGAGGAAGCCCTCGTGCACAACTAAAAGCCGTATCCACAGTCAAGGCATCCCAAACACCATCACTTGAAATAATGATTCTGCCTCCAGCACTTGATAGCTGAAGAAATCACCAGTAGACATTAATATTTTCATAGTATGGAAAAAAAATCAAGGAGCCTCTTCAATTAACTTGAAAGAAAATGACAAAACAACTAAAAAAATACTCTCAAGAGAAAAGGATCACTTGCAGACCCACAAGCTACAACCATGAACAAACTTTGGAAACAACAAGGGGAACAAGAAGGAAATAACTGGTCGTTTATATATGAATGTCAAATTATCTAGCCTGAGAAGATATATCTGGATAACATCATGAAGATGCAGGATAACATGGGTAGTTTATCCTTAATATTGTTTATTTACAATGGGACATTTCACCATATATTACAGTAGACAATAAAACGAGCTACAAAAACAGCAGAATTTCTGGTATTTGGATTTGTTCCCACAATACATTATTATTGTGAATGCTTAGAAATTGGGTTTCTAAAAACTACTGTGAAGAAGCTTTTATGACTTAATAATACCTTGATCTGCTTCACATAAGGCACGGGAATGATAAATTCACCTACATCCTGATCACCAATTGATCTTGATAGGCACAAGCCACCAGGCCAACATCTAAGTGGCCCAATCTGTATGGACAAGAAAGAAGGGTCAAGTAAGAGGTGTCAATCAGGGACAATTTTCTATGAACCTTTCAACAATCAACAGCATGTACAACATAAACTAACTAATCGGGGTAACAAACAAGAAGTTTGCTCATATATAACAAAAGTCATAAATCCCAACAGTGCAAATTAAAATAAACATATCAAGAGAAATTTAGTTGCATCATTGAGAGCTGAGAACTGCATCTACCAATCGGTCAGCATAACTTGGAAGTAAACAGAATATACTACTCACTAACTTGGCCAATGAAAACAATATGAGTTGGATAACTTTTTATGGCATATCAACTGCTAACAAACATCAAAACTTCTCATACTGCTACAACTATTCCAACACAATGAACACTGCACACATGAACTTCAACAATAGAAAGTTCCTTGGCTTGGCTGCCAGCGGTGCAAAGTAGAGGGGAAAATATGAGCAACCACAAAAAGTCAAAGAGCAAAAACCTCAGCTCCGCCGACAACATTTAGCCTTCCAACTTCACCTCCGCATTCTGTTACACGTCCAACCCTACCAACCATAACCAGTAAGCGGTAGGAACCAACCACATATATGACAAAGAACAACAAAACATCGTGTGAGTAAACAATCTTACTCCTCTTCGCTAGCATCGAAGCGATGGTCAGCGGACAAATGGTAAATGGTACCCTCAGCTTCAAGGACGCACCGCGAATCGCCAACGGATGCAACGGTCACAACGTACCCATCGATTATGACAAACGTCACGGTTGTTCCTGAAGAATGGGCTGAAACACACGAGTAGACAAATTGTACTCATCTCTTATTGCGGGGTAGAAAGCAATCACCCAGTAACGGCTGGTCATAAGAGACTAGACAGGGTTAAGTAGTAAACTGTACTACTGATAATACTAAGTGAGAAGAACTAGGAGCCAGTTAGTCCCAGGAGGAATTATTATACCTCTTGTTTGAAAATCCTTGTCCGTCTTGACGAACCCGGCCACCAGCGCCCTCGGGAGCGCTGCGAGCCACTCGTCGCCGCTCAGATCGGCAGGAACGCAGCACATGACGTTGCTGAGGATATTCTCCTTGGCGTACACCGCGGCGCCGCTCCCGTTGTGCCCATCGAACAGCTGCAACCAAAACCAAAACCGAAAAACTCATCTGAGAATCCGCCCCCGGTCGTGCAAGCGAGCGGGCAGCGCGGCAGCGCAGCGCAGATCGCGGAACGAGATAAACCGCACGCGGCGTAGTCATTGCAGTGGAGGAGACGGGACGACACGAGCACTCACGGCGAAGGCGGAGAAGGGGGCGCCGCCGGCCGGGAGGCGCTCGCAGGCCGGCTTGAGCAGCGCGAAGTCCTCCCCCTTCTTAGCCCTACACGCCTGCCCCGCCGCGACGCTGGGCCGCCGCTCCCGCTCCCGCCCGCCCGCACCCGCCGACGCCGACGCCGAAGCGCGCTCCGCCGACGCCTCACGCCGCAGCAGGTCCCCGAGCGCCACGCTCCCGCTCCGCCTCCTCCTCCCCCCCGCCACCCCCACCGCCTCCACCGTCGCCGCCGCCGCCGCCGCCGCCATCCCCCGCCTCTCTCCTCAGATCCCGACCACCGCAGATCGCGCCGAGGGCCCGCGCATCGCTGGCTTAGCCGAGCGAGGGAGGAGGGGGAAGCGCACGAGCACGCGCACCCCGCTGGTTTGGTCGGGAAGCGCAGCGGCGAGCGAGAGTGCCAGCGGCGCAAGTCCCCGCACACTTGACGCTTTTCTCCGGTGCTTCTTTTTTTTTCCTCCCTTTTTTTTGCTCTGCTCGGCGCGTGTCGCTGTTGCTTTGCGGGAGCAGCCACCCGAATCACATGGGGAGCGCCCCGCCTACAGGACGCGCAATCCCGGGCTCCCACACGCGCGCTAAAATTGGAAATAAAGAAAAGGTTATGATAATTATATAATGACATAAATAAATTAATACTAGAATAATACTATAAGCAATCCCGGCAAGTATTGATGAACAAAGTAAGTCACAAAGCAGAAAAGATACAATAAACTGTTCTTATAAGCAATCCCGGCAAGTATTGATGAACAAAGTTTTTTTTCTTTTTTCTTTTTTGAAATCGTATCATGAGGTGCATCTGCAAATATGTCACTGTTTTTTTTTAATTGTAAGATGAAAGGATGGTAGTCTTGTAATACTCAAGTTTTACAATAACGATTTAAACGGTAGGAAACTTATAATTGTCATTACTATTTATATGTCACTCTTATGTAAAATAATATGTCCTAACCAACACACGCACGCCATACTTTTGTGTCTATATAAGTAATAAGCTTTTTGTTTTTAAGTTGTTGCAAGGAATGGATGGAAATGGGTAACAGGTGTAGTGACAAGGTTGTTCGTAATTTTAATCTCGTGTCTGTGTTTTGATTTCCTTTTGCTATCTTTGATGGTGGATTTTTTTTTTGAGGGGTCTTTGATGGTGGATTTTTTTTTTTGAGGGGCCTTTGATGGTGGATTAACCTATGGTTTTTGTTTCCATGTGTGGTTGAGAGTTAAGACCGAGGGGGGAAGGAGTCCTCTTAACTAACGGCATGAGAAAGTGACAGGACCAAAAGGTTGTGTTTCTTCTTAGCTAGATGTGCTTCTGGTTGGAGCAAAGAAAAGGCTGGAGATTAGTTGGCCGGAGAGGGCTGATAGTGAAGGTAACTAACTAATTAAGGAGAGCTTTTCTTAATTTTCTGCTTAAATGGATGGATGCAACCAAAGGAAAGTGGTTGTGTGGCTTTTCTCGTCCCGGGCCGGTGCTTGGGGTTTTAATTGCATGTGTTTTGCTTCACGTCAAAACCTGGAGGGACTGAATGCGATCGAGCTTCCATCAACATATCTTGATGACTTAATCCAAAATAGTCGCCATGTAGGCAAAAAATATATAGTCTCGGACTGTAGTTTGCCGTACCAAGTTATCGATATAAGGACATGTTCTAAGATAATGTTAACAGAGAAACTTAGGCATTTTATGTTAAAAAAAGTATCTTACATAAAAAAAATCTCTCTTCAGGTGACTCTTTATTAATACATGCTAACTAAATCATTACACATGTTACGGACTCTCGTTAAAGACCATATTGTACAACATTCAATATTATATGGTTTCCTCACGTTTTTCTCACTAAAAGTGGTTGTTAAACCCGTTGTTAACTAAAACAACAATATTTCTCTCTTCTCTCCTCTCTGTTCTATATCGGCAAATTTGTTTAGTTTGTAATACCAAGAGCCTGCTAGTACATTGGCTGAAGCCATGTCAAAGGCACCTCACTCTCACCAGCAGAAAAAAAAAGCAGTTTTTGTCATCGATTGGATCCATAATTTTCAACGACAAATCCTTGCTCTCCAGCTGGTATCCTTAAACACGGTATCCACACATGAAAATTCTGCTGCCAACTGAACCACAAGAAAAGGGGAAAATCTGACGTACTTCCCCCGTGAATCTCGCCGAGGTCGGCAGAATGCCGGAGAAAACGGTTCGAGGAAACTGGGATGTTTAGCAGGATAACGATCGGTCCAGACACCGGGTGGCAGCTGGTTGCTCCGAGCCTCCCGAGTCGGAGCACGCATGTGCATTTCTCCGAGGATTTTTCGTTTGGTCTTTGGCCCCGTCAAACTCGGCAACTTGTGGCACATTGCATTACATGTACCATCGTGACAGCTTTATCCACCGTTGCACAGCAGCAACCGGTGAGTGAGACAGTCACTCGGTCAGACAACTCTGGTTCACGGCATGTTGACAACTCTGGTTCACTAGTTTGATTTTCGTTTAGTATGTTTTTTAAACTGCTAAACAAATTATTTTTTAAAAAATATTTTACGTAAAATTTGTTTTAAATCAAATAAATTTATTTTTAAAATATTTTGAATAATCACAATTAATCATAGGACTAATTTGGTTCTTCATTTTGTATGTAGCTAATTAGACATGTATAATCTATGTTAAGAAAATGCTCTAACTTGTAGACCCGTTCCTAAATATAGGCATTTTTAAGTTATTTAGCAAAAACTAAAAATAAGGAAATATTTTCTAAGAAAAGAAATTTTCCATTTCAACCATCTTATTGGTCAAATTTTAAATTGCTCTAATTCCTCTCCTAAGAGACTAATTTGTTTTAAATGATTAGATTTCTGTATATTAAAATCAATGTCTCGGAAATAAATATATTGTATATGAAATTTAAATTCTAGAAATGCTTACATCTTAGGGAGGAATAGACATAGAGGGCAGAGGAACAAGATTGCAAAAGGTAAAAGAACCAACATGCATGTGTATCTGATCTGATCAAGGAGTATGTACAGAATTTACAATACAAATGTACAATGGATGATTCATTCATGCCTGCAGTTTTGGCAAATGAATCTCACAGCGAGAAGTTCTGGAGTGAGGCATCTCTCTCCTTGTAAAAAAAATAAAGCTATACAAAACCTCCTAGATTTGGGGAAACACAAGCACTGACAAAACGGCGTGCGATATTTACTGAAGAAAGAAGACCATTTGAAGAAGGGACCTATCTGACTCTGATTTCTGAATATGGTTTCAACTTTCAATTACACTTCCAATTGCGTTATCTCAAAGATAGGTACTGATCGATTCGACGCGGATGATCTGAACGACCCTTCCTTCTCGACGGAGTACGTGACGAGCAGTTTCATGACGTGCCTGTGTCTCCTCCTGTACGTAGGAAACTTTGACATGCTCCTTACAATTCCAACCAACCTGCAAACCAACAGCATTAGAACAACCTTCCAAGGATCGGACAGAACAACCTCACTAATAACACTGCTACTGAAATCAATAGAACACAGGAGATGGATTTTAATTTCATCCATCAAAAGGACATCCCCTCGTTTCTTACTTGTGACCTAAATATTTATCAGAAAGGGAAACTATTCTAAATTCTCGAGGGGACGTCTCCTCGTTGTTTACATGCCACTCAAATAGTTATGAAAAAGTTCAACAAGATCGATCAATATGTGATAGATCACTATACAACGAGGGGATATCCCATCGAGAGTTTAAAATCCACTCTCTCATCAGAAATTTAAAAACATGATATAAGATAAACTAATATGAGATATATCACTCCACAAACATGCAAGGTTAAATTCAATTTCTATGAGTTGTACCAAAAGGAACAAATTCAATTGAAACTACTATATGCACATTCACAATAAGTTACAACATTTTTTTTTGCGGGGATATTTGTTACAACTTGTAGATGTTGAATTTGAAAATGCATGTTTGTAGAGTAATACATATCATATTAATCTATCTTGTCATTTTTTAAAAATTTTTATGACTATTCATATGACTAAAGATCCTTTGAGGAATGAAAACACTTTTTCCATAACACATGCAAGTATGTAACCAAGTAGCAGAAAACAACTTACCTTCTACTGATGGCCTGGATCTGTCCTGCCCTTACAGGATCTTGGGGGATTTCAGCACCATTATCCCACCCATTTGCCCTCTCAGAATTACCAATGAAAAGGGTCAGCTTCTCCAAGAACCTCACTTCTTCCTCCGTCATTTTCAGCGCTTGTATTTGATCTTTCAGCACCAGCACAGGGTGCAAGAACCAGTCTATCAACCGATCTTGGGGGCGGTTATATTGATTGATTTCGATGCCATTGCCTATCAATAGCCCTCCAGAACCGGCCTTGATCGAATGGAGGATCATACACAGCAGAGAATAAGAAGGTACTCCCAGTCCTATTGCTTCATGCCCACTTTCCTTTGTTCGTAACCATTCAGTAAGATCAACAGTTGTTATGACGTTTAAATTCAGAAGATCCCTGCCCCTCAGTTCACAATTCTTCATCATATTTTCCCATATCTACAAATCAAGGAGCTAAGTTAGGATTTCAGGCAGGACTTAATTAATCAAAATGAATAACCAAAGCATGTTTGGATTGTAAGTTTGTACCATTAAACATGATCCATATTGGTGGAACATATATCCTTTCTAAAATGTATAAATAACACAAAACCTAAATTATTCTCAATTTCTCATAAGCCAGTGTCTCTGCGTCTTGCTAAAAAGTAAAAAGAAGGCAAATTCCAGATCATCTTATTAAATATCTTTATGTTGATATATTGATTTTTTTTCCGAAACCAGGAATTCCTATGCTTTTCCTGTTGATATATATACCAAGATAAGCCACCATAGAAAGATGGATACTCGGTTATAACATATTCACTTCAACTGTTGCTTATGTTGGACCACACACTTCTCTAGGGAAAAATGCTTCTGAATTCTCACGTCAAGCTTCATTTCAACCATACAAGCAATGTGCAATGGTAACTAACTACTAACCATTGCTTCTTTTGTGGGCTTCCATTCACTGATAAGTCATGATACTGACACAATTAAATGAAATCATCCAAAAAAAAAGATGATCGTGTGGTTACTTTCATTTGAAATATTTCCTCTAATAAAAAGAGCTCACATAATTTAAGGACGTAAACACAGCAATTAAAATATTCAAGGATCTCCTTCATTTATGATATTTCTTAAATTAGAACCTGTTCACCAAATCTAAGAGAGCATGGACCCAATAAGAATAGTAGTCTTTACAATCCGTGGTTTCATGGCATCATCACATTTATAGCAGTACCTCACTTAGAACTAGCTCACCTAATCTAAGTACATTGATGCAAGTACGCAGTTATGCACCAATAAAAATGTCTAGCTATACTTTCAAGGAACAAGTGTTGTAACTAGTATTAGATGCCTTTCCTTTCTAGGCAGGGCAAATATTGATGGTACTACAGGAATGAATGCACTTTTTACCAAGTTTAACTATCAAAAAAATTGCTCAGAGAGAACACCATTTTTCCTTGGCTGGTGTTGTACAATGAATTAATGATGTGCCCTTGGCAATTCTTGTGCAAATAAGTCGAATTAATAAGAATTTAGCACGTCCAAGAAACATACCTGGACCATTTTGACTTCCTGTATGGCCTCTCTAACTGACCTTGCTGGGGCCAAAGTTGGAACCAGCATTGCTGGAGCTTCATTGGAACTAGGTTGGTCGCCTCCTTTAACAGAAGCATTCGTTCTGACTGAAAACTCCGTGGAACTGGACGATTTTCTCTTACGGTAGGAAGGCCTAGCAGAAAATATTTTCACTGAGGAATCAGCAACGTGAGCACAGAAGTTCAGCAACAAAAGAGGCAGTCTGAACTTACTTCGGAAGAACTGTCCCTTCCCGGAGATAAAGCCAGTCATTGGTGTACTCGTCAAATTCCGCAACCATGGCAACCACATAAGAAACTCCCCTCTGGAACGACTTCTCCTGCGATAGATCCATAAACACAAGTTACTATCACTTAATCTCTCCTTCCTGTTTAGACACGTAAGGAGATGGGAAAGAATTGGAACAACACAACAAACACTATGTCAAGACAGCAACCTGGTAGACAACGACTGCTCCGTAGAGACCCACAAAAATGCTCGAGACGATAGCTAGTAGGACACTCCCAACAACCACCAGAGGCCAGAAAAGGATAGCCAGGCCAGCGATCGGCACACAAACTGTCTCAAGGAATGGACCTTCGCGGCTTATAAGGTCATGAAGCAGCCTCTGCCAACCTTTGAAGAGCATATAGGGGCTCTTTATCAGCGCAATTACGGTGTAGAGCGGAATGTCAACGATTAATCCCAAGAGACCAACAGCTATACATGAGGGCACATCCAACACCCTACAGGGAAAAAAAAATTCAGTCATTCAGCTTGAATTTTACGGCATTCGAGAATCGCAATTTCAAGCAACTGTAATGTGCAATGATCGTGACAGCACCATCACCCCAGAATAGACTGTACTAACAGTCTAACATGAGGATTGGCATATGACTATAACAGAGTTTTTAATGGCAGAATTCCTGTGCCAGTCCTTCTCATGACAAGGCCATGCTTAACACATGGATTACACACAGCATGGGGCTGATTCCTGAATAACCAAAGAGAGACATTCTAGTCTAGTAGGATAACAATTACCTGATGGAATGGGGCTCGCAATTCTGCGAGCTTTCGCGCAGCTCCTTCAGATAAACAGGATACGAGTGGAAGCATAAATCCGCAAAGTCCCTAACCACCGTGCAGCTGCCTTTAATCGTCCCCCACGTCCCGTCCTGCTCAAACCAAATCATCATCTCAATGAGCGCCCGGACACATCGCTAACAACGACAGTGCCTTGCCGATTTGCAGCAAAGCTTGTTGAACTCGTGTTCTTGCCTAATCCTGTACTCCAATTCAGAAGGGGAAGAAGGCATCGTGTCCTTACCACGACGCCATGCACGAACTTCTTGGACTCGCTCTCCTGCCTGAACGCCTCGAAGGTGGCGATCCACGGCGTGAAGAAGCCATAGCCGAGGGCGACCAGCGCGCTCCCGAAGATGCCCAGCCCCAGCCAGAGGCCGAACAGCACCGGCAGCGCGATGAGCACCGCTAGTTTCAGGCCGGCGTTGATGCGTTCAGTCCTGGATTAACAATGCAGAGGAACAGATCAACAGTGATCATTTGGTATAGACGAAATTGACAGAAGAAAAAAAATCGAAAAACATTACGAGTCGCAAACAAGAACTCGAATTCTTTCTTCCTGTATCCAACTGAAGTAAACGCAAAAATCAAAAAGAAATAAAAACATTTTATTTTCTTTTTTCTTACTTGATGAGGGAGTAAATGGTCCACCAGACGTGCGCCGGGAAGAGGAGGAGTATCACGCCGACGTTGCCCAGCACCATCAGCGCCGCCGCCACCGGGCCGACGACCGCCGCTGCACCACAACCGTATCCCAACCAAGAAAAAAAATAAGCACACGGCGGCAACAACTCCGACGAACCCACGGTGGCGCCAGCAGCCAAGACGTGATTGAAAGGGAAAGCGTGCGTGCACCTTTGATGCCGCCGAGGAAGAAGGCGGCGCAGAAGGAGAGGACCACGTACGCGACGCGCAGCGACTGCTCCACCGACCCCATGGGCTCCGCGTAGTTGGCCCCCGCCCACGCCTTCACCTTGTCCATCGAGTCGAATCGAATCGATCGTTCGTTCGTCGCCGGCGTCGACGCGCCCGGTAGCACTCGCTCACATATACGCACGGGCACACAAAGGACTACACCTGCCTGTCTACCTCCGCAAGAATCAAGGACAGCTTCAGAGAGATGGAAGCTTTTCTGCAGCCGGACGGAGAGGACGAGGGAAAAACAAAGAAGAAAAAGAAAGCGCGCGTCCTCGCTGGCTGGCTGTCGCGGGAATCCGCGACGACCGGTGGTGGTGGAAAAATTCAGCGGCTTGCGGGAGAAGCCGCTCCAGGGGAGGGAGAGCTCTTAAAGAAAGATTTTAGATTCGGGGGGGTTCTTGATTGATTCGTCGGTTTGGGGGTTGGCTTTGGATGGGTCAAACCTGCCGGCGGCCGCGGCGGCACTGTTGCGCGCGCGTCGCTGAATCGTGTTCTTGGGGACGAGCAGAGCAGACTCAGAGAAGGGGACAGAAGTAAGGGTGTGTTCGAGGAGAAGAAGATTGGAGAGACAGGGAAGATACGTAAAATGAGGTAAGTCATTAGCGTATGATTAATTAAGTATTAAATATTTTAAATTTTAAAAATAGATTAATATGATTTTTTAAAGCAACTTTTCTATAGAAAATTTTTGTAAAAAACGCACCGTTTAGTAGTTTGGGAAGCGTGCGCGTGGAAAAAGAAGTTTTTTCTCACCCTATATTACACAAACTAACGCAGCCTAAGAAGTCATCTAGGGGTTTGCCTTTTTCTCTTTTTTTCTTTTTAAAAAAATAATTTTATTTATTTTTCGCGGGAGTTATATAATGTACTACGGCAGGAGAGGCAGTTTGGGTAGTTTGCTTTCGGTGCGAAGCTAACGGCGTTAGCGTGAGGAGTTCAGAGCTAACAGCACACCTGGCGAGGATGACGTGCCCAGCTGGTTTGAGCAAACCAAACTAAACAAAAGTTTTTTCTTTAGTATTTAAGAAAAAATTAAGCATCTGAATTATCTCAATACACACAAACGTTATGGCATAAAACTGAGTTAAGAGTGGTAGAAAGAATTAATGTTTGTTAAAATTACTTTTTAAGTCAAATTAATTTGGATCAATTTTAATGTTGATGAGAAATCATGCATGCATTTACCCGTGCCATATGTTGCTATGGATTAAAATATTTTTTATTGGATTTATAGAGAATTGAAATCCTTAGAAATATTTTCCATTGATAACCTCTAGAACAAAGGAATACAATACCAAAATTCATTTTTGTTATCAGCCTCTTTTACCTCAAACTTCATAGGAAAATAAACATAAGATTAAACCTCGTGTCCTTGGAGAAGTCAAATGCACCTTTATCTCTCTACCATAAGCAAATTCTATTAAAATTCATGTGCTTACTTTCTATACCTTGAAATCTATAGGATTTTACTATGTGTGATATTTTATCTGGGACTCTCTTCCCTAATTTATTTAGAGGGCTCATTTTTTTTATGTGTGTTTTTATTCACACACTTTTTAAAATCCTGCGTAACAAAGGATCCATGTGATATTACTTCAAATATATATCAGAGCTTTAGCTCAATTTATACTAGGGACAATTGCATCTATACCCCCACTTTGAAAACCAATTGTTGTTTTACCCTCATTTTTTAGAGTTTGTAGTTTTACCTCCACTTTTTGAATCTGAAACTGCCGTCTACCCTAACTTGTGACAGCCGTTTGGTGGGTCCCACGTTTTTGTGTTAAAAAATACAAAAGGCAATAAAAAAAGGTTTTAGGAAATATGAAATTACCTTTGTACCCCTGAGGGAATGGATAGGATGAGTGAGTCTGTCCTCCCACCGTGCGTCGGTTTCGTGGTGAAACCCTAGCGCCGACATCCACGCTGGCGGGCGCAAGGCGGCGGCGGCGGCGCGGTCGCGTCGAGGGCCAGCCGGTGGCCGCGGCTCTTCCATGCGGAGGCGGCCGCTCCCAGCGATGAGGTAGGCGGCTGGAGGCGGGCAGAAAAGAGGAAGTTGTCGGAAATGGAAGAAATCCTATCAATGGAGCTAATTTGATGGAAGAGTTTCACAGGTATTATGATTCTTGTCATTGTGACTATCCATTGATTCTAGGGATTCCTTGATTCTATTTGATTCATAGGATGAATTAACTTTACTATTTAGGGCGATTTACCTAAATGTGCTACTTTGCTATTCAAAGTGAGTCATGCATTGCTATTTTCTTCTATTTATCTTCAAATTTTGCTTATTTCATTATTGCTAATTTATTTCTTAACTATGAAGTGCAAATGGAAGAGGAAGGGAAGGAAGAGGCTAGCTGAGGTTTGCATGCTTTTGGACATCTATTTGTTGTGCACTTTTGTACATATATGGACTTGTAATATGATCTGGACTGTAATATGTGGTAACGTGCTTTCTATGTTGTGGACATGTGATATGTGCAATTATGTTTGTGGACACTATTAATGTTTGTGGTCGATGATTTATATGTATCATGGCTTATTTGTATGGGACACTTTGTAATGCTTGCTATATATGTGACTTGTGTTAGTTGTGTCAAATTGCTGTCAAAATTTTATTCAAATTTTGGTCAAATTTTATAATTGCCTAGTATTTGTGATTTTTATTTGTTAAAGTACAAAAACATCACAAGAGATGCTCACGTTTGAATTATTTATAACAATCACACAAGCTGAAATCACAAAATAGGGGAAAATCACATAAAGCTGATAAAAATGGGGGCAAAAATACAAAAACCACCAAGGGTATATATGTCCTTTTCTCTACAACTAACACCATCAAAACTAGCTGTTAGATGTGGGGGTACAGGCTGATTCAGATTAAAAAGTGGGGGTAAAACTGTAAACCCTAAAAAAGTGAGGGTAAAACAATATTTGGCTTCAAAAGTGGGGACATAGATGCAATTGCCCCTTTATACTAATGCTTTTATTTTTATCATTTTGGTAACCGCACTGTTTTTCTCTCTCATGAGGTTGAGGTATCCTTGTCCAAGTAGTATCTATGGAGGTAGAGCTTAGCAGCCCCTTCATCAAGAAAAGGAAATAAAAAAACAGAGTGAGCTTAGCAGGCTTGAGATAATCATGTAAAATATTAGCATGAATCTTATGCCATGCCAAGGACGTTTCATTTGAATAAACATGCATGCATACGTGTTCTTATACTCCAAAACGATCTCCCATGATGTCAGGCCATACGCAGCGGCAAGCAAGTCTCGTTTAGATAAACACCTTCCCCAAATCACACATCATTTGTTTTTGTTCATTAGTTTAGTAGAGTCTAACCATGTGTTTGGCTAGTCAAGTACCAAGTATTTTTATGATTTCATCAACCAGCCTGTCAAACATCTCTCCAAATTGTACGTGCCCGTCGCTGGTTTACCATCAACCTTTGCCTTCCACAAGAACAAGTTTGAGAAACTTTGCCAGTACAAGTGGTATTGGATAAAACTCCATTGACCGGCCGGCCGGTAACGGCGTTAGCTTCCGTCAGCCTCGCCGCCAAAGCCCAGAGGCACCAGCATCCTTGGAGGCAGCCTCGATAGATATGCTCTTTATTAATCCTCCTTTCGACGGCTCTACTTGTGTCTTTTCATGCTCGGTTTCATGTCCGCCTCGCTCCAATTCAACTATGGACAATCTAATAGCTCATAAGTATTTCCTCCGTTTCATAATATAAGACTTTCTAGAATTACTTACATTTATATAGATATTAATGAATCTAGACATATATAGTGTTTAGATTCATTAACATCTATATGAATATTAGCAATGCTAAAAAGTTTTATTATAAATCATTAATATATGGTGCCACATCTCATACACATATAACGTATTGGAGTCCGTGCTGCAGCTGGCTACAAATCTATAGCCCGCTTTTCTTCTCTCACCTCTCTTCTCTTCTCCTCATATGCTTACAGCTGACTTGTAGCCGGCTATTGTACTCGCTCTTAGATTTCGAGACAGCTTGTGAAAATTTGGAGGGGTTGGAAAAACTAATTTGGCTGTATAGATGTCACAACATTTTTCTACAATTTCCCACCTCAATCCATTATTTCCATGTGCATATTTCCCAGCTGCTAAACAGTGTTTTTTTTTTACAAAATCATATTAATCTATTTTTTAAATATAGCTAATAATTAATTACTCGTGTGCTAATAAGATGCTCCGTTTTGCGTGCGCGGCCGAGCACAACCTTTATTGCCTTTCAGTTTTATTTTATATTTTGCAACTACAATTTTTTTAAAATCTAGATGAAAAGTTACACGGCATAAGGAAACTTATTATTCTTAGAAAAGCTACAACCTATAAAAACTCCCCCAAACAAACCCCTTCGCTGTTTTTGTCACAACCAAGTGGTCGTGGTCATTTTCAACACAAAACAAATATAGTATCAAAATATTTAATATTAGATTTAGTGAAACTAATTTGGTGTTATAGATGTTACAACATTTTTCTATAAATATGGTCAAACTTTAGAAAGTTTGACTTTGAAAAAAAATCAAAATGTTTTATAACATGTGTTGACGGGCTATACCTAACTACAGTATTTATAGAGTATGAGAATCGTTGGTATGTAGGTATATGTGAGATTACAGTAAAGAAGACCCAATTGTAGAGCAAGCTAGATACTCTAGTCTACCAACTATCCAACAACTTACAATTAATGACTAGCAATTGGCTTCTTCCAGACAGATATGCGATGTGGCTTTTGGTTTGTGATTCGATGCCCTCCTATCCGGGGGGCATTGTATTTATATAGATAGACGACTTTCTCTCCAGACAGAATTTGGAGAAACCTTGTAGGACACAGGCAGATAAAAGACCTTGTCTTTTTTGAGTCGGACTTCGACAGCCTCTAGTCCCGTGGAAGGAATTTTCGTTCTTATCTAATTATGTACCATATTTGAGTTACCATTTTGTATAACATTAGGTGTGTGATATTATTTAAATATAGGAGGTATATCTAATCCTAATACTGACAATATAAAATGAGGAATTGCAGTTGGGATTAACTATGAATATGGTGCCTCAATCAGGTTTACCACAACTAATACTGTCATGAGTCATGACACTTTCTTCTGATGTCAACTTTTCCTAACCCCCAAATGTCAAGGCGCAAGAGTATCAGCATCGTCAGATCTAGAAGGAATTATAATAGTGCGAAGATAACTACCAGGTTTGATTGTTCAGATAAAACTAAAGCAGCCGGCAACATGGTACTCTGGAACAAAAAAGAAAAGACAATGAGTAGGAGTATAAACTTGGATGACAAAGTTGACAACAGATGATGTGTTAGCCCGTTGAATTTTGTTGAATATTCTTCCCTCGCGAAGCCCAGTCTCCAAACGTCAGAAGCTTCTTGGGAAAATATCCCTGCAAGCGTTCACTTGCAGAAACTTCAGAGAGGAGATGATGTGAAAGCCACCCAGCCGGGCTCGCAGTTTGCAGCCTCCCTATGCTGACTTCCTCTGTTCAGATTTATTTTGCACAGTGCCCGGTTCAAAGGAGATTTATAGTTAGCGCATGATTAATTTAAGAATCAAATACTATAAACTCAAAAAAATGGATTTGTGTGAATTTTAAAGAAACTTCTAGAATCCGAAAAGAGGACTGCCCAATACTACTGTCTTCTCTTCAAGCCTTCAACGATTACGATGTCCTGCCAGATCATAGGTACGTGCATTTTTAATCTCCGTGTCGTTGACACGCGTATGAAGGTCAGAACCATGGAAAATTGGCAGGAGGTGACACTCATCCAGATTTTGTTCTGTAAGATCGGTATCAAGGGTTTGTTTAGTTTGATGTACAATTTTACTCGATCAAAATTTTGGTAATTTTAATAGTAGCAAATATATATTAATTACCAAATTTTGTTTATAATAGTTCGATTCAATACTATAAAATTTGGTCAATATTTTGATCGGGTAAAAATTAGCTTTTAACGAAACAAGCCCTAAAGTCGGTCGGGATGTTTCGATCGCATGCAGGGGCGGCAATCGGCCAGGGATTTGAGAAAATGCCAGGAAATGGTCGTGTTTGGATGATCGTGGCTCTGAACTCTGAAGAACGAACTGTGCACGGAATGTTTGTGTCAGGGGCTCCGGACAACTTCCTTTTGTTTTGGTTAGGCCATGTTTAGATTTCAACTTTTTTTTCAGTAAATTTTTAACTTTTCCGTCACATCAAATTTTTATATACACACAAGCTTTCAATTTTTTCATCACATCGTTTCAATTCCTTCAAACTTTCCAATTTTGGTGTATAACTAAGGCCCTGTTTAGAGCTGTGTTTAGTTACACGCAAAAATGGAAGTTTGAAAAAATTAGAACGATGTAACGGAAAAGTTGAAAGTTGATGTGTGTAGTAAAGTTCGATGTGACGGAAAAGTTGGAAGTTTGAATATTCTAATTTTTACATCACATCATTCTAATTTCTTTAAACTTCTAATTTTAGTGTGGAACTAAACACAACCTCAACCTTAATGTGATACTCCATGGTACTACTACGGAGTATGTTAGACCGCGCTGATACTACTAGTACTCCGTTTCATTTCCCCGAGGAATTCAGGCAAAGGATACGACATGATACGGTCTGTAACTGCCTCGATTGCAGAACCAGCCTGAGCTATCCTGTAGATGTTGTGCTGTTGTCCAGTTTGCTGGTTGCCGCTGTGCAGAGGTTGATGTAAATCCTTTTGTTTTTGTTAATGTGATGCATGGCGTTTTTTTTTTGTTGAAAAATGCATGGCATGTTTACCTGCTAAAACACTCATACAGTACTATCTCATTTTGTGGCTAAGGCGACGATTCGACGAATCCAAAACTCACCGCAGGGAATAAGTTCACTTTGGGTCCCTCGATTTGTCGCTCATTCCGATTTTCATCCTTGACTGTAAAACCGGGTACAACCCGTCCTCCAACTTATGAAAACCGGGCAAACGAGGTCCCTCGGCGGTTTTGAAGGCGGTTTTGGCTGACGTGGCGCCTACGTAGCTTGTTTGACTAGGTCTCCGTTCCACGTGGCATTGACGTGACGCTTACGTGGCAATTATATCTTAGAAAAATAATAAAAAGCGCGGCCCTACATGTCAGCTGCACATAAAAAAATAATTTTAAAATGGAGGGGGCCATGTGGGCCCCACATGTCAGCCTCACTCCTCACTTCTTCCCTCTCCCTTCTCTCTCTTCTTCCCTTTCCCCTCTCTCTCTCTCCTTCTTCCCGGGCAGCGGACGGCGCGGGTGGGCGCGGGCGGGCTGGCGGTGGGCGTCGTCGGGGATTCAGCTTCGGTGACTTAGCGCAAGCCACAATGTGACATAGCATGCATCAAAGCCGTCCAAAACGAATCGAACGGAAGATGGCGCTTGGACCCGCTGCAGGTCGAAATATCGCCGCCCGCCCAGCCGTCCCGCGTCCGAGACGGCGCCCGCCCCCAATCTTTCCCGCGCGCTCGCATCGCTGTTTCGCCTCGCCGCGAGCGCGAGCCAACTGGGAGGCTCGCCGCCGCCGTGCCTGCGCCAGGCCGCCGTGGTCGCCGCGAGTGGGGAGGGGACTGGCGGCCGCCGCGCGAGGCCAACTCCATGCCCTGCCCTGCCGCGACCTGTGGAGAGGCGCTAGGCCGCCGAGGCCCTGTCCTGCCGCCGCGACCGGGGGCACGTGGAGGCGGCCGGCTGCCAGGCCTGACGGCGCGGTGGTGCAGGCGGACGGCCGCCCAGCCCGACAGTTTTCCTGTAGTTCTGCATTTCCATTGTTCTACACTGATCTCCAGACATTGCTCTGCTACAGTATCTGTTTGTTCTGCATTTCAGTTTGTTAGAAGATTATCTGTATTTGGTCAGATATGTAGCCGAATGCCCGATGTTATGATATGATCAATAAACACCTGTTTTGTGCAGTCATAAAAAACATCATAAACACCCATTTTTTTGCAGTGTTCTGAGGTCATACAATCTACAGTTCTGCAGTTACTGAAATGATAAGCAAATAATTCAACGTGTATTCTAGCAGTCTTCAGTTGTTACTCAATCAAGGATCATACAAGTTAATGTGCCAGCATAATTCTAATTTGCAATCATACAGGATATCAACTTCTTCCTGTTGATGGTGGCATGTCCTCAAATTCAGGCAACTCAATGCTTCACCAAGCAGCAGCAACCAATCATATACCAAATTAGACATTTGCAACCAGGTTCTCATATATCCCTATTCGCCGGCGACGAAGTGGGCGGCCGACCGGTGCGGGCTCGGAAGCTGAACTCCATCAACAAGTCGAGGCCGCCAAAATTGGAGGTCCGGCGCGGGCGGAGCGTGTTCCCGACGGCCGGCAGGAGCACCGCGGCCTCCTCCACGCGCTGGGCTCGGGCTGGGGCCTCGCCCGCCTGCATCAGCGCGCCATCAGTCTTGGCGGCCGGCCGCCTCCACGCGCCCCCGGTCGCGGCGGCAGGGCAGGGCGGCCTGGCGCCTCTCCGGTTGCGGCGGCGGTGCTGGTGCCTCCCCACTCGCGGCGGCGCGCCTCCCAGCCGGACGAGAGCGACCGGCGAGGCGAAGCGCGGCTGCGCTGGCGGACGCGGATTTGGACTGGAGCGATGCCGTCTCAGGCTGCGTGGCCTCCTGTTAGGCTTAAACGGCAATTGTTTTGCCTGCATGCGGGCCCAAGTAAAGCAGCCATTCGATTCGTTTTGAACGGCTGAGATGCACGCAATGTCATCCTGTGACTTGCCTATACTAAGGCAGCGTTCGTTCCAGTGAGTTTGAGGAAGAAAGCACATCGTTTTCCGCGTGCACGCTTCCTAAACTAGTGTTTTTTGCAAAAACTTTCTATAGGAAAGTTCTTTTAAAAAATCACATTAATCTATTTTTGAAATTTAAAATAGTTAATAATCAATTAATCATGAGCTAATAACTCACCTCGTTTTGCGTATCTTCCCAATATCCTCAATCCCCTCCTCCTCAAACACACCCTAAGTCACCGAAGCTGAGTCCTGGCGTGTTCGGGCCTTCGGGGACCTCCTCGGCAACGGGATCTTCAACTCCGACGGGGAGACGTGGGTGGCGCAGCGGAAGACTCTGGCCGGGCGTGCACCGCTGATTCTCTCCCACCGGCCGCCGCGCGCCGCTCCCTCCCACCGGTTCCGCGCGCCGCCGCTCCTCTCCCGCCCTCCCGCCGGTCGCCGACCCTCGGGCACCGCCGCTCCTCTCCCTCCTTCCTGCCGGCCGACGCACGTCGCCGCTCCTCTCCCATCGGCCGGCCCGACGAGCTCACCTCCTTCCTCGCGGAGCTCCCGTCGGCCGCCCTCTCCGCCGGCGCGGCGCTTGCGTCGGTCGCCCTGTCCGCTGCACGCACACCGGATGCAGTACAAGCAAACGAAGAAAAGGAATGCAAAAGAAAAGAAAAGGATAGATAGAGGAGAGGGCGTCCAGCACGTCGACCAGCATCAAGGCGCGCAAGCTCGAGCTCGCAGCCGAAAGCGGCAAGGGCGACGCGTCGTCGCCGGCGGCGGCGTCCATGCCGTTGTGCTGCTCCGCTGCTAGCAGCTAGCCGCGCGTCCCTATGGCCTCCCTCCTGTGTAGTTCCGTGGTCATCGACACAGGCTGCCGCCTCGCCGCGAGCTGCGCCCCCGTTTTGAGTTCGTTGACATGCGACAAGCACCAAGAAAGTCAGCAAAATGCCAGCAGGAAGAGGATGCTAAGATCTCGATGTAATTAACCGCTAACTAATTTTGCTTGCAGGCCGGTGGAGCCGAGCAGGCGGCGGGGCGCAAAGACGATAGGAGGAGCGGAGCGGGCGGCGGCGCGCGGAGCCGATAGGAGGAGGTTGAGCAGCGGCCGGCCCGCGGAGCAAGATGGGCAGCGGCCGAAGCGGGCTACGAGCTCGCCGTGATGAGGAAGAAGAGGCAGAACTGAGTGGGGAGAGGGGGATGACATGTGGGGCCCACTGGGCCCCACCTTATTTTTTAGCAGATATGTGGGCCCCACCATTTTTAGATTAATTATTTTCTGTGCGGCTGACATGTGGGCCCATGATTTTTATTATTTTTTCGATATATAATTGCCACGTAAGCGTCACGTCAATGCCACTTATTACAGAGAAATAGTCAAACAAGCCATGTAGGCGCCACGTTAGCCAAAACCGCTTTCAAAACCACCGAGGGATCTCGGTTGTCTGGTTTTTGTAAGATGAGGGACAGTTCAGTTCGTACCCGGTTTTACGGTCAAGGGACAAAAATCAGACTGGGCGACAAATATAGGGATCCAAAGTGAACTTATTCCCTCACTGCAGCCGCACAGGAGCGTACACTCGCTCGCAAGTCGGCCCGTATGCTGATCGCAGGCCGGCTATTGACGGCCCACCAGGCACGCACGCGAAACTCACCGTGACTCGGACGGCGGACGCACCCACCCACCACTAAAACCACTTGCCGTGCCGCCCAACCACCCAACCAAACGTGTGACAAAACTCATGTCTCACCTACACACCAACGGCCCGAGTCCGACACACGTCTCACGCACGAGCAGCGAGCTCGTTGCAAATCCACGCTACAAATATCCAGCTCAGTAGCTCACGCGCCGTCACACTCTCCAGCAGCGTACAATGTCGTCAGACGCCGGCGACGACGACGATGTCGTGCTCGACTTCCGCCCGCTCATCGTGGTGTACAAGAGCGGGCGGCTCGAGCGCCCCCTCGCCACGCCGCCCGTCCCGCCCGGCACGGACGCCGCCACGGGCGTGGCGTCCAGGGACGTGCGCCTCTCCGCCGCTTCCTTCGTGCGGCTCTACCTCCCGCCGCCCTGCGCCGCCGTTGCGGGGGGCGAGAGGCTCCCCGTGGTGGTCTACTTCCACGGAGGAGGGTTCGTGATCGGGTCGGCCGCGTCGCCCGCGTACCACCGCTGCCTCAATGACCTCGCCGCCGCCTGCCCCGCCGTCGCCGTCTCCGTCGACTACCGCCTCGCCCCGGAGCACCCGCTCCCGGCCGCGTACGAGGACTCCGCCGCCGCGCTCGCCTGGGTGCTCTCCGCCGCCGACCCGTGGCTCGCCGTGCACGGCGACCTCTCCCGCGTCTTCCTCGCGGGGGACAGTGCCGGCGGCAACATCTGCCACCACCTCGCCATGCGCCACGGCCTGACCAGCCAACACCCCCCGCATCGCCTAAAGGGCATCGTGCTGATCCACCCGTGGTTCTGGGGCAAGGAGCCCATCGGCGGCGAGGCGGCGGCGGGGGAGCAGAAGGGGCTGTGGGAGTTCGTGTGCCCCGACGCGGCGGACGGCGCGGACGACCCAAGGATGAACCCGACCGCGGCGGGGGCGCCGGGGCTAGAGAACCTGGCGTGCGAGAAGGTGATGGTGTGCGTGGCCGAGGGAGACACGCTGCGGTGGCGCGGCCGCGCGTACGCGGAGGCGGTGGTGCGGGCGAGGGGTGGCGAGGCGGCGGCGGTGGAGCTGCTCGAGTCGGAGGGCGTCGGGCACGTGTTCTACCTGTTCGAGCCGGGCCACGAGAAGGCCGACGAGCTTCTCCGGAGGATCGCCGCGTTCATTAGCGCCAAATGATCGATCACTTATACCATGCGAGTGCGACACACCGAGAGTAGCACTGAAGGACGGTGTCGTCTGTGTTTGCGCGCCGTGGCGCTTGACAAGAAAAACGATGGAACCGGATCGTGTGGTTGGGCGTTGAATTCGGTCACTTCACATGTGCTTTTGTTGTGCTTGTGTTGTGTTGCGTGCATTCGGTCACTGTGGGCCCCCAGTTTCGGATCGGCGGGGCTTGCGGCCTGTCTTAACTGGGCCCATAACGTCTATTTGAGGCCTTTGCACCGAATCGGAATCCAACACGAAAAGGGCCGAAACAACGGCATCCGACCACGGGTGCTGCTCGGTCGCGAGTCGCGACACGCTCCGCTGCGGGCGGCTGGAGGCAGGAGCTGCGTGGATGTGTCGGCCGCGGCCAAAGCCACACGCAACAGCAAACCGGAAGCTTCGATGCAAACGAGGCAGCCGAGCCGATGAGGCAAAAGCTCTGACCTAACCCGAGAGCCACAGGTCTCGATCCCCGCGATAAAAACCACAAGTAGTACTACGTAGCACAGTATACGAGTACTACTCAAACCTCAAAATCCGCGCTCCCTACGTGAATCCCATCTTCTACCGCCCGGTCAACTCGTCGCGGACACAAGTGGTAGACTGACACAAACATGGTTCGGATCACGACTTCGTACCGCTAAGCTACTACTTAGCCCGTGCGTGGTTAGATTCCGAGGTTGTTGCTGGGTCGACGTGCTCCGGTGCATGCTCGGTTGGTGGACAGAGGAGAAAAGAAAAGATCGCTTCGCTTGCTTTTGGTCCAGGGCCCTGGGAACGGAAAAGGTCTCTCCTCTCGATGGCTCGATCGATCGGCAGGAGAAGCATGAGAAGTGCGAATTCGCCAATGGCGAAAGCCTTTGCATAAAAGTCAAGCAAACATGAATGGAAAAGGCAAACGATCACGTTTGCTAATCCGGCTTGGGGTGGGCTGTCAATCTGTCATGGCCCCCTCAATCACCTGTGCCTTTTCCTATCTAATTGCATCGTCTCCTGCACCTGGGGTTGGGTCGAGTAGGGCAAACGATCGATCGAGCGAGAAGAGTAAATTTAAGCGTGCTAATTAAGTTGTGCAGTTAACTAGTGCTCCATTTATATTTCAATTGGCTCACAAAAAAATGTCAAGCTAAAAATAGCAATGCTAAATAAGGTAACTAGCTTTATCTTACTTCAAAATTAGAAAGAGTAAGATGCGCCGTAGAAATATCAATAGCAATCTTTTAGCTTACAAACATCAACAGTGGAATTAATTGGATTCGGCTACACACAGAAAAAGTTAGGACTAGTATTTTGTATCATATTCAGTCTTACTGGCCTACTAGAGTCTAGATCTACCGTGGTTGCGAGCTGAATTACTATTTAACCCGGATAGTAATAAAACCCCAGATGCATAGTGTCTTTAACTGGTTAGTTTTGTCCTTAAAAGAACCCAGCTGGTGCGTGCGCTCAGACCACGCTCCGTGAACAGAGGGGATCCCAACGCCGACCCTACACGTCATCCCTACGCCTCGTCATCGGACGGCCGAGATCGCGCCTAACTCCTCGATCCAACGGCTAGGATCCGTCGCTAACCCACTATATATCCAAACCTCACCCCCACCCACGAGCTCCCTCTCTTTTCCGCCCTCCACCCTCGCGAGCCAAGCTACCATTCTCCTCCTCGGCGGCGGCGGCGGCGGCGGCGGCGGCGATGCAGATGGCGGCGACCACCACCACCACCGACTCCTCCCAGGCGGGCGCGTGCCGCCTCACCACCCTCACCCTCACGCCCACCCGCACCCGCACGCGCACCCGCACCCGCACCACCCCATGGCGCAGGCGCGGTGGGTCGTCCTGCCTTACCCGCCTCCGCCGCCGCCCATGGTGGCCGCTCCGCCGCCCCCGCCGCCGCAGTACGCCAAGCACTTCGCGGCGGGGCCGCCCCCCGCCGCGGCGGCCGGGCGGCGCACGCCGACCCCGCCCGCCCCCGCCGGATCCGGCGGGAACGGGTGCGAGGAGAACAAGACGATCTGGGTTGGCGACCTCCAGTATTGGATGGACGAGAACTACCTCCACAGCTGTTTCGGACCCAGCGGCGAGGTTTGCCTTCACTCCCCGATCCGGGCTTTCCGTACTAGATCTCACTGATACGATTAGATTCGTGCCATTTCCATGGGTTAGTTCGCCTGTTAGTGTTCTCAAATTGTCGCAAAAGCATACTTTTGCGTTTATTTGTCGCTCTACGCGAATAAAGGTACAAAATATTTGTAGAATTAGCTTTGAGGTTTGCTCGAGGCACCTACTTCGAGGCCATTCAATGCAATATGACGTAATGCTTTTGTTGGTCTAGTGATTTATGTCTATTGATTCGTTTTGTTACTGCCGAGTAACTTGAAAGCATGTTCCTTTATTTGGTTGAGTTGTTATTTTATATGAAACTGGAAATGGGGCACCCTTTCTGTAGAATTGGTACTTTCGAGCTGCCAAAGGTGCCGACTTTGTGCTGGGATTTATGTACATGTCCAATTTGATGAGTAGTTTGGAGGAACTGGTCCTGACGTGTGATGATTTAGTAAACATTTTGAATAAGTCAAGCTAGCTGTTGTACTTTGGTGGTTACATAATTAGTAATGAACAGTTAGAGGAGGGAAAGGAAGCCATAATGACAGCATTAGCTATTTTGCTGTATTTTTTGGGACTGTGTCCATCGATGTTGACAGGAAGAAAAATGATGCCTGTTAAGAGGATTATTGTGATGGAAACTGATGCGGTCAGGGACAGGGTTAATGAACAAAGACACAAAATGGACTGTAATTCTTGTTTCTGTACTTGTTGCAGGGATCTGTTTATTCTGTATTTGAAATACCAACATCTGTGGTTGTTAGGTTTATTCAATTACAGAACTAAGGATTACCACTGATCAGTTCGTCAACTTCTTATTTTCGATGCTAGTGTGTATCTGTGCTATTCCTTGACTGCTAACTTCCTTGCCTTTCGACACCCCTTTTTTATAGGTAGTGACGATAAAAGTTATCCGCAATAGACAAACTGGACAATCCGAGGGATATGGTTTTGTAGAGTTCTACTCTCACGGATCGGCAGAGAAGGCTCTTCAGAATTTTACTGGTCATGTGATGCCTAACACTGATCGACCTTTCAAGTTAAACTGGGCTTCATATAGCATGGGTGAAAAGCGATCTGAAGTTGCTTCTGACTACTCAATTTTCGTTGGTGATCTAGCTGCTGATGTTACTGATGAAATGTTGATGGAGCTTTTTGCTAATAAGTACCGCTCTGTGAAAGGAGCTAAAGTTATTATTGATGCAAACACAGGCCGTTCTAGGGGCTATGGGTTTGTTAGATTTGGAGATGACAATGACAAATCCCATGCAATGACTGAAATGAATGGTGCGTATTGCTCTACTAGGCCAATTCGTATTGGACCTGCAACTCCCAGAAGGTCTTCAGGTATGTCTCCTATTTCCTGATTTTTTTAGCACTTTGATATTGCAACTCCTATTTTGTCCATGGACCGTCTGATGTTTTATGTTATTAGTAGTTTGGCTTGTACTCAATTTGAGCTATTTTTTGTCAGATTATTAAGTATCACTAAAAATTTTGGAAGGTCTGAATTGTTTTTTCACCTTGTACCCTCCTAATGTTGCTTAATTATACATCTATTACCCCCAACTATTTTTTTGGAACACATAGTGAAGTTCTAATAAATAACGAATTTGTCCTGTTATTTATCTGGACCCATGCCTTGAAGACCACTTGCAAGTTGCAAGATGAGAAATTAAAGAATTGTACCTGCCAAGCAAGATCCTCTTCATGGGGATCCCATCTCGTGGCTAGTGTTTCTAATATTTGGTGGCTTCAGCTTCTCTAACTGCCCCTTGAATTACTTACTATAGGTTCCTATCTTCATAATCATTGCTTCACAGCACTAGATTGAATAAAGTTTAGTTAATGTTCCCAGAGCATATTATGTATGACGTACTTATGTATCTTGCTTTTGTGTAGGGTGCTATACATTTGTTTTAGTGTTGTATGGAATCAGTTTGGTTTAATCATTTGTTTACCCAGCTTCACTATTATCTTCAGGTGATTCTGGCTCCTCAACACCTGGGCATTCAGATGGCGATTCTACTAACAGAACGGTGTGTGGTACTACTGGTTTTCCACGGTGTTTGTCACCCTGTTGCCTGATAATTTCTAATATGTAGTTGTTGATCTCCTTTAGGTATATGTTGGTGGGCTCGATCCAAATGTCAGCGAAGATGAGCTGAGGAAGGCATTTGCCAAATATGGTGATGTTGCCTCTGTAAAAATTCCTCTAGGGAAGCAATGTGGCTTTGTTCAATTCGTCAGCAGGTATGTATCTGAGGCTGTTCTTATTTGGCTACTTAGTTTTATATGACATGCTGGAGATGGTATTTAAGTCTTGCAACTATGTCTTTAGAACTGATGCGGAAGAAGCACTGCAAGGATTGAATGGATCAGTCATTGGAAAGCAGGCAGTTCGCCTTTCATGGGGCCGCAGCCCATCACATAAACAGGTTCGTCCATGCTTCACATCGCTATTTTCTGTTTTATATTATCTTTGCTATTGGATCAGTAAACCAGTTGCAGTGTGGCACAAATGTTGTATTTGAAATTTTCAGTCCAAGTAAACAACTGGCCTGGGCAAGATAATTTGTCATGTGATTTGATCTTTCCTGTGAAAAAGCTATTTTGTAGTGTGATCTAGTTGCTTTATGACTAAACGAGAGCTTGCTTACCCATGTCATATGGTGTGCATTCCTGCTTCAATACTTCTTCGTCAACCGTCTAGATCTAGTTGCTTTATGACTAACTGAGTGTTGGCTTACTCATTTGGGACGTGACGCACTCCTGCTTCAGTGCTTCCTCATTGTCCAGTATCCTAGTATTATTTAGACAAGACTCCAACCTTAAAGTCTGCTAGCTATTTCTAGTGTGCAATCAAATAACTTTCATTGTGCACCTTTATCTGGGCCATGCCTCATTTATTCAAGTTTACTCCAGACACCAGGCCTGGCTGAGGCCCAACTTTACCTATTGTGTGGGAGAGCTACCTATTTCTAGTGTGCTTAGGTCTACTAGCTATTTCTAGCGTGCAATCAAATAACTTTCATTGTGGACCTTTATCTGGCCCATGCCTCATTTATTCAAGTTTACTCCAGACACCAGGCCTGGCTTAGGCCCAACTGTACCTATTGTGTGGGAGAGCTACCTATTTCTGGTGTGCTTAGGTCTGCTAGCTATTTCTAGTGTGCAATCAAATAATAACTTTCATTGTACACCTTTATCTGGCCCATGCCTCATTTATTCAAGTTTACTCCAGACACGAAGCCTGGCTTAGGCCCAACTGTACCTATTGTGTGGGAGAGTTACCAATTAATCAATGCTTAATACACCCCCATAGCCCAGCTGCAGTACATCATTTTGGACCAGTGCTTAGTCTCAACACGTTAGTTATATGATTTTATAGCTAGCTAAAAGTTCATGGCCTGAGAGGCCTTTAGTATTTTAGCGATGCTATTTCTGGGGCTTTTGGGAGTGTCCAGAATATAGTGAACTCTGAATGATTCAGGCTTTAAACTAGGTCACCATGAGTTCTTTTTTCTGCACAAAATCTAATAATTTCATGCAATTGTCGATAACATCAGTATAAATGTTCGTCATATGTAATGCTAAATTATGTTCCCCCGCTATGGAAGTGGACAGAACTATGTTTTTTGTTGAATTTAGTCATTCTCCCATCCATATCACTCATTTGCTGTTCTATTTCCAGTCTAGGGCTGATTCTGGCAGCCGAAGAAACAATATGTACTATGGGACGCCATTCTACGGTGGATACGGTTATGCCTCCCCCGTCCCGCACCCTAACATGTATGCTGCTGCATATGGAGCCTACCCTGTCTATGGCAGTCAGCAGCTAGTGAGCTAGAGAAGAGAGAGAGAGAGAGAGCTTCATTCCATTCCCTCCAATGGAAAACAAGGTTTTGGTCCGGTCAGCATGGTAGCGCCAGATGTGAGGTTATAGAACGTCCTAAAAGCGAGTGAAACAGGTAAAATGAATGTATGGTATCTGTAGTGTTGTCTGTGTTGCAAGAAGTATAACTCAAGGCTTGTAGACACAAGTGAGTCGATGGTATTCTTTCAAGAAATTTTGACTTGCTAATAAATTAAACTATTGTTTGTGTGTCCCCGTTGTGCGAAGTAATTTGCCTGTTACTACCGTTGGCCTTGAAGATGGAGATGGTTTGCTTATATGCGGCCTTTATATCGTTTTTTGTTTTGCTTTCATAACTATTATTATATCTGGTTATTTGTTCGGGATGGTTCCCTGCCTGCCTCCAGTTAAAAATATCTGACACTGAAAGCCAAGATTTGATTAGATTTTCTACACTTTGGCCATCAATAATCCTTCAATTAATGCTTGGTGTAAATGTGTAATAGCATGAAAAAGTAGTGTGTGTGCCTTGAGAAGTAGTAGTACTATCACAATATCATAAACTTATTACTCCCAAATAAGTTGATGGTCAAAGTTTAGCTGAATAGTTTCCCAAATCTTAAATATTTATGACCGTAGGGATCGCCTTGAGATCAGCTTTGGCTTACCAGTTACCATCGATAAAAATCCAGCAGATCCCCAATCGCACCTCAAGTAACAAAAAAGTCAACATTATTGGGTTTAGGGTGCTCCAGCGGATCCCTGATAACCTCCCAATCCGGAAATATTTTTTGTGGTCACAAAAATACAACCATATTAGGGCTGTCAGCGAGCGGGCTCGCTCGCCTAGGCTCGAGCCAAGCCTATGTAACCTTGAAGCTTCTAGACATGCTCATGCTCGGTTTGAGCTTGATCAAGCTCGAGCTTGGCTTATATGTAGGGATGAAAACGGTCGGGAAAACCCTATACCATTTTTATTTTTATATATTTTTCTTGAAAACGGAATCGGAACGGTAGACCCGGAAACGGTAACGATATCGGTATATCGGAAACGGGACCGTCGGAACGGAATATATCGATATTGGTCGGAAGTCGAAATTCATGTCGGAATTAGCGGAGTGTGGCATAGCACACATTTAACTATGCACGTAAATGAATTTTTAACTTTATTCTTGCATCATCACACTCCACATAACACTGTTATATGATGATTAATGATATGATAATAAGTTTGATAAACAATATAAACAAAGTTCAACAATACTTCAACATCGATTAGTCGAGGAGACCAAATTTCAGCAAAATCCACATGCCAGTCATAGGTTAACAACATTTTTCATGGTCACTTCCCCTTTTTTATGGGTGGCAAGCCTACCAGACTTCCTTCATTCATGGGCTTTCAATGGGTTGGGCAGGTTGAACCGCTGGAGAACTTTTGGAAATTTTTCGGAATTTTGACGGAAATTACCATATAAATACAGTTATCAACAAAACGGTCGAAAAAACCTCTATCTCATTTCCGCTACCATTTCCATAAGATATTACCGTTTCCATTTCCACCACTGTCGGTTATTAGTACCAACTAAAATGGTCGCTGTAAACTGGAAACGATAGCTGGAAATCTCAAAAATTTCCATACCGTTTTCACCCCTACTTATAAGTAGAAATATGAATGTTATGAGAATAATCCCCTTGAAAAATAATTAATTTTAGTTCATCAAATTAATAAAAGAATCTATACTCTCCTTATAAGGACCTGTTTATATCTCACCCTAAAATTTTACACCCTGTCACATCGAACATTTGAACACCTGTATGAAGTATTAAATATAGGCTAAAAAAATTACTAATTGCACATATTGCGACTAATTTGAGAGACGAATCTTTCAAACCTAACTACTCCATGATTTGACAATGCGGTGCTATAGTAAACATTTGCTAATGATGGATTAATTAGGCTTGATAAATTTATCTTGCGGTTTACTGATGGATTCTGTAATTAGTTTTTTTATTAGTGCCCGAACACCCCCTGCGATACCCTATAAGGGCTATATAATATCCGATGTGACACGCCAAAACTTTATACCCCTGGATCTAAACACCCACTAAAAGGGAATGGTGGTGGTGTTGGGCCTTCCACCACCTCATCACCAACTCCTAGCTGTTTTAAGAGAAAAAAGGTAAGAGCCCCAATGCCCCACATGTCAATTACTTATACCAAGAACTCATCTGGTAGAGTTTCAACTTCCAAATTTAATTCCAGGAATTGGGTCTATAGTGGAGTTGTGAAGCAATCTAAACATAGGTCCACATTTCTAATTCATTTTGTGAGAGCGCTTCCGCTAGCTCCACTTCCATTTTTAGGTGGAGCTAAAACTGTTTGGTTTGATTATAGCTTCAAGAGAGGTAGAGCTGGAGCTATAGCCATGTCAAATAGGCCCCAACTCTATACTTTTTATGGGAATGAAAAAAAAACAGCATGGGGTAAAACCGTAAAAGGGTACACATGTCACTAACAAATATGTACAACAATTAAGAATTGGTAATAACGGGTTAATAATAATTCTCTTTAATTAAAATCCCATTGCAACACACAGACAATATGCTAGTAAGATAAATATATGATACCAACACAAGCTACTTTATTGTGTGGGATAAAAATGATATCTTTGATCTCCTAGTTTATTATATAAACAATTAAAATCATATATTGTCAGGTTCGTTACGAGCTTGAGCTTAGCTCAACAAAGCTCACAAGCTTTAGCATAGGCTCGAGCTCGAGCCAAGGATAAGTTGAGCTCGAGCAGCTTGCGAGTCTCAAGCTTCTTTTGACATCCCTAACTCCCCAAACACCCTCCTCCAAAAAAGAAACAAGCACATCCACTCGAGCTTCTCCCATTACCACCCTCTTGCTGGCGTCCTGGCTCGTCGACGTGACCTTCATCAGTCGCCCACACCCTCTATCGCTCCGTCTCAATATGTTTTCGGTGGCAACAAAAAAGCCAGCCCCGAGTCCCCTATCCCTAAAGAAAGGGGAAATCTCTTACACAAATAGCATTTTTTTCAGTGCCAACCAACTAACTCCATCCAAGCTCTCTTGCCGGTGCATCCTTCGATGGCCCTCCCTCTCCCCGTGGCCCGACCTCTCGTGGCATCTACGAGCTTGCCGACCAGATTTCCCTAACTGTCGTTTCCCAAATCCCACAACCGGTTGCCGCTCCTCCCCTCTGACCATTGTGCTCAATCTTCTCCATGTCCCAAGGTCATCGTCATGCCTTGCTGCCCTAGCTGGCATGAAAATGAACATCAACATAAGAGGAGATGCAATAGGGAAGGTGTAGTAGGGCTTCACAAGTGGCTAGAGGAGAGGTTGGCGTAGTTGTGCCATGGTCTTCTTCCATCGTCGTCAAACGCCTTCGATGTTGGGGTTGTGATTGCAATTGGACTTGAGGGACAAGAATGGTATGTAAGTGAACCTCTTAAAGGTCGGGGCCAATCTTCTCGCGGGTGACTGGCTGACTGCAACATAGAACTTAGTGAGATGCCCGTTGGTGGCGGCGTGGTGATGCCGGCAGGGGCGGATCCAGAAACATAAAGTTGGGGGGGGACTCAACATACCGAGTACACCGGCATAAACCATACTATCTCAGTATTAAACTATGCTAAAATGCTATTAAAAGACCTTTAGGCACCTCCTATCTTATCAACCATGACAAAAAAATGAAAGGGGGACTTAGGGGGAGTATCCATGGATTCGGTGGGTGTAGGGGGGACTCAAGTCTCCCCTGCACCCACGTTGAATCCGCCCATGGATGCCGGCCAGCCACCTCCAATGGGCTCGGTCTTCTTGTTTGCGGCGGGTTTGGGAGGTAAGGGTTTTGTTGCACTTGTCCATGGGAATGGTGGGTTTTGGAGTTACTAGCAGGATGAGGTTATTGGGATCTACTTTAAGCACATCCGCAACCATGCTGAAAATGGTATTGGGGGCTTGGGGCTCCCCAACAAAGTTTATTGGGGTGTGTTTCTTTAGACTGCTAGGAGATGCTCTAGGATCACCTTTACTGAAAAAATAGCTATCGCACACGAACAATTATGATTATTCTTGCTTAACATCGCTGCGAGGAATTTGCTCAGGAAAGTGCAAGTCACAGCCATTGATTATTGTATACTCTCTCCCGTAAGCAAACGAGCACATAATAGTCAACATGTCTCTGCTCACACGTACAAAATGCGCACTTGCAAGGACCCATTCCATAGACTTGCCATTTTGCCAAAGCGTGATATCACGGGCTACCGTCTACCATTTGACATATAGAAATTACTAAGGCCTTATTTAAATTAAAAAAAATTGACAAAAAACATCACATCAAATGTTTGGACACGAGATATTAAATGTGAGAAAAAACAATTGCACAGTTTGCATGTAAATTGCGAGACGAATCTTTAATTTGAGCCTAATTACGTCATGATTTGACAATGTGATGTTACAGTAAATATTTGCTAATGACGGATTAATTGAGCTTAATAAATTCGTCTCGCAGTTTACAGGCGGAATCTGTAATTTATTTGTTTATTAGTCTACATTTAACACTTCAAATGTGTATCCGTATACTCCAAAAACTTTACACCCAAAGAAACACACCCTAAAGCTTAACAGTTCACGCAGCGGTAGCCTGAAATGATGACGTCTGATGGGGTTAGCTAGCTACTTACTCCCAATTAAAAGTCTTAAGCGCATCGTCGCTTAGTGGCCAAGGAAGACCTGAAGAAGTAAACGAGGGCCTTCAAGTCGCCAAGTCTTGGCGTGTGCCCCATGGCATTCCTTGTACGGCACATCCATCGTCAGACACGCGCTTGCACGCGCCAATCACAAATGTTTACTTCTTTTTTCGCTGTTACATGAACGATTAAACGATAAAAATATATGTAGGACACACATGTACACACTACTACATTAATTAGCACACATTCGCGAATCATATTTTTTAATTAAGTATACACTCAACATAGAGGCTAACGATAAATAAGTAGTCCTAGCTACTAAATTCCTACCCGATGCGCTAAGAGCAAGGCTAATAATACAGCCGACCTATTGGCTATAAGGTTATTTCTAGTCTTCTCTTAGCCTACCCATATAATAGTTAGCTCTTTACAATTAATATAGAGTCCACTTGTCTCTCTCACAGAGTTTCTTGGTCCTTGTGTTCAAGCCGACTGTAAGTTTATAGCTTACTTCTCCTCTCTCTTCTCTCTTCTCTCCTCTACCCAGTATTTAGCCGGAGTATTATATTTGCTCTCAGAGATGTTTAAGCTTTTCCTGAAACTTTCAGACCCAAGAGCTGATCCTGCCTTGTCCCGTGCGTGCTCTGATTAATTGTGCTTCCCGCACTCACTCGCCCCGAGAATATTTGCGGCGAGAAGTAATTTGTTTATGATTTCAGCGGCGTATTTTTATATTGTAAACCTGAGATTTTATTCGTGGGCGAGATATTCCGGCATTCCGTGCCTGTCATTTCAGCGCCGATGCGCCACGATTAGGATAGGTAATCATAAAAACATCTCGCTTTCTCGCCGAACCGCCTTAATTACATCTTAGACTAATATGTTAATTGATCGTCGCTATCCTCCAGGACGTACAGAATGTTAGCGTCGTCGCTGTCTAATCGATCGGCCGTGGTAACTGGAGCAATTCACGATCACCGATCGATCGATCCAGCGATCGAGTTTCGTGCTACTCCATCCGTCCCAAATAACTTAGGGCATATTTGGATCCACATTAATTAGAAGTATTAAACGTAGATTAATGATAAAACTTATTCTATAACCCTGAACTAATTCACGAGACAGATCTATTAAGTCTAATTAATCCATGATTAGCCTATGTGATGCTATAGTAAACATTAGGGCCGGCCCTGGGGCAGTGTGGATGGTGCGACCGCACTGGGCCTCCAAAAATGAGGGGACTCCAAAATATGTATACTATGGTATCAGACCTGATAGGCTTAGAGGAAAGACGTAAGACCGATCGAGAATCGAGCATATCGTGACTGCTTGATTGTATTTTAAACTTATTAGTGTGAATTTCGTTAATGACAATGAGTTTTTAAATAATATCTTGTATTTTTATGGTGAATGGGGGTCTATTTTTTTTGTTCCGCACCGGGCCACCAAAAAGTCAGGGCCGGCCTTGGTAAACATTTGCTAATTATATATTAATTAGGCTTAATGTCTCATGAATTAGCTCTTATTTATACAATTAGTTTTGTAAATAGATTATATTCTATATTTAATACTTCAAATTAGTGTCTAAATATCTAATTTGACAGGGACTAAAGTTTAGTCACTGAATTCAAACAACACCTTAATGTAAATGCATATGTGACATCTTTTAATAAAACGAATCTGAACAATCAAAACTCTTTTTATATTAGGAGGGACCATATCTTCTTGTAGGTGGTTGTTTTTTTTTTTTACGGAGGAGGCCTCATGAGGGAGTAGTCTTCTCCTCGGTCCACGACAGTTCACATTACAACTCTCTCTCTCTTGTCTGATTGCGAGTCTCGGAGTCAATATAAATAGTTTGCCCATCTCGTTTCGTTTTCCTCCTCTCGAACCACACGACGACAGAGACCAGACGCAGAAGATGTCGAGATCTCGATAGCTAGCTAGCTTGTGCATGAGCATGACTCCTCACTGCTTATAGCTTAGCTTCCTATATAGCTCGATCGATCGATCACCAGGCCGTGCCGATCGGCGGCGTACTGATCATCGATCGATCGATCGATCCATGGCGTCGGCGTCGCCGAGTAGTAATTCGGTCGTAGGAGGGGCCGGCGCCGGCGCCGGCGACGTGTGCTGCATGTGCGGCGACCGCGGCCTGCCGGAGGAGCTGTTCCGCTGCCGTCTCTGCCGCGTCCGGCTGCAGCACAGGTACGTTACACACACGCGCGAGGCGAGCTCGAGCGCCGGCGTTTCTTGGGCCGCCGATCAGCTTTGCTGGCTAGCTACCTTGCACGGAACCTGATTTTGTGCACACGCGTGCTTGGAAACACAGGTATTGCAGCGATCTGTACCCGAGGGCGACGGCGTACAGGCGGTGCAACTGGTGCCTGGTCAGGGAGCCTGCTCCCGCCGCCGCCGCCGGAGCCGCCGGCCATGTCCACGCGATGGTGGATAAGCCGACGACGGTGCGACGGAAGACGGCATCGTCGTCGTCGCCGCCGCCGTCGTCGTCGATGACGGATCAGGAGACTTCGCCGACGACGATGTCCAGTGAGGCAGAGCGGCAGCGGCGCCTGCAGGAGGCGGCCGGATGGTCGGCTTCCAGGAGGGCGCCGGACACGGCCGGGCTCGGCCGGCCGGTCAAGAAGCAGAAGGCTGCCGCCGACGACGACGAGGGGGAGGAGGCTCCGGGCGCGAGAGCGGCGCCGGCGGCGAAGGGGAACAACGGCGGCAACAAGGAGGAGATGCAAGCGGCGGGGAAGAAGACCGGGGTGAAGGTCAGGGTGAGGAGGTACAAGCTCCTCGCCGAGGTCATCAGCTGCTAGAGCCAATTGCGGTTGCTACAATGTGTACAGTATGTGTACTGTATACACGTATCCGTCGTTATGCACGGCAAATAGTGTACAGATCTTGTGAGAAACCATAATCGAGTCGGAGCCCTCTTCTTACGCGGTTGTTTGTGTTGAATGATTGAAAAGCTATAATACCTATTCGAGAGTATAAACGAATGAATGCAATATTATAAAAAGTTAAAAGCCTTATAAAACCTGCTCCAAAATCAGCATGTATTTAACATTCACAGCTAAATATGAAAGTATGTATAAAACATTCAAATATAATGACGACACTGAGACACGATATGCATATATCTCTAGGACTCTGTCACACTGATTACGATCACTTCTCTCCGATCTACAATTTTGCATTGTATCAGAGTGACAATATCACCGGTCAATCGGTTCCTCTCATATACTCTCTCCGTTTCATATTATAAGACGTTTTGACTTTGGTCAAAGTTAAACTACTTTAAATTTGACTAAGTTTATAGACAAATATATTAATATTTATAATACCAAATTAGTTTCATTAAATCAATAATTGAATATATTTTCATAATAAATTTGTTTTGGGTTGAAAATATTATTAATTTTTTCTACAAACTTAGTCAAATTTAAAACAGTTTAACTTTGACCAAAGTCAAAACGTTTTTTAATCTGAAACGGAGTTAATATGTAACTATGTAAGGTCGTAATATAAGTGTCTCTCTATTTAAGAAAGAAACTAGAATACGGTTTTAATCTTTTACTATCCTAACACCAATTATAACTGCGAGTTCATATCTTAACCTAGCATGTACATCCTAAAATAAAACCTAGTATGCACACATATTTGACAAATTAAAAAAAATCACTTATAGAAAGATCTTTCAAAATTATAAAGTTTTAAAAAAGTAATTGAAAGCAGTTTCCAAAAGATTCTTATACAAACTTTTTTTTTTCAAAAAATTGCACATTTAGAGCTCGAAAAGTACGCATTCATCCATCATTTAATTTCTTGAGAATGAAAGTACAGGGCCGATCGATCAGAAAACTGAGCTTTTCCGTAACCCATCTACTACTAGATAGCTGGATCAATGCTACTCGCAACACATAACTGGATCAATGCTAGCTGGAGTAGTAGTTAAGTTTGTACATCACTTCTCAATCCATAAGGGAAAAAAAAAAAGGTTTCCCAATCGCTCCAGGCTCCAGAGTACCGGACGGCTCAAAAGACAAAAGGCACACCTCCATTTTCCGGTAACAGTAGGGAGATCTGATACCGTGTTTGAGAGATAAAATTAAGTTGGTGATCTGCTCGTACGTTCGTCCAATTAACCTTCTCTCCACTCTAGCTTAGGTTAGGTTAGGCCGCGTGCATTACTTGTCTCCGGCTGTCTCCGGCCGGCGCCGCGCGCCCGCGCTAGTGATGTACACCGCCAGCGCATCATCGATTCATCATGGGCTGCAATAATATTGGAGACGAGAACTCATCACCGTTGCGCTGCTCGCCCTGTACGTGTCGCGGCCTTGCGCCTGAACCGGCGCACCGTGTGTACGTCGTCGTGCGAGCGTAGGCTGGTTCGGTGGTTGGCCCATGCGGCAGACAGGAGCACGCTGGCATGCGGCGAGTCAGTGAGGCGTTTCTGCGATCTTTCCCTCTCACATCTCCAATCATTCGCAGAGACAGACAAAGTACGTTGATCTCCCTAGGCTGCGAGCGGCGGAGGTGAAGCCCAAAATGCGCTGCAGCCCAATGGCGTAAGGCCTACGGTCTGCTACTGCTAGTGTTTGGGCTGGCCCTTCCCTTTGGTGGGTTGGGCTTCATGTCTTGGAAGAATCGCTCGTCCACGGTCCACCATGCCCCCGCATCATATTCGTCCCTCGTTTTGTTGACTTTGTCTTGTCGTCGCCCGTCGGCGTAGAGCGGCAGGATGACCCTGCCGGCCTGGCCTGCCGGCTTGTGTACTGACGGATCTGCTTTTCTGCAGTCACCGCAGCCAGCACTACAGTACTAGGCCTGCACGTCTTTTTCTGATCTGGCCAACGACTTGTGGCGCAGCATTAACGTCCATCGATGGCGGCCAAACACGTGGGTAACTCTGTCCTGTAGTAGCACGTAGAGCTACTTGTGGCCTCAAGCCCTCAACTGCCAGAGCCAAACGTACAGAGACGCCCATCTCCCCCCTCCGATGGGAGATCCGACGGCTGTAGACCGACCGAGCAACGTCGATCCCGTGTGGGCCACGTGCTGTACCAGCTACCATCGTACCAACGCCCCCCGTGGGCCCCAGATGCCAGTGAGCGTTCGCTACGTCATCCGTGGCGTACAGGGCTTCCTCGACGAACGACGTGTGGCCCCCACAACCACCCCTCCCTCCACGAGCCCACGCGGTCCACGCCCCCAACGCCTCGAAGTATGAGAGGCGGCCGCGGCCTCGAGCCAAGTCCTCCGATCCCCCGCGACAATCGCCACGAATTCCCCCGCGCCGCGCCATCCACACCCACACGCGCGCGCCGGCCAGCCTACGCTTTTCCCCTCCCCCCCTCCCCCGCAACGAGCCGCGGCGGAAGGAAGGATGGGGAGCCTTGGCGGGGAGGAGGGGGCGAGGCCGGCTGCGGCGGCGGAGGGGGCGCGGAGGCCGAGGTTCCTGTGCCTGCACGGGTTCCGGACGAGCGGGGAGATCATGCGGAAGCAGGTGGTGGGGAAGTGGCCCGCCGACGTCACGGCGCGCCTCGACCTCGTCTTCGCCGACGCGCCGTTCCCCGCCGAGGGGAAGTCCGACGTCGAGGGCATCTTCGACCCGCCCTACTACGAGTGGTTCCAGTTCGACAAGGTCCGCCCTCCGCCGCCGCCCTTTCACCTGATCTGACTTTTTTTTCCTAAGCGGATCTGAATTTGATTCCCCCCTACTCGTGTTCATGGTCTTCCTCTGTTCTTGGTACAGAATTTTACAGAGTACAGGAATTTCGACGAATGCCTGAACTACATCGAGGAATTGATGATTAAAGAAGGGCCTTTTGATGGACTGATGGGTTTCTCTCAGGTAGTATTGAATTTTGGTCTAAAGAATTAATTCATGGACTAATTTTCATTCAACCGTATCATATATGGTGACAAGTTTTCGATTTAAATATACCAGGGCTCGATTCTATCTGGCGCCCTTCCGGGCCTCCAAGAACAAGTAAGCAATTTGTAATTGTTTTTAGTTGTTACTAGAACATTGAAGGGTTGAAATCAGCTCGATTAATTTCTTGCTGTCTTTAAAACAGCTACATCTTCGTTTAGCTTTTTTATTTAACTCTGTATTTCCTCTGCAGGGGTTGGCCCTGACTAGAGTTCCTAAGATCAAGTACCTCATAATCATAGGAGGCGCCAAGTTTCAGTCGCCGACGGTTGCCGAGAAGGCGTACGCCAATAACATCAAATGCCCCTCGGTTCACTTCCTCGGTACTTCACTATCTTTTCTAAGGAACAAAAACAGATTGCGTCGATGTTATTCTAGTTTGTTGTCGCCACTTTAGCATATTTCTTGCTAGCTTGTAAGTTGACCGTTGCTTCCAAGGCGGTGCCTTCGCCGCCTTTTTTCTTTAAAAAAAATAACAGCCAGCGTATCTGGAATGTTTATTGGCCCATGTTTATTAGTTTAAGGCTGCGTGCATAAAAAAAAACTCGCATCAACAGTGTGCTTTTATATTTCTAATAAAAAGAAAAACTATGCGCTTCTCATGCCATCATGTTTTTCAGTCAAATCTTCCAGAAGCTCAACGAATTCTTCACTGTTATACTAATTGAGTGCTTAACAATTTGATAACTTAGACTATGTATAACAATTTTGTGAATGAAGGAGCGCTAATATATAAACAATAAATTTAGTGGTCTGACTACGTCCTCTCCTATTCAGCGAGTAATTATGTGCTAATACGCTCGGGTCAATTTCATGCTACTATTCAGTTAATTAAATTAGAAGCCCTCAGTTCCGTTCTAGTACCATTTTCATGTCAGCTGTTCTTTAGAAAATTACGAGAAGTACCGAGTGGTTAGAATAATGGATGGTCACTGAGCAAGAATTTCAATCTTATTTGCAGGTGACACTGACTTTCTGAAAACCCATGGCGAAAAGCTTATAGAATCATATGTGGATCCATTCATCATACGTCATCCAAAGGGCCACACTGTTCCAAGGCTTGGTAAGCTCATCTGTCCTGTAGGATTTAGTTCATTCAGGGAGTGGTTAGCCCACCGGTGTACCAAAATCGATGCTTAGTACTAAAAGAGTTTTAGAAGAAACATGCGAAAGAATTTAGAAGAAACATGAGAGGAAATTCGTCGTTGGAGGCCGCTGAAACCAAAAATATGTAGCTGGAAAACAAACGTTGTCATTGCTCTGTTGCAGTCTAGTTCTGTAACCTATAACTTTGTGCGCTTGTGAAACAGAAGAACGTATGCATTACAGTGAGCTTTAGTTTTTTTTTTAAGGAATCAGCACGAGATTGTGCTATTTTATTAGATATAAAATACATCTCCTAGGGGCAAGAAAATAACTGTACATAAACGCTATGATTAAGTTGGGAGAAATTCTTCGAGTCGCCTTGCGTCTGACTTGGCTCTTGCCTCTTTGTTTATTTTCGTCATAAGGTTGGGGGGGGGGGGGGGCGCTGTTTCCTTGCGCTCGAAGATACTTTGGTTCCTTTCTTTCCAGATTTCCCAGGCGACGAGTAGGATTAAGGATAGTAGCCCTTTTTGGACACTTCCTTTTTGTTAGCTAGCATTTTCCACCATTTGTGGACACTTTGGCATGGCTCAAGTGGCTCGGATCCAATTGCTGATAACCAGTGAGCTTTAGTTGATTAGTGAAGTGAACTCTTTCCGCCGTAATATCAGTGTTAAAACTGTCAAAGTAACACCATTCTTAATATTGTTTATGCAGATGAGAAGAGTCTGGAAATCATGCTCCGTTTCCTCGATAAGATTGAGAAGGAGACAGCGCTCGAGCATTCATCCACTGATGTTGACGAAAAGGAAATGTACTTGTGAAGGGTAGAAGATTAGTGTCCAGTCCAGATACACACCAAATTCATACTATAGACAAGCATACTGTTGTACTTGTATCCTCCTTATTTATGTGGTGGTACAAAGAGTTGAAAACTATTGAATAATCACGCAAAAGAATGGATGTGTACTCTTTAATTTGTCTCTTCACCGTGTCTTGAGATTGCAGCACACTGCACATACACATCCAGTACCTAACGGTCGGGGAGCTCATTCTTTTCAACTCGAGTACTCCCTGTGTCCCAAAATATCACATCCGATGATGTGATTAGACCTATCTACAATGAATCTGAGCACAACCTCTTAAATATGGCTAGGTAAAAGCGTTAGGATGTCCAAAATACAAAAAAAAAATGACAAATACCTAGTCCAAAACGAAAAGATTAGATAGAGGATAGTCTAAACTGACACTTACTTCCTTCATTCCATAAAAAAAAACCAATCCTAGGTTTAAATCTGGACCAAAAGGTTTGATCCTGATTCAAACCCAATATTGAGTTTTTTATGGAACAGAGAGAGTAGATAATAAAAAGTGATCCAAAGTGCAATCAACTCATTTGTGTTTAAAATGTGTAGTTTCGTGAGATTTTGTGAAAATATGATGTTATTTGAATCTTGCAAAATTCCAAAATTTTGCGGAGTTCCATCAACGTTGGTTAATGGGCCGCATGGGCAGCCCATGTCAAGAGATTCAGGCCCGTGTCTGCGCTTACTGCACTGCAGCTGCACACACCTCTTCTCTAGTCGCGGTTCGCTCGAGAGGAACGCGGCGGAGCACAGCAGAGGCGAGATGGCGGCGGTTTTCCTCCGCGCCGCCGCTCGTGCCACGAGGTCCTCCGCGCTCGTCCGCGCCATCCTCGCGAGCCGGAGCCCCCTCTCGTCGTCCTCCTGTGCCGCCTCCCCTACGACCGCGGCGCCCGTCCCCGGCACCGCGCCGCGCGCCGCCGCGGCTGGCGATGGCGACGAGGGATGCGCGGCGGCCGCGGCCACGCCCGCGGACGTGGGAGGGGACGAGGACGACCTGAGAAGCCGCGTCTTCCGGCTGCGCCTGGCGAAGCGGAGCGCGACCGCGGCGCTCGAGAGGTGGGCCGGGGAAGGCCGCGCCGCGTCGGCGGCGGAGCTCCGCGGCATCGCCCGCGACCTCAGCCGCGCAGGCCGGTACAAGCACGCGCTCGAGGTTTGGCCGACCGACCCGCTATAGCTCTGATCTCTTCTAATCGTTCGTCTGTTCTGCGCGGTTGTAGAACTATTGGAAGATTCAGAGCAGATTTGGTGCATGCCTCTGTGATCTGTTCCTTGTACTCCTTGAAATTGCTAGGAAATGTTGGTGATTGGTGATGCGGTTCTATCTAGTCGTTGAAAAATGTTAGGTGGCGTATTTACTGCCTTCCACCATGGTTGTTGTGATGGAACATTCCGGTCATTTACGCGCTTTTAGCTTTGCCCTTCATTTTCTATTACTGATAGGTAGTGAAAAAGGCTTTTGATGAACTCATCTAGACATCTAGTAGTATTGACGTGTAAGGAGCTGTAATTTGTTGTCATCATAATTGCAGGCCAAATACTGCCATTTCAACACTTTATCCATGTATATCATGCTGTTTCATTACATTTGGTAATGAATGTTAACTATCATGAGGGGTGTTATTTACATGCTGGGCTACTATCTCTAGGTCTCTACAGTCTACTTATACCATCACTAAATTTGTTGTCGTCGAAATTGCAGGCCATATATTTTTGAACATTTTATCTCTGCCATATCATGCTATTTCACTTCACTTGGAAATGAATGTTAACCATCATGAGGGGCGTTATTTATGAGCTGATCTACTATCTTTAGGTCTCTGCAGTCTACATACATCATTACCGAATTTGTTGTCATCAGAATTGCATGTTTTTGAACATTTTATCCATACCATATCATGCTATTTCACTTCATTTAGAAATGAATGCCAACCAGCATGAGAGGTGTTATTTACATGCTGAGCTACTATTTTTAGGTCTCCACATACACCATTACTAAATTAAATAGGCCAGATTCTCTCTCACACCCACCCACCCAAAAAGGCCAGCATACTTGTTCTTGGTATATTGGTAACAATCATGATAGAATGGATTGAAAAGATTTAGCCACCAAACATTTACCTGGTCAGAGTTAATAGAGCATGCCCATTTAGTCCCTTTTTTATCTGATTGTTTATACTGATGCCCTATGGAACATTGTAAGCATGATAAAACAATTTGGTAATGTCTGGCATGTTTATCCTCCTATAAAATTATGTCAAAACTCAAAATAGTCAGCTCATACCTTAAAATTTTACAGGTAGCAGAGTGGATGAAGACACATCATGAGTCCGATTTATCTGAGAATGACTACGGAATGCGCATTGACTTGATTACCAGAGTTTTTGGTGCTAATGCAGCTGAAGATTTTTTTGAGAAACTTCCAGCTTGTGTGCAATCACTGGAAGCATATACAGCTCTCCTACATTCTTATGCTCGATCCAAGATGACAGACAAAGCTGAGAGGCTGTTTAAAAGAATGAAGGATGCCAACCTTTCCATGAATATCCTTGTTTACAATGAAATGATGACCCTGTACATTTCTGTTGGTGAGCTTGATAAAGTTCCGGTCATTGCTGAAGAGCTGAAAAGGCAAAAATTTTCCCCAGACCTCTTCACATACAATCTCCGGATCAGCGCTTCTGCGGCATCAATGGATCTGGAGGGCTTCAAAGGAATCCTTGATGAGATGTCAAAAGATCCAAACTCCAATGAAGGGTGGAAGCTGTACCAGAACCTCGCTGTGATTTACGTCGACGCTGGTCAGCTTGTTGGTTCAGGAAACTCGCTGGTGGAAGCAGAGGCGAAGATCAGCCGGAGGGAGTGGATCACATACGATTTCCTCGTAATCTTACACACCGGGCTCGGCAACCGGGATAGAATCAAGGACATTTGGAAATCCATGCTGATGACTTCACAGAGGATGACGAGTCGGAACTACATCTGCGTGCTCTCATCCTACCTGATGTGCGGGCAGCTGAAGGATGCCGGGGAAGTCATCGACCAGTGGCAGCGGTCGAAAGCCCCAGAGTTCGACATCTCTGCCTGCAATAGGCTGTTTGATGCCTTCCTGAACGCCGGTTTCACCGACACGGCAAATAGCTTCAGGGAACTGATGCTGCAAAAGAGCTGTATACTGACAAGCAGGCAAGAACGCTCTTCCTGAGTGGCCATCCATGCTGAAACTGTTGAGTAGGATTATGTCATTACATGATGCAATAATAATAGATACTTTCCAGTTGGTTGCTACCTGGAGATCTTGTATGGCCGTGCTAACTACATTCTCCTGTTCTTTCTGGCCTACTACTAATTTCTAGCTACAATGATGCATTGTTTAGTTTCAGAAACAAGACAGGTACAGCTGCTCCACAACATCGCCTGTGAGATGGCCACCTCACCAGGTTCTCCAAGTTCGTCGTATGCTCACCACGCGGATGGTTAGGCGTGAAACTCCCATATAAAACTTTTTTACACTTACAGTCCACATGGTTTCCAGGCCTTTCTCTTGGTACTTTCATTTACCTCATCAGGCATCATCATCGTCATCGTCATTGACATCGACATTGATAACCTCCAAAACCTTGAAAATTCCCAGTGTCAGCACACGCTTGACAACTTACAGGTACATACAAGTAAGCTTCTCCTACTTAATTAGGCACCCCTGGGAACATGTCGCATTCACAGTGTCAGGCTTAACTAGTCAACCCCAAAAGATCAAAAGAAAAGAAAAGGAAGGCAGGTTCTCTGTATTTCGTGTGATAAAAGAGCAAATGAAAAAAAAGGCAGGTAAAACAGGTTAGGGTCAGCCAGTCAGGCATCCATTGAAGGGGATATGAATATGATGAGGTTCCATTTCCGAGCTTCCAACCAGGAGGAGGAAAGATAAGGAGGAGAGGTTGGCAATTGGGGAAAGAATTGGTGGTTTCGGCTCCCACTCGCGGCCGATTTCTTTCAGGATTTCTCCCTGTCGTCAAGGCCCGAATCCTACTGAGGTAGACAAGAAGGTTCGTGCGGTTGGAGCGATGGGGACGCGCGAGCTCCTCGTCGTTCTTGCCGTCGTCGTCATGGCCGCCGTCGGCGCCGGCGCGCAGTCTTCTTCGGCGTCGCCGGCGCCGGCGACGTCGCAGGCACCGACGGTGCGGCAGCAGACGCCGTTCGGGCGGACCATGTCGACCGTCATCACGGTGTCCATCAGCGTGTTCTTCTTCCTGCTCTTCTTCTGCGCGTACATCAACCAGTGTCGCCTCGCCGAGGCCGGGGACGCCAGGGCCGCGGCGGCGGCGGCGGCCGGCGGGGGAGCCGGAGGAGGGCCGTCCAGGAGAGGGAAGCGCGGGCTGGACCCGGCGGTGGTGGCCACGTTCCCGATCGTGCCGTACAGGGAGGTGGTGAAGCACAAGATCGGCAAGAGCGTGCTGGAGTGCGCCGTGTGCCTGACGTCGTTCGACGACGGCGACGACCTCCGGCTGCTGCCGCACTGCTCGCACGCGTTCCACCCGGAGTGCATCGACCCCTGGCTGGAGTCCCGGGTCACGTGCCCGCTGTGCCGCGCCAACCTCGAGAAGCCTCCGCCGCCGCCACCGCCGCCGCCGGCGGCGGCGGCGGCGTCCCCTTCGCCGGAGCGGTCGCCGCGGTGCCAGCCTTCGCCGCCGCCGCCGCCGCCGCCGCACGCCCTGGTGATACCGGTGGAGGACGAGGAAGACGACAGCGACGAGGACGACAGGAAGGAGGAGGCCGTGGAGCTCGAGATGCTGCGCAGCGAGCGGCGCGCCGCGAGGCTGCCGAGGTCGCACTCGACGGGGCACTCGCTGGTCGCGTCGGCGGCCGCCGCCGCCGAGTCCGGCGACCACGAGCGGTTCACGCTGCGGCTGCCGCAGCACGTGCGGGACGAGGTGCTCCGGTCGCTCCGCCTCCGCCACGCCGCCAGCCTGGTCAACCTCTCGGACATGAGCTCCGAGGGGAGCTCGAGGGGAGGACGGCGTGCATTAGGCCTCGCCTTCGGCAACGGCGGCGGGAGCAGCCACGGCGGCCGCCGGTGGCAGGCGTTCTTGGCGAGGACGGTGTCATGGGCGCGAGGCGGAGGCGACGGCTCGGTGCGCAGGGGCTGGGACGGCTCGACGAGAAGAGGAAAAGATGACGCCGAGTCGAGCAGAAAGGGGGCGACCTCACCGGCGGCCGGCCGGCCGTGATCGCCGCCGACGCCGGCTTCGCCACCACGTCGGAAACCGCAAAAAGAAACAAAAAAAAATGCGTGCTTTGCTTCCATTTCTTTTTCTTTTTTTTATTTAGGAATCCATTTCTGATAGACTAATCAGTACACTGTTCTTGCATCGTGAGGCCTGAAATTTTCCAACTTCTTTTGACCCTCGCAAAGAAAAGTTCAGTTTCTGTTGGGCTTTGTAAAAAATTCCACTGGATTGGAAAAGAAAAGCTTGGCTAGCGTCTAGCGAGATGAACTCGGAGATTTTCTCCGGATTTCACCCCACATTTCCCTTGTAAATTACTGGACGCGTATCCTTGCCTTTTGTTAGTGGGAGAATCATTCGCATAATTGCATTTCCATCAAGCGGTGGCAGATGAGCTAGTGATATGCTTCTTTAATCATTCTTCTCCATCATGCTACTGCCGAATTCCGCGGTTTTTTATAATGGTTTGGGTTCTTATCAAGTTATCAAATCATCGCCTTTGAAAGATTCATTTGGAGGGCGAGTTCATTCGCGCGTAAACAATAATGGCGCAAGTTTCGTGTTCAGACACAGGGATTAAGAAGAGATAATTATGATAAGGACGTGGCAGTAATTTACAGAAGTGATGGCGTCGCGTTGATGCCAAGCCGCCAAGGTGGTATCTAGCACCGGCAGCAGCGCAAGAATCTGCACGATAAGCTTTGCACCGGACTCAAGGAGGCAGAGGCGATTAGCGGGTGGTGGTAGGAGACAGAAACATGGTGGCACGCACAAGCAATTCCATCATGCTTTTGTTGTGGAAAAATTTTAGGAGGTTGTTTATTGGGCAGCTTGTCCAAACACTCCAAAGCGTTGCACACCGAGTGGCAACGCAACGATGGATTGGTGCCAAATTTTACCAACGCCAAAGAAAATTTGTCCATCTAAAATTGGTAGTGACAAAAGTTATCCAAACTTTGACACTACCAAGATTTTGATAGATTTTGATAAGACACCAAGTCAAATTGGACCTTTGTTTTGCTGGACTGAGCTGTTGCTAAACTTTGCTGCTTATAAGTGTGATAGAAATTTGGCTGGAAGTGGAGTATACTCCGTTCCCCGTTATTTCTAATCCGATATCATATCATTATAATTTAACTAAGCCTAAGTAACATATTATAATGTTACTTACACCCTTAATTGTATACCTCACTTTTAGCATGAGAGTTTCTCGCAGTAACATTATAACTCTCATGCTAAAAGTGAGGTGTACAATTAAGGGTGTAAGTGACTAACCCATAAACCTACTGCATATAAGTGAGTTTATGACGTAGCCATTTACACCCTAATGCAAAGTAATTTAATGTACAAAACAGTGTTACCGTATTATAGTAACACGACGACATTAGTATTTTACTACATCGGTGTACAGTAAAAATCAAGCTGTGATGATCCATGGATTAGGCCCATTGGTCGTAGATCTGACGGTGGAGATCACTTTCGCTTTAACGCATCTGTTTGTTGTTGTTCCGGAGGATCTAGTATTCTACTAGCTTCCAACAAAGCGTGTGTGGCTTATCGCAGTTGCATCCATCGACTACATATACTTATCCAACAAACTTGAAAATGACAACTAAGGACGTTACTAGCCGTGCAAACAAACTCATCTTCAAATTTTTATACTGATATGCCACTCTCTAACGTTTGGTTTGAACACTTGAACCCACCAACACGACTCTCTATCGCGACAATCGACAAACTTAGCTACCACCAGTGACATCAAGACTTTGGCCCTGTTTAAAAAAAGTTCATAAGATTATGATAAACAACTACTGAAAACATGAAAAAGCTAAGTTTCTCAGCTTCCATTTTTTATTTAATTTTACTTCAGTTTTTGAGAGAGGTGGCTACTCTCGAAGAAACTGCACCCACTACAAGCTCTCCAAACAGTGTCACTGAAATCATTTTGGCACTCGCACATAATATACTAGGCCTCTATGGTCTTAAACATTTAAGATTAAAATACATGGTCGATTTTTAAATTTGAACTAAAGTATTACCTAGATCCATGAACTTGTAAATTACACATCTTGATCCCTAGCTACCTTGGTTGAATGTATCATCCGAGATCCAAAATACAGATGATGTAACTTGAGCATCAACATGCCCATCCAAGATGGTGAAATTTTGCATTTAGGCCCCTTATGCAATAGTATCCTTTCAGCTGACTCACACCCCACACAAACCTTTGGGGTGCATGTGCATGACTTTAGCTATAAATTTTTTGGATGCTGAGAAATGCATATTTTGTAGATTGAGGGGTAGTAGAAGTCGATTTTAGGGGTATATTGTAGCGAAGGAAGCTAAGTGTAAAATTCTCATCACCATGGACAACCATTGAGAGTTTGAGCCACGTCATATGTATTTTGGATCTAGGGTAAAATACATTCAACCAAACATTATGGATCTAGATACACATTTTGCAAGTTTATGGATCTAGATGACACCCCGATGTATTTTACTGGATATTTGATGTTTAATACTCTTTGAAACTTTTACATTAATCACTTCAGAATTGCTTAGTTTATAAAATTGGTAAACATAAATTTACCTTGAAAACTACATCATAGTGTTAGAAACTTATATTCTACTTATTCAATCTAGTATAAAATTAACTAGCGGATTGCCCCACACAATTTTGTGTGAAGCAAGATAATTCACGTAGAGTTACCATTATATATAAGTATATTTGAATTTCATATATAACTCTTAGCTTCTATTTCTATAAGATCTGGATTTCGTATACAACTCTTAGATTCTATTTTCGTAGGCTTAGATTTCATATATAACTCTTACTTCTTTTTTATTTATATAATTGTATTTTGTATACAACTGTATCAATCAATTTATACTTGATATAATTCCATTTTGTATACATCTATATCAATATATCTATACCATTATAATTCGGACCTACAATGATCTAACAATTAAGATCTTTTTCTTCAATTAATGTAGAAATTTCAAGCCTCCACAACGAACATGGTGTCTCCTTTTAAGGTTGTCTTAATAATATAGTGTATAGATAGATGATTGTTGATGGGCTACACCATGTCTATGGTATCTGTGAAGTACCGGGGACGTTGGTACCAGGCAATACACGACACTGTAGTAAAAGAGACCGAAGACCGAGATTTTTATACAGGTTTAGACTCCTACTGATGGGTAATAGCCCTACTCCTATTGACCGAAGCCGATGTTGTCATTATATAATCACAATATCTCACAAGCACATCGAAGGAGAATCTAATTTAGTCTCCGTCCGTCTAACGATGTAAGCTCGAACATGTTGTCAACGAGTAGCTGTTGTCGCCTTTATCAAATAGGAACTCGATAAGATTGGAGGTGGCTATTGATCTCTCCTAACTTTTATAGCGCTTATTGGATCGTGTCTTAGCTCTTGTGACTGCTTGTCCACTCTCTTTCTAGGGGATCTTGTATTTATACCCTCAGATTTTTTTTATTTTCCAAGTAGAACTAGGGTAGCAAGTACGGATACAATCCGAATAAGGGTTTGCTAAAAGTTGTTGCCACATTTTGTGGCTGATTACAGCCAAAATCTGATGGCTAGGATACTATTTGGGACAGATCGTGTGCTTGATTATATCAAGGCCATCTCATCTAATCTGTACACGTATTACACACCACTTATATATATAATTAGTATATGTAATTTTGAGACTTGCACATGTAATTTTGAGGTTTATATATGTAATTTTGGGACTTACAATGTAACTACACGTCGACTATTTTTTGGTAAAAAATATGACGTCATAAATATAGCTACTCTCACCTGAGTATACCTTCCGGTGCTTTAGTAGGATTCTACTTCTTTTTCCTTATCTAGCATACCTTTCTTGTTTGCTCAGGAATTTTGTCATATGTGAAGGTTTAATTTCATATAGGACTTAGTATTATGGTTGGTCCCACCGAGTTTAATACACAATTATCGGATATCATATAGTTAGGATATGATCGCCTTTTAATTAGTTTAACCTAACCATATCCTATACGCTAAATATCTGTAGCCGGAGGAAGTAGTAGCATTAATCTGTCTTGGACCATACATGGTGCGAGAGGACCAGTCATACCCATATTGCCCAGCCAATGATCCATCTTTTGGCCCAAACTAATGTCTCGTTCGGAGAAAAGGCCTACACCACATTTGCACTGTCGCTAACAATGGTCAAGACAACAACAATAACGCCTCCACCGAATCAAAGCCGATCCAGATTCACAGTTCCTGAACCACACAAGCAATCCGCCCAAGAACCAAGACCATTGCAACTTTGCAAGCAAGCACTGTATGTTATCTGTAACTCTGCTCCGAAGTCCAAACGACAAACGCAACAAGCAAAGCACATGTGTTCGTCCGAGGCATCTCAACCGACAGAAGTTGACATTGCTTAGCTCAATCTTGTGCCGTCTTCCTAAAGAAAAACCCTCGAGATCACTCGTCAGTTTGTAAAAGATTACATGACATGTGTATACGACTTCTGAATGAACATGCAGGTCGCCCTGATAAATTGGGATCCCCTAACACTATTGAGCTTTTTAAATCAGTTTAATCTTCAGAGTTGACATAGTACTAATTAAAGTTTGCGGCAAAGTATTATCAGGACATGAAATGCGTCAGGGATGGAAGAGAATGTAACATGGATAGAAATAGAAGCTCAAAATGCCTAAACACAATTGCAGCTATCATTTTTTTTTTACAAAAAAAAGAAAGAAAAGACAACGCGATAACATATAGGAGTAGTATCAAATATTAACCCAGAAGGCTGAAGGCATACTAGGTTTCGTTTGGAATGGAGGTATTTTGTCAGTACTATAATTTTTTTGCATTCACTTCTAAGCTTCTAATCGCAATGTATTCAAGGAGTACTAACGGGTCCCTAAAAAAGAGAGTACTAACGGGGAAGATTGGAATCACGAGCTCATCAATAAACGTGTCATTTTTCACAATAAACACACACTCATACGGTCAAGAAAAATGAAATACTGCAAGTACTTGGAGAGGATTTCAACTTTTCAAGATAAGAAGAGATGGAAACCGAAAGCGAAATACTCCTTGCACCATCTTGACCGCAATGGCCTTTGAACAGTTGGTCAGATATGCTAAAATCCAACAGCTACAACATCATATTTTGATGCACCACTGACCACATGATCCAGTCATCATTCATGAAGACGCAAAATGCAAGACAGGAAAACAATGCAATATCCTAGTAGACAGCATAAAGCAAAAGGATCCGACTAAATTCAGTGCCTGAATCCAAGATAAGATCACTCAAAACATCTGTACTATACTTGTTTTAGGCTAATCTCTATACTGAAACCAGCAAAAACCACGAGATCAACAGGACAATTCATGAATTTTAACCAACAGGCAAGATCAAAACTGTACAGATGTATGCATATTTCTAGATCTCAAGCACTTCTCTTTACTGCATTTGGGGTCTCAAACTCGTAATCCTCACTTTTTAGGATTCCAAGTATAATATTTACACACTAATCGATCCCTTATCAAGAACATGGTGTAACCTTATTCGCAGGGAGCAAAATTCAGCAAAGGGATCTCATCACAGCGGGAGCACCGAGCTCCGGGCACGGCAATGCCGCGAGAAGAACGACCTCGGGAGCCTCTCGGCGGCGCCGAGGTTGCTCAGGCGGCCGGAGCTCGAGACCTTCAGGCAAGACGCGCCAGGAGCCCCGCCGCGCTTGTCGCCGCCGCCGCCGCCGCCGCTCTGCTCCTCTTCAGGAGCCGCCTCCGGCAGCCGCTCTAGCGCCGCGACCTCTGCGGCGGTCGACACGATCGCCGCGTCCATGGAAGCCGCGCGCCGCACGTTGCGCGGCGGCGGCAATGGATCCGGTGAGCTGGATTGCTCTTGCCGGTTTTCCTCCATGTGCGGCGGCGCTCCTTGGTCCTCCTGTTCTGCTTCCTCTTCTTCTTCTTGGCGTTCCAAGATTGCATCGCCCGGCGCAGCCGCTTGCTGGGCTGCGGCTATGGTGTTTGCGACTGGATCAGCTTGTGGCATGGAGCCGGTGTCGCCGCCACCGGACTCCGTGGCCGTGGCGGCGGGGCCTAGCACGTCGGAGCGGCAGAGCGGGCAGTTGACGTGGGCGCGGAGCCACGTGTCGATGCAGGGGACGTGGAACGCGTGGCCGCACTTGGGGAGAAGGCGCACCAGCTCGCCGTCCTGGAACTCGCCGAGGCAGACGGAGCAGTCGGCGGCGCCGAGGAGCCCAGCGCCCGCGCGGTACCGCGTCGCGGCGATCGAATCGATCGCCGCCTCGTCGAGCCCGACGGTCCGGATGTACCAGATGTGGTGCACCACTCCTCCTCCTCCTCCTCCTCCTCCCCCTCCCTCCGCATCGTCATCCCCGCCGTCCTCGACGTTCACCGCCACCGCGTCGGCCGGCGCCGCGGGGGCGAGGAGCGCCTGCTGCCTCTGCCGCCGCCGCCGCAGCCTCCGCCGCCGGACGGCGACGATCACGACGAGGAGGATCATGGAGAGGAACGCGAGCGCCGCGGCGCCGACGACGATAAGGTTGATGATGCGTCGGCGGTGCTCGTCCGCATCACCGCCACCGCCTGGTGGGGAGCCGTGGTATCCTCCCTGATCCCTCCTGCCCCCCGCGGCGCCATGGAGAGGAGACGGCGACGGGGCAGGAAAAGCGGGCGGGCAAGCCCAGGGCGCCGGCGAAGGGGAAGCGAAGGGAGTAAGGATGACGCTCGGAGGAGGAGGGGACAGCGGCCACGAGGAGCAGCCGTAGCCGCCGTCGTCGCAGTCGTTGGAGTGCAGCGCCCGGCGGTGGTGGAGCGGCATCGCGCTTGCCGTCAGGAGGTGGGCGACGACCTGCGACGACTCGCCGGCGGCATCGGCGCGGCGCGCGGGCGTGGTGCGGAGGAAGGTGGGAGGAAGGTCGCTCGCGGGATCGAACGCGTGCCGAGTCTTCTTCACGCGAGGAGGAGGAGGAGGTGGAAGCGAAGCGGGAGGAGAAAGGGGGTGGACTTGGGGGAGGTTGGTTGGCGCGAGTTGGTGGGCAAGTTGGACTCGGCGCGCGTGGAAAAGCTTGGTCGGAGCGGTGGTTGCCTGCTGCCCAGTGACGTGGTAAGGGGGCATATCGGATGGACGACGACTTGGCGAGAGAAAGTGGATTGCGTATGTGGTGATGTGATCTGATGCGACCGTGAACGTGATGGCGCATCTAATATGGGCCGATGTTTCTTCGTCCTACTTTTGGGTTATTGAGCCCAGCAGCCTGCGTCCTGGCCTTTTTCATGGCGATTTTGGTCCAACTTCCGGTCCGGTAGATTTTGGGGGCTTTGGGCTCAGCCGTTTCGAAGGGGATCGAGGCGACACCGGCGCCGCCGCCACCGCGCGGGTGCTTCTGCTACGGCGGCGGCGGCAGTAGGCGGGCGCGATGGCGGGGGTTGTGAGCTGGTACGGGCCGCTGATCGACCTCTCGGCGGCGGCCGGGCACTTGGGCGGGTTCGTGCAACTCCTGGCGTCCGTTCGGCGCGTGCTTCCCCACCAGGTAATCAGCGACCCTACTCCCGGGGTGGAAGGATCTTCGTGCTAGTGGGTGGCTGGTGGTGGAAGCATTTTGGAGGGGAAGATAGATTTGGACGTGTTGCCGTTGTAGTAACACTTGGGATCACGGATTGAGGCTTAGATTTCCTCGTTTGCTAGGAACAAAATGCTGCAGATGGACGGGCGTTTCAGAAGACTATGCTTGAGGTTGGTGACGATACGAGGTCGAGGTTTTGTGTCTCGCTTTGGCCCAAGCGTGGTTCGAGCGTACTCGCCGGTGATGTTTTACTATTGCAAAGTAAGACGTTGATAATTGTTCATCTCATTATAATAGTAAAAAACTAGTTGTTTCTTCTACCTAAACCTGTCAGTGTCATGTGATTGTAAATCCCTGATATTGATTTCAATTTTACGACGTCCATGCCAGGTTTCGATTTACCTGTGGTGATTCAGCTAGTAACGTGTATGACAACACGTCATGCAGCTATATTAATCCTCTTCTTACGGGTTGATTCTTAATATCTTGTTTCAGATATTAAGATAGTTGAATTTAGAAATGGCTTGGAGGGAAGAGCTTCTCAGATATCTGCTGTCCAAGTATTGCTGAACTCCAAAGACTTGGTAAAACAAAGTGGTATGGAAGTGCACCTTTTTTTTGTCCATTTACTGACATATCACAGTGTTTCAGGAGCAATTATGTCAAAGTTTGTCCCATCATTGATATATGCCACAGAAAGACATGCAATAACCGAGCAGTTATCAATTCATGTTTAATTATCGAAAAATGTTGTTTTGCAAACAACGTGGCTGCTACCCTCTGTAGGCTATAGTAGTTGACTGCTGCATCTGAATGCAAATTGTTGAATGCTGCTTAATTGAATGTCTTTTCATGTATGTTATTTATTTTTCATTGTGTTTTTAAGACTGCATTTTTGTAACTTATTTATACTTTGTATGGGTTGTCCCCACTTTGCGACAGCTGTTGTCAGCATTATGGTTGTTCATCAGTAACTTACAATGAGCTATTTTATAGGAATTGATGAACTTATGATTAATTGTAAAGTGGGAGATAATACTAGATCAAAGTTAAGAAGAGTTGTAGAGTGGGCCTGGATGCAACACAACAAATGCACTCTTTCGGAAAATTGCCATAAGGTATCTATGCTGAAACAATGCAATTTTAGTTTCACTGGGATTATCAAACTTCGTTCAAACTCATCATTTTCAGTTACATTTCTCTTAGAGGTCATAACAACGAATATATTCACGAGCCTTTTATTTCGATTTATCAATATATAAGTAATAAGTCATTTGCATGTCTCCTGTCTTTTTGCTACTTCTACCTTGGAAATGCACAAGACTGCAAATTCAATGAAGCAGTTTTACTTGATAGGCTTCCTTGGGGTAGAAGTGAAACATAATTTTCAAATTTATTTATTGATAACTTAGTACTTGCAACATCGATCCTTTCTTTTAAAGCTAATTTGTGTAAATGGCAAAACTATTATGCTACCGTATTGCAGGTGAGGTTGAAGAACTGGAAAGATGAAAAAGAAAAGGAATCGGGAAACTTCTTATCTATCTCAGAGCTACTGTCTCAGAGCAAATTACATGGTGTTGGTGTTTATGCATCCATTTCCAAAATGGTGTTAACAGGTTCTCTGGCGTCTCACTTCAATAGGAAGTTTTCAGTCATTGAAAGATTTTCCCTGAAAGAACATGATGATATTTTCAGAGATTTAGTTACTGCTGGATGCACGTTATGTGGTTCACCTTTATATCCAAAGTATGCACCTTACATGTTGTATTGCCAATGGTTCATGAGCTATATATAAAAAATCTCCGCCTTATCTGTCATGAACTCATGATACGGTAAATCTCTATGCAGAAACCTCCATGGAGAAAATACTTATCCCATTGACTGCCCAAAAAGTCCAAAATATCTTCATGTTATTGGGCAGATATACAAACCCTTCATGGTAAAGAGTTCAAGAAGTCGTACCCACCTTCATAGTTTACTTTGAACATAATTTAGTAAAATCGTCTTTTCATCATCTGCAGATATATGTGCGAGACCAATCTGGACAAATTCCTGTTCTTGTAAGGAATAAAGCTGCAGAGATCTTGTTTGCAAACATTATTGCAGATGATGTATCTGAATGCTATAAGAACCATCATCCTATGTTGTTAGATACTTGTGACTGTGGCAGCTTGAACACTTCAGGTGGCGAGACAGGAATTATAAAAAGGAAAAGGACAAAAGAAAAGCCTGATTGGCATCTCATTTGGCTTATAATAATTAAATGTCTGTTGAATCAACACAAGAACAGCCCATTCTGCTTACAAATTTCAGTCAATACTGACAAGAGTGTCGAAGATGGACGTTTTGAACTGGTTTCTCTGACAATGACAATACCATGAGGTCGCATGTTTTTGTAGCACAGTATGTGTTAGTTCAAATGATGGTTAAAACTGAAAGGTTTCTTTCCGTGGATTGGATCAGTGGAACTTATCTTATCTGATGGTGCAACCTTTAGAGTGATATAGTTGGGATGGCAGAACTATTAACCATCTTCAGTTTGAGAATGCCTTATCTTACAATAAACTAGACCTGGGCCATTCCAGACTAACCTTATGTCTGACAACCTGGAACTCATTTTGACGAACACAGTATGAGACAGGCCAGGAGTAACAATGATGCAGGGGATTATGCAACATGGTGATGATAATGATGATTTGAATCTGAAGCAGCCTTGAAACAGCAAGTGGTTTTTGCCGATGCTTCCCTGCCAGCAAATAAAGTTAGCTCGATGATTTTCATTAATCCCCTCCGAAGTGGCCATGCTGATGATTCCATTGTGATGTGTCCTGTGGTTAAAATTGTTAGCTGCAACACGGTCCTGGAACTAGAAAGGCCTTCCAGACACTGAGCAGCATGAGGTGCTTTGACCTCGAATGCTTGATGATGAATCGGTGGTTTATTTGTTCATCAATGCTTGATAATGTTTTTCTTTTGCTTGTTATTGTCAACCTTAGGCTATGCAGTTCTCTTAATGATAATGGAGACAGAGTTGGCATGATCTATCCTTTTTTAAAAAAACTTTGTAAGTATGACATATTCAGGTTGCTTGAAGCAACATTTTTCTCATTACCATTTCCTTGCACCTGACATACTCCAGATATGCTAATCTGTTTCTTTCTTCTCACTTTCTCTGTTCTGACTCTTCACTCTTTTATGGTATTCTATTTCTAGATTGAAGTTTCTCAAGGTAAAGCACTGAAAAATGCGTTTAATTCAAATTTGTCATTGTCAGTGTCACTGTCACGGCTTTGTTCCTCTCTTAAGTGTTACTGAATTTACTGACTTCCCTTCAGTAGTCTAGACATTTCTTCTACTGCTCATTCTACTCCATTTTTGTCGCGTTTATCCACTTTCTTGACCTGATCAAGTATTTATCCCTAATTGTTTTAACAGTACTTACATTTTTTTTCTCTGAAAGATCATGATCTCTATTTCTTATAGTATTGAATGAAAGATATAATTACGCCAACCTAGATCTCGTCACAGCCTAACTCAATCTTTTTGTGGAGACCAGTATTTATTGCGCTTGAAATAAATTCAGTCATAAGTAATGTAACCTTTTGTTTAACCTAAGTCCAAACGCAACTCCTTATTGCATCCTGATTCCTGGCCAATAAGATTGCTTTGAACATTAAACAAATTAGGTCTGCTCTGCATGGTTCTATGTACTGGAGCAGGTTGCTATCTTCGTGCGTGCAGGTGTTGCAGTCTTGCAGATTAAGTTTTAGGTTTAATGAGAAGAAAGCAACACATGCATACTGCGCCAAGTTGAAGGCTACAAAAACTTATAGAAGAGTAGCTTCAACGCAGAAGAAACCTGAACTCTTCAAATCCCATGGCGGTGCTCAAATCTCTTGTTGCTTGCAAAGGCTTGGCGCTGTGCGCTCCAGCGATTGCTCAGCGTCACCGGAACACGCCGTTATCTGCATCGGCTCATCGCCGGCAAATCCTGATCACCGGCTTAACGATGAACTCCTCGGGCATCAATAGTGCTTTGCCGGTCAGAGGAGCTGCACAGTAAGTACATACGTGTATATCTCCCAATCTTCTTATATTGATTGCTATGTTTGATGCATAATCTTGCACATACCCTTTTTTGCATGTTAAAATTTCGACAAACTTGCACGGTATGGCAAAAACTTTGCATAAGTTTTCACCTGTTTTGGTTCAGAATCCCTGCAGTTGGTTCTGGTCCTCCAGCACCGTCAGGAGGAAATCTCCCAGTACCCAGCATGCCTTCATGGTGAGTTATGTGTGTTTTCTTGTTCATCATCTCTCCTGCAGTTTTTTCAATGTCATTTCTTCGATTAGTATATCTTCTTGCATTCCAACCTATGCACCTGTCAGGGCCAAATGGGTAGTTGGGGCCATCATTGTTGCTATACCCATCTACAGAAAGATAAGAGCATTGGAAGGTAATCAATCTGAATCATATTTTAATGACTTCTTTCTCCCCAATCGTGGTATGCATTTCGGCTCCATTTTTCTTGCTGTGTGAATCGTGCTCAATCCGGTAGACACCGTGGAGAAGACAGCGGAGGTAGCAATCGAGGTGGTCGACACGGTGGCGGAGGCGACTGAGAAGGTCGCCGGCGAGCTGGCCGACGCTTTTCCCGGCAACGAAAATCTCAAGGAGGTTGCCTCCAAGATTAAGACCGTAGCCGATGTGATAGAGGATGATGCCGAGAAAGCCGAGGCCCTAATCCAGAAGGTTAGTCCAGTTGCTCAATTTATTACTGCTAATTAACCTGACTTGGTCTCTCTGTTTAATCCAAAGCTCATGACAGCTCCCGATGCTAACTGTGGCATCATTGCTTAATCAGCACATGGTACAGGCGTGCAAGTTACGTTCTGTCCCTTGCTATATTTGCTAGTTGCAGCCTTGGAGATGCGTATTGACCTGTACATTGCCTTAGCAACGTGAGGGAGACATGCGTTAAACAGGCACAGAACAAGTGGAGAAAATTTACATTAGGACTTGCAGCATTTCACTCCTTTTAAAAAAGTTCACATTTTAAAAGAGATTGTATATTGTTTTGTCAGGAGATCTTAGAGAAGCAGGCAGCAAAACATAGACTAACAGGCTACTTGACTATAAAAAATGGTGAAACTCACTGTAAATGGCTTAAAAAAAAATTAGGTGGCAGCTCACCAGTGTAGGCAACTTAGAAAAAAAATAAGGGTAGGCAAGTGATACAATTGTGGTACAGGCTTTACTAGAAATTATAGTAATAGATTTTTGTTTTGCAAATTAACTTAGGAATACAAGTAGACAAATGACTTATATAGGCCGTGTTTAGTTCTTTGGCCCAAATTTTTTTAAGTATACGGACACACATTTGAAGTATTAAACGTAGACTAATAACAAAACAAATTACAGAATCCGCATGTAAACTGTGAGACGAATCTATCAAGCCTAATTAATCCGTCATTAGCAAATGTTTATTGTAGCACCACGTTGTCAAATCATGGCGTAATTAGGCTCAAAAGATTTGTCTCGCAATTTACATGCAAACTGTGCAATTGGTTTTTTTCGTCCACATTTAATACTCTATGTATGTGTCTAAATATTTGATGTGACGGAATTTTTAGAAGTTTGAAGGAAATTAAACACGTCCATACTCCAATTCGAAATATATATTTGAGGTGTGATTATTTGAAGATATTTGGTGTCATATATAATTCAGAGTTTGAATTTCTTTTATCGAGTCGGCTAAAGATTGGCCGGCCAATTTCATTAAGATTAGAGAGGAGTAAAAGTTTTAATTACAACAACATAAATGATGTCGCGCTGGTCTCAATTGGAAAGTTTTAATTTCTCAGTTCTCACTTTTCCCCTGGGCAGGTTGATGAGATAAAGAAAGAGTTGGATGCAATAGTGGATCCCATCATCGACAAGATAGACAAGGAAGAGCTGTAGGGGAAGGACCCTTTTGGCAGGAGGGGGAAAGCAAACAGAAACTAAATACACATTTAGTAGCAAAGAAAACTGCTACTGTTACAACTCAGTTTTTTAGTTTGGTAGCACCACGACAACAGGCAAAATGCGTGTTTGATGCCATTGCCTTCCCGATTGATTGATGATTGATATAATAGACGCTTGCAGCGCAGGCGTGTGTTTGTACAGTTCCTGTTGGAGTGTTGTGTTGGCCACAGGATGGTAGTAATAATAACTGCCATCAGACTCCACTGATCGACAAAAATATTTTTCAGTGCCGCAGCGACGCAGCGTTGTGGCTGCCTGCCTTCCTGCTGGCTGCAGCCACAAAGGTCATTGTGTACGCACGGCGACCATGGTCCTTCCATGGCTGAAACCTGGAAGGCGACGAGCTCTATGCTAGTACTAGTAGTACAGAAGAGTACTCGCAAAGTTCACGACAAAGTTACCATTACCAATTTACCGTGGCGATACTTGTCAGTTGCCACGCGAAGCACGGCAAGCGTATTACCAGCGTAGCAGCCCCTCACCTGGAAAAAGTCAAGCGATCATCTCGCGACAAAAACCCCATCGGAGGACAAGCTACGATGGTGCAGCGAGCGAGCGAGTGTGGCCTGCACCCGCACCCCTGCGCGGCGCGCGCGGCGCGTCCATCCACATGGGCGGCCGACGCAGCGGCATCCTCCCCTCCCCTCCCACCCCCACGCGGGCACGTGCGCTCGCATTCGCACTCGCACCCCGCCCCGCCCCGCCCGCGACGCGAGCCAGCCAGCCGCCGCACATGGCGACACGCGAAGCATCTGATCTACTAGCTGTCACCCCCTCGCGGTCCGGCTCACCTAGACAAGCAGCAGAGACGCTTGCCAGCGCGCGACCGACCGCGCGCCGCAAGTGGAGGGATCAGCAGTGCACACACAGACAGACACAGCACGGGAGTCGGGAGGAGGAGGAGCAACCGATCGAGTCATCAGCAATGCGCCAATGTGCAGGAGGAGGCAAAGAGGGAAGTAGGTTGCCGCAAGCGCACAAACTCTGCAGTTTTTCTAATTTCTATAGCCCCCCCGCGCCGCGTGCTGCTGATCCGATCGATCGATCCCGGCATCGACTCCTACTTGCTATAGCTAGCCAGCCACATGACAGCCTGGGATCTCGCCCATCTCGGTGTAAGCGACTACTTGTGCCTGCTACAGTATAGTAGTATTGCGAGGGAGGGTAGGGGCAATGAATCTGACGAGGACTTGTAGGTTTCTGATCAGTGAGGGAGAAAAAAAAAACGAATATATGCACTTTGTCTTGTGAGTAATTCATAACTCGAAGCTAGTCGTTTTCCCAGAATTTATGCGAAAATGGAAGGGGATGATGATTGATGAGAGCTGGAGTAGCTAAGCTACGTGCGCACCAGATTACTGGGCCAAATTTGCGCGGATCATGCGTTTGCTGTTACAAAAATTAAGTTTGTGACAGTAGACTATATGCCAGATAGAGTTCGGTTGGTTCCTACTGGTACTTCGAACGTCAAAGTAAGCTTGTCGCCCTGATCTGTAGCTCTGAATGATTAGCGCTGCAATTTTGCACGATCCATCTGAACTATCAATGACCAAGTTAGTCGATGCCCTTTATAGTTTGAAATTGTTGCTCTTATTAGTTAAGTTTTACTAGCCCTTTATGCAGCTGCTTGTCTTACTTGTTCCAAGTGACAAGCAACTTAGCAAGTAATGAATCAAACACAGAAGTTAAGGAAACTAGTGTACAATGACTTATTAAGAATGGATAAATGCATAAATTAAACCAATTCTCATAATTACAACAGAATCAAGAAAAAGGTACAGCAATGTGGGTGGGGAGAAAGAGGAGAGGGAGCAGAAAACGCAGAGAAAGAAACAACGAAAATGGTGAAGAAACAGAAGAGAGACCAATCAACATGATCGGATCATCTAGAAGGCGTAGATGGCGGCGGCGGCGACGGCGAACATCGCGAAGGCGGGGCGGAGGCCGGCGGCGGCGCCGGTCGGGGAGGTCGTGGACGGGGGCTCGGCGGCGGGGGAGGGCGACACGTCGGAGCTGGGGCTGGGAGATACAGCGGAGTCGGGAGCCGGCGCGGCGGCGGCCGGTGTGGGCGCCGGGGTGGCGGCGGCCTTGGGGGCCGGAGCCGGCGCGGCGACCTTGGGGGCCGGCGCGGGCGCCTTGGGGGCCGGCACGGGGGCCACGGTGGGCGGCGGCGTGGCCGCCTGCGGCGGCGCCGCTCCGGGGGACGACGCCGGGGCCTGCGCCGTGGCGGCCACGGCCAGGAGCGCGAGCACGGAGAGGACGGCGAGGTGAGAAGCGGCCATTGTTTGAGATGAGTCTCCTGGTTGGCTCGCTCGCTTCTCTCCTTGCTTGCCTCTGGCTGCGCGGGGTGAGTGTGAGCTTCTGTGTGTGAGGGGGTGGGAGCGTCAAGGGATCGGGGGGCTTATAAAGCGGCAAAGCGCGCGGCGCGAAGCCGAAGCGGAGGCGTCGTCGCGCGATCGACAGTTCAGCTTCAGCTGTGCAAGTGTTCTACTGCCTCCCTCTCAAAATAAGTATAGTCATGAAACCGTATCCGACGTTTGACCGTTCGTTTTATTTGAAAATTTTATAAAAATTTTAAAAAAAATTAGTCACACATAAAGTACTATTCATGTTTTGTCATCTAATAACAATAAAAATACTAATCATAAAAAATTTTAAATAAGACGAACGGTCAAAAGTTGAACATAAACAATGCAAAACTACACTTATTTTAAGATGGAGGGAGTACTACTCTAGTGCGGCTTGCATGATTGGCTCATCGGCGCGGCTGCATTATTGGGAGGTTTTTTTTTTCTCGGTTGGAATTACGCGGAAGTAGATCAAATAATGAGCCCAGGGGAGAGGAATAGTCTAATGATGGGCATTCCTAAGAGCAGGTACAATAACAGGCTATAAGCCAGCTGCAAATATATTTTAAAAAAATAAATAAGGAGAGAGAAGAGCAGCGGGCTACAGATTTATAGTCAGCTGTAGTACGGACTACAAGACGTAGTGTGTATGAAAGATAGGATCATATATTAATAATGTAATATGTTACATTATATGAATAAGCTATTAGATTGACTATAAAAAAATTGGAGCGCATTACCGGACAGTTTTTCGCTCTGTATGGTGGGACTGTTTTTTTTCAGGTGGTACACATCGCCGGCCGTTGGAGGAGCTGCAACGGTAACCAACAGCTTGACCAAAATATTTGTGCGTTTAAAAACCATGTTTACAATCGAAATGGCTATACGTGCTACAAGTGCGTACGAACCACGTATGACTCAACTAGTGCAAGGTCACAGACGCTATTCTCTGGATCCACATGGGGAGAAACCGAGCGTACGTAAGAATTGGCGAATGAGACGTGGTCGGTGCTAATAGTATGTCGTATATATAACAGGACTCGTTTACAGTTAGAGGTGAAAATGGTTGAAACAGTCAGAAACAGTATCATCTATTTGAAAATAATTCTCCATTTGTTCAAAAATAATTCTGGATCGGTCGAAAATTAACCATATTTATCAATTTAAATATTTAGTGTCGACATCAATACAATGCTAAGAGAACTTAGCAAAATTATATTTATATGTGGCTAAAATTGAAAATGATACCACTTATACGGAAACAACGGTTGATCGATTACGCAATTTCCATGACCAGTTTCCATCCCTGATTAGGCTGTGTTCGTTTGAGCCTTTTCCCAACCATTTTCTCTCGTTTTTCGCGCGCATGCTTTTAAAACTGCTAAACGGTGTGTTTTTTGCAAAAAATTTCTATACGCAAGTTGCTTAAAAAATCAATTAATTTATTTTTTTAAAAAAATAGCTAATACTTAATTAATCACACGCTAATGTACCGCTCCGTTTTCCGTGTGGAGGAGATGGGTTCCCAACCCCCAATAACGAACACAACTTTACTATGTATAGGGGGTGTTCTAATGGGCTCCAAACCTCAAATCCTCGTTTAGAGAAAAAAAAAAGTTTGGTTGTATCCATTCTAGTCGGTCCAGCACCTTAAGGGCCCCTTTGAATCAAAGGATTTATGTAGGAATTTCATAAGATTCAAATCCTATAGGAAATTTTCCTATTTGGCCCTTTGATTCAAAGGATTGAAGCTTTCCAAATCCTATGAAATTCCTATGGAATGACACATTGCATGTAGATTTTGGAGGAAATTTAGCAAGTGCTCCAACCTCTTGGAAAATTTCCTTTGAGTCTATCTCTCTCATCCGATTCCTGCGTTTTTCCTGCGCTCCAATCAAACGACCATTCCTGTGTTTTTCCTGTGTTTTGCAATCCTCTGTTTTACACTTCAATTCCTGTCAGAATCCTATGTTTTTCCTATTCCTCCGTTTTTTCTACCCTGCGATTCAAAGGGGCCCTAAAAGGATGGAGAAATCTGCTATATTTTGAGTGGCTCGGTCCTTTAGATTGGCTTGCAGCTTTCTAACACATCAGGGTTTTTTTTTTGCCTCAAACCAAACAAGACAAATGATCTACTACTCAAAAAATAAAAAGTGAAAACAATTATAGGGATGAATCAGTCTTAACCTTGCTCCATAGCTTAGACCTATCCTCGTAAGTTTTCTTCTATACTCGTACGTTGTAAGTTTTCAGTTTCACTCGCATTTTGTAGGGTTTTTTTAAAACATAGACAAACACTACCATCTAAATCAATGACACGGTGAATACTTTATGGGGGTGACACGTCTAAATTAGCAAACACTAGCTTATTAGCTCAATAACGCTTGTGTTCTTCTTTTTTAGGGATAACACTTGTCTTTTCACTGTGCATCTTTTGAAAGATAAACCGCTCCGAAGAAAAAATTAGCAGGCAGCTTCTGTCGGTCCCACCAGGTGATTGGAGTATCTGTATCCTCACTATCGGTATTCGGTGCCGTCCACATGCCAGGATGGACCCCTGTCTCTCTGTGAAACTGGAGCATGTGCATTGCTTTGGTGTATAGTTAGGTTCGTTGAGAGATACAGTATAAGATAACAAGAGAATATTGTCATTTCAAAACTCCAAAGGTACTCCTTTTGCCATTCTTTTTTTCTTTTCTGTCCTGCTTATGAAAGGATTATTAGACAGGCGAGAGACAGCTAGGACAGCGTGCATATGAGCTGAAAGACAGCCGTTAAGGAATTGTATCTGAAACCGAGAGAATTGTATATGAGTTTTAAGGAATTGTATCTGAAACCGAGAGAATTGCGTTACATGAATTTATCATCGTTGAAGATCCTCCTAATCGACAAAATTAATCACCGTTTGTTTGTAAGTTGGACAGCTATAGAAGTCGACGAAATTTCTGTGTACGACGTGATCGACACTCTCTGTTGATCTGTTCCTACATATAGAGAAGCAATTACAACGTGTATTAGAATAGATGCATGAATGCACGTCTGCTCGATGGCGAAATGTTCTGAATCGTGGAAGAGGCAACTGGAGCCTGGATAATCCGTTCGGAATCGAAGCAGGCCAAGCACCTGGTCATGCGTCCGAGATCGCCATGTGTCTCCAAGGGCAACGACAAATTTCAGCTAGTTTTCGCCCACTCCGAGAGTCCGAGATTAGCACAGACTGCGGCGCACGTCGTGTTGACGTCTTCGGCTGCAGACCGAGGCATCATATCCCCAGGGTTTTTCGTCAGAGCTCAGGCGGCTGTGGTGCCCGCATTTGCCTCTTATCGTTTGCTATACAGCGATAATAAAATAATAAAAAAAAGTAAAATGCATGGAGGGTCATCTAACTTGTTTTGTTTTGAAACTCTACTCTCAAAATATGCATATGGATCACTAATGTGAGTTAAATGAGTCATTAGTCCATCTAACCATCCACATGAGTATACCTTATACACAGATTACATGTCACCTAGAAATGAACTTCACTTATGGAGTTAAAACTATGAAGTTGTATGGACCTCATCACATGGCAAGTATAACCGTATCGGCACTTTTACATATAACCAATGCATAGCATCCATTTGTCACCGGTGCCGCTGCTAGGACTCAATGGCAAGAGGGACAGGGGGTTAAAATGATCTATAAAGGCTATTAGTCTAAGAGAATGTAGTGTTATGATTTAGTTCTTTGAATTTCATATATGGCTAAGTACTATCACTATAAGGGAGATAAAACAGAGAGTTTTCTGCACATGTCTAGAAGCCAAAATCGCTAGTTAGCGATCAGCCATGCGCACCCGCGCATGCATGATCGCTTCGTGGCTCACATAATTTTTTAGACGATATGAAGTTTATAGACTGAAATTGAAATTTTTGTTATTTGAGACGATTATTTTAGATTTGAATCGAACGTTTTCCAGTTTGAGATGAAAGTTTTGTGGCTGGAGATAATTAGGGCCCCTTTGAATCGCAGGATTGAGAAAACGTAGGGATTTTAATAGAAATATAAGTGTAAAATATAGGATTGCAAAACGCAGGAAAAACACAGGAATGACCGTTTGATTGAACCGTGGGAAAAACACAGGAATTGGATAAGAGAGATAGACTCAAAGGAAAGTTACCAAGAGGTTCTACCTCATGTTAAATTTCCTTCAAAACTTGCATGGGAAGAGGCATTCCATAGGAATTTTATAGGATTTCATAGGATCCATTCCTTCAATTTAAAAGGCTATATAGGAAAAATTCCTATAGGAATAAAATCCTCTAAAATTCCTATGAATTTCCTTTGAATCAAAGGAGGCCTTAAATGTTTTGTCTAAAATTCCGATTTGAAATGAAATTTTCATTTTTTTAACTAAAAGTTTTTAATTTCCAAAATGAAAGTTTCAAGTCCGATTCTCCTCAACATTAGCGCGGGTGTGATTGTGTGAAGCCGAACCGTGGATGGGAGATATGTCAAACGGGGGATAGGGAAAAATGGTACTCCCTCCGTCCCATAATATAAGGGATTTTGAGTTTTTGCTTGTAACGTTTGACCACTCGTCTTATTCAATTTGTTTTTTGCAAATATAAAAAACGAAAAATTATGCTTAAAGTACTGTGGATAATAAAGTAAGTCACAAATAAAATAAATAATAATTTAAAAAAATTAAATAAGACGAGGGTCAAACGTTGCAAGAAAAAAAACTCAAAATTCATTGTATTATCGGACGAAGGAAGTAAACGACTAGGAGCCCAGTCCAAATGCACCTTTTTTTTTTCTTGTGACGCGTCTACGCTAATTAGGAGTCCCTGGCACAAGGCCCATAGGCCGAAGTAGGGACCCCGGCCGGTATATCTGAATGGGCCTGATTCGTTCCAGATGGCCATGCTGGTGGGCCACTGGGCCTAGCCGCAAGACTTTGTCTCATTTACGGGCCCACCGCCACGGAATTGGATCACACTATCAGCCCCACGAAGAAATATGTTGATGGCCGTTCCTATTGTCGCGGCCAACACGGCCACGGCGCGGCAGGGTTACCGCGATCACTGCGTATAGTCAAAGAGTCAGAGGGGTTCAGAGTTTTGATCTCCGACCCCTTTGGATCAGCTTCTGCTTCAAAACAGATGTTTTACCTCAGACTCATCATGGCGTCGCAACCCCCAGCTATGTTGTCCGGCTCTGGCTGCAGAAAATATGTTTGCCTCATCTGCAACGCATGGTAGTTAAGCGCTTAAGCTTCGTCAGCAGAATAGTGCTGAAAGTTCAGAGAAGGAACCAAAAAAGAGACTGCCATCAGCCAGAGATGGAGATTTAAACACCGAACCCCTTCGACCTCTTGTTCTCTCACGCACTCTGTACGTATGTCTATGAGTCTATCTTCTTCTCGTGTCCGTACGCCGAGATCGTCCAGGTGCTCACGCCGGCCGTCGGGATCGCGTCCATGTCCGATGATGCCGGGCGGAGTCGTGTGCAGCCTCGCAGGGCTCTAGCTTCAGGTGTTGAAACGCATAAAAGCAGGACACACATCTCCTTGTGGTAACACTTGCATCTGCAAAGGCTGAATCAGTTAACCTGGTGCATGCAACTCAAGGGGCTCATTACCAAGACTCCTGGACTCACCAAATGTCACTGCAAGCAAATGTATCAGTGGATGTGATTCTTGGAATCCTTCTTCTAACATGTGGTGTTTCGCCGGGCCTAACATGTGGTGTTGGGTTGATGTACTAGTGTGTGTGCATTTGTAATTTTGAGGAGCGTAAAGAGCCAGGATGATGGTGAAATGGATTTGAGAAATCCAATATCAGGTCATCTTGGCGATGTCCGTGCAGGGCCTTGATCTGAAAACCGACTTGAGCTTGTGGGTTTTTGGCCATACCTCTGTATTCAGGTATTGATCTGAAAATATGAAAAGGAGGATAAGGTTCCTACTGAAATGAATGATCTGCTAGCTTGGCTTGTTGAAATCGGGATTTGATGGATCGTTTTAACTCGGTGTATATCTGGGCCGTGTTTAGTTTCCCCATGTTCCCAACTTTCCATCACATCAAAAACTTTCCTACACACATAAACTTTTAACTTTTTTTCAAACTCCTAACATTCTTTAAACTTTTAACTTTTTTCAGGAACTAATCACACTGCAAGCTTTCCTTTCAGATGTTGCAAGCCTGAACAGTCGGCGGCGGCCATTGTTAGCTTTTCTCTCTTCAGGAATTGCGGCGGCGACATCGAGCCTGGACCTTGGAGGTGTGTCGCCATTTTTCTGTACTTTCATGGAAGTCATAAGGGGCAAAAGGGTCGGAGATTAAACTCCGAACCCCCTTTGACTTCTTTTTATTTTCCCGCATGAATGCATGTCTCCTTCTCCAGGTTCTCCTATATATGGCTCTCTTCTCCTTGTCACGCTCATGCACGCATGCAAACTTGAAGCTAATATGGCCACATATGGTGAAGAAATCCATCGATCAGCACCGATAGAAAATCTTCGTATACGAGAAAACCTAGGTAGGTAGAAGCTTTTGATTATTATAGATCACGTTTTTTTTTTGACAAGGGGATGACCATAAAAAAAATATAGACTAACTAGATGGGATATAATTTGCCAACCCAAAGACCAGGGTAGATTGGGTGTTCATAATTTAGAGATCCAAAATAAATGTCTATTGAGTAAGTGGTTATATAAGTTAATTAATGAGGATAGTGTTTGGCAAGATTTATTGAAGAGGAAGTATCTTCATAATAAATCTATAACCCAAGTGGATAGGAAACAAGGTGATTCTCATTTTTGTCAGGGCTTATGAAGTTAAAAAACGTATGGGTTCTTGGATTGTGAATGATAGTCAGCAGATAAGATTCTGGGAGGATAAATGGCTAGGTAATATAGCCTTCAAAGATAGGGAAATTTTGAACCATGCCACACAAATTTTGCAAAATTTGTGATATGCCACCCTGACCCACATGTCATTGACTCATGTGGGTCCTACATGTCATTGAGATACGGGTGGCATATCTCAAATTTTGCAAAATTAGGGTAGCATGGTTCCAACAAACCCTTAAAGATAAGTATCCATCTTTATATGCTATTGTCAGAAGGAAGAGTGCCTCTATTGCTAGTGTTATGGGTTCTGTTCCGCTAAATGTTTCTTTTAGGAGAGCTTTAGTTAGGCAGAATCTAACACTTTGGTATAATTTGTGTGCTTCCATTGCTCATATCCAGTTGGATGATTCCGCTTATTGTTTTAGATGGAATTATCATCAAAATGGCCATTTTTCGGTAAAGTCAATGTACTTAGCCTTAACTAGCAATGGTTACATTGATAGAAATAAGTTCATTTGGAAGCTTAAGATGCCGCTTAAGATTAAGATCTTTATGTAGTATTTGCTTAAGGGAGTCGTCTTAACAAAGGATAATCTTGCACGATGTAATTGGAATGGGGATTTAACATGTTGTTTTTGTATGAAAAATGAAACGATCCAACAATTGTTTATGGATTGTCATTATGCAAAGTTTATTTGGAGAGCTGTTCAATTTTCTTTTGGATTATATCTTCCTAGAAGCATACCTCGTATGTTTGATGGTTGACTTCAGGGTGTGGACAAAGTGTGAGGAAGATGGAGTTTTACTGAATGTTGCATGTCATACTCTTGAGTCAACGGTTATGCAACTTTTTACCAACCATGGATGGAGATTCTCTAATAGGCTGGAATAATGTTTTCCTTGTCATGTTAGGTCTTTCTTTTAATTTTGGTTGGTTTGATAGTTTTATCTTGGATTAAGACTTTATAAGTGTGCTACTTTTTGTAATAATTAGTTGTAGCTCTTGGAGTAAAGACCGGGATGTGTCATTCCATTATCTAAAAAAAAAAGTAGAAGCCTTTTCTTTCTCTCGTTTCTTCTTTGATTTTTTTTTTTGCTAATGAAGCGCATGTAAGGATAGAAGTGAAAGAAGATTGATGCGCTCACATGTGAGGTTTACGTGGGTCTTATATTGACTTGATTACCATATCAGCTAAAACGGAAAGCAATTTTGCTTTGGGATCTAATGTGACTCGGTTTTACAATATTAGGGATGCATCATATATGGTATTCTGGCTTAGGAACGATTTGGAAACTCTTAGGGACCTCGAGTAAACATTTTTCCATTTTGAGTAGAAAAATGGCTCATACGGTCATGCTGGGCCGGTGGGCCCACACTCAGGCCACGGGCGAGATCGATACGAACACGATTAGCTTCTCGAGAATACGGTACAGTACTACCGTGAACGGATAGTGACCCCACATGTCAGTGTCACGTCCCCTCCCATCGGATACGAAAAATCAACACCGTACAAGAATAGGAGTACAATACAAGATAGCCTCGTACTGTACAACTTAAACTAATCACACGCTAATCCGCTATCCGCGTCCTCCGCTCTCCAACCAATAGGAGCCCGGCATTTACCCGCAGCGATCCGCGTCACCGCCCCACAGCCATCTTCAACCGTCCGATCGTGCCAGGCCAAGCACAAAAGCACTCGATCTCCGCCGTCCGTCTTAATCCCGCGACGTGGCCCCGGCCGCGCCGCCGCCTCGTCGCTTGACTATAAATGGCCACCTCAACCGCCTCGCTGTCAAGTTTAGGTCATTGTCTCCGGAAGTCAGAAAGGGGGGGAAAAGGAACTCGAAGTCGCCGCCGGATTTGGGATTTGGAGAGCGCGCGAGGTAAGAAGATTTTCTTCTGCTTCGATTTTTGGTTGGTCTAATCTAGTTTTGCGGCTGCTTGATTGGTGATTTGCTTCCTGTTAATCTCGCTGCGTGGCGGTGGCGGCTGCTTCGGTGGGGGGTGGTTAGATGGGCGGGGGGATTTGAATGGTACGCTCGCGGCTAGGGTTTGTGCACTATTCGTCGATTTGATCGCTTCGGGGGATTTATCCTGTTAGTTTTACCTTACGATTAGTTTCGCTTGGTTGTGGATAGTCGTGTGTACTTCGTGCATGGTTTGTTGCTACGAGATTACATGGTTGGAAACGCGTGATTCTATAGCCTACGAGATTTGCCCATGGCTAATTAGGATTTTCCTGCAAATCTCTACCTGTGCAATTAGTTGTATCAAATTTCTCTTCGAAATAATTGATTGGTATCGGTGTTTGAGGTTTTGGTATGTGGTGTTGGGTTGGGTGTGGAAGCGATTACTTCCTACTCTATAGGTTGATATACTTGTCTTCATAATGTCAGCTTTGAAATAGGAATTGATTTGGATTGTGTGTATATGTGGTGAGAATGGAATTCTGTATTAGATTGATCGTCAAACTTGAATTTGCATATTGATGCTTTGTAATGGCAAGGTCAATTTTCTCATATAAATAGTAATTAATTCTGGATTTTGATTGTGTGTATACGTGGTGAGAATAGAAATCTGTATTAGATTGATCGTCAAACTTGAATATGCATATTGATGCTTTGAAATGGCAAGGTCAATTTTCTCATGTAAATAGTAATTAACCGCTCTAGATTTTTTAACTATATTGTCATGTTACTTCAATCATATGTGAATAGAACATCCCATTAATTAGTGGCTTTATTGCATTCAAAATTGGTCAGGACCTGTCACTCCTTTCCATCTTGCATGCTCAACATCTTAGTATGTTATATGCCACCTGTCACTCCTTTCCATCTTGCATGCTCAACATCTTAGTATGGTTATATGCTGTCTGTAGGTGTTACATGTTATATGACTGCAAATCTTTTAGCTACTGCTCATGTTTTGGGGGAACTGAAGATTAGGTTCGTAATTTTAGAAACTGGTGTGGGAGTAATAAGAAAATAGATCTAGGGATGTTGAACTGGCTACATTTCCTGCTGTTTTTTTTTTTTTTGAAATTTAGGTGCCGGTAATGCTTTTCTTCACTGCTAGAGATGGCAATGGGGAATCACTGCAGTTGGTATATTTTAGTATTTGGAAAAGCTATCGTAGTCCTATGATTGTTACTGGTAAAATTTACCCTGCTGTGTTTATTTGTGAGCAATGATTTCCCTGTATAGCTCTTTTATGAAGAATCATAGTTATAACGACCTTTGATTCCTTTTGCAAAATTGTCTCATGATTTAAGTTTGTGAATGCAATAGAAATTATAAACTGGTTAGTCATAGTCGTTCAGACTTTTTGCTTAATTGCAAACTTGATAATATGCTAGTTTGTTGGCAACAAGCAAACACTTTTTGTGTACCGTCATCTGAAAGTTGCGGCTGTGTGATGTCTTGAGTCCTTGACTATGCGCATTGTTGATCATGTCCCTTGTTTTTGTCCTCAGGTAAACCAAAGTTCTTTTTCCGATGGCTCGTACTAAGCAAACTGCTCGCAAGTCAACTGGAGGAAAGGCTCCCAGGAAGCAACTTGCCACCAAGGTATGTTTTTCGACATGATACCCTGCACATATCAATTGCCAAGGTGTTAATACTGTTGAACTGTGCTAAACTTACTGCTAGCGTTTTGATTATGTCAGTATGTTTGCTTGACAATGCATTACTTGTTTGTGGTCTTGACAGGCTGCTCGTAAGTCTGCTCCCACAACTGGAGGAGTGAAGAAGCCTCACCGTTACCGCCCTGGAACTGTTGCTCTTCGGTGTGTAAAAGCATATAGTACTTGTTATCTGAAGTACTTGTAATTAGTTTGCTGATGGCAAAGATATTAAAACACCATGCCTGACTGCAGTGAAATCCGCAAGTACCAGAAGAGCACTGAGCTGCTCATAAGGAAGCTTCCATTCCAGAGGCTTGTTAGGGAGAATTGCCAAGAATTTAAAGGTGAGATTTATACATTCTGTTGTGCTAATGTGCTTGTGTTGTCGCACACGTGCAGTAAGCTAATAGCATTTTGTCACACTGTTCTATTTGTGCAGACTGATCTTCGTTTCCAGAGCCATGCGGTGCTTGCCCTTCAGGAAGCTGCCGAGGCGTACCTGGTGGGTCTCTTCGAGGACACCAACCTGTGCGCCATCCATGCCAAGCGTGTGACCATCATGCCCAAGGACATTCAGCTGGCTAGGAGGATCCGTGGTGAGAGGGCTTAGGCTTTCTCATCTCTGGGAGGGGCTCTGGTGTTTCATCTGTGACTACTTCCTGCTTTTGCTGCTGAACTCTTATTTGGTGTCGTGAATGGTGCTAATACTACTCACATGTAGTAGTAGATTGTTAGTGAAGTACTCTGTTTCTGTGTTCTAGAACTGGATATTTTGCTAGTAAGTTGTCTCGACTGTTGATTTCATCCATCCATCTGATGGATGTGTATCTAGTAGTTTCTCATCTGAAGTCCTGAAATCTGAACCTTGAATTTACCTGTGGAATGGAACTTAGAAAAACTGTGTTAAATGTTCAAAGATCTTGGCATGAATGGTTTGTTTCGATTTTATCCGAATGCAATACTAGGTGGAATTGGATACTGGAATGGGTAGGCGCTACTGGGTACCCCGTTTTGTCTAAACTGAAGTGCATGGAGCCTGCACTTCTGCAGTCAGGAACAGTTACCTGACGAGCCTTTGGAACAACGGAATTGACAAGCTCAGGCCGGCAAACAGACGGATCATGAAAAGGCGAGGCCGTCTTCAGAAAGACTTGTCTTTTGGCACGCCCCGAATCCTTGTCTCATTGCCTCGCAGACTCGCTGGCCGGCCTTCCATACCAATTGTGACTCTGCACTCTTGACCATCTCTATCCAAAGTTTTTTGACTGGCCCCATCTTCGCCTTCCCCTTTCTTCCTCTTTCTCTGCCTGCACTTTTTTCAGTCTCCGACGGCGACCCACTCCGAGACTTTGATCCCGCCCATTTCAGCTTCAAATTACCCCCGTAACCCCATTCCACAATGCTTTTCTTCTAGTATCAATATGAAACCGGCAGAGTGAGCAAAGCCGGGCCAAAAAGTTTGGCTGGTCCTTGTGAGCCCCTTTTACCGTTCCTAAATCCTACATGGATTTAGAAGTGTGAACTTGTGAAGCATAACCATCCAGTACTCCTCAAGGGTGGATCAGTTCAGTGGATGTGTATGCAGTATGCTGCCGTGATGGCAGTAGTTGATGGTGCCAGCGCTTGCTGCGTTGCCAGTTTCCTCTAGAATGCTGCCGGCCGCCGAGGACGCTCTTGATGCTCTCTGCTCGTGCAGGCGCCTGCAAAGATGAGTATATTCGTTAGCTTTGGCAGCACCGTGTCCAGCATTTCTCGAGGAGCAAAAAGTACCGGGGTTTGCCCAGATAGATGGGACTAAAAATTTTTAAAGTCCCTATCACATCGAATGCTTGACACTAATTATAAATATTAAACGTAGACTATTAATAAAACCCATCTATAATCTTAGACTAATTCACGAGACGAATCTTTTGAGCCTAATTAATCCATGATTAGTCTATGTGGTGCTACAGTAAACATTCTCTAATTATGGATTAATTAGGCTTAAAAAATTTGTCTCGTGGATTAGCTTTCATTTATGTAATTAGTTTTGTAAGTAGTCTATATTTAATACTCTAAATTAGTGTCTAAATATAGGAACTAAAGTTAAGTCTCTAGATCCAAACACCACCTTCTTTAGTACGATATGGTTCAGCACGAATGTTCCCAAAGCACTCTCTTGCACACAAGAGATCACTGGTGGAATGATACGTCATACGACCCTTTTTTGATACCCTTTCGCCGAACAGGGATCAATTGGCTGAAAATCATCTTCAAGGTAGCGTAATCATATTCAGAATTGGTCACTGAATATGACGCGTCCACGGAGCTTATGACCCTTGATGCGATGATCCAACCATGCATGGTGCTTTTGTTTACGAACGCGCAATACCTACTGAATGCCGTGTTATGTGGGATTTTCAGCAGTACACATTCAGACGCCGAAAGTGGCTCATCTTTGCTTCGTGATGGGGAAAGAACCGAAACCACGCACTGTGCTTAACTAACTCAGTTTACGTCAAAAGAGTCATATACTGTTTTAAGCGTACCAGTATGAGTTATGGCTCGCTTTGATATCTATCATGCTTACTGTCAACGAAGAAGCGAGCACCAACATTTGTACAGGTGTTACATGGACAGAATTTGTTAGCATTTTTTAGATGAACTGATCTGAAACCAGCTACTGGTTGGTTTGCCTGACTTGATGATGCTCAATTGCTCATCATAGAATATGAATCAATGGAAGGCCTTTTTTTGGTTGCTAAAGAACTAAACAGTCCACTGTGCTTCAAAGTTCAAAGGTTTGGTTTGTATCATTTTGCTTTGAACTTTTGATCTCTATCTGCAACGACGATTCTCATCGTACTGCCCGGGAAAAGGAATAAAAGATGGTGCTGAAAATGCCGAGCGATATTTATTAGATGACCTTATATATGAATAACTTGATGAACTGAAAGGCGAGCTGGCGAGCCATCAAAGCATGTGACTTTATATACTCGGATATTTCCGGTGTCTTCTGGTCCGAAATGGTACACAATACTAGGCCTTCAGTGAATTCAGCCAAAATAAAGTCAGAGAACCATGAAGTCGAAAGCAACAATGTAGGTCACTTCATAATGTCTCAAAGGAAGAAAAAAAAAACACGAAGACAGATTATTTCAGAGGCAGGACGAAGAATAATGAAAACGTATCAGCTGAGACTTTGGTATGTGTCCTTTTCTTCATATTGCATATCGAGCAAAATAAAATAATAACGAGACAATAATTTAGAGTAAGTTGCAAGTTTTATCACGTACCCCCTCAGTCCCAAAGAAAAAAAATTAATCTAGAAGGAGATGTGACTCACGGAGGAAGTAGAGAAGCTTCAATTTTTTTTCCATTCTCTTCTGTAAAAAAGAAAACAAATGCAGTACTGATCAACATATGCACTAACAAATGACAAACTTAGCAAAACTTGACTTGTCCTTTTGTTTCTAGAATCTGGAGTTTCAAAAGGATAGGTTGAAACTAGAAACATATCAAAAGTAGTATATTTCTTCTAAATCTTGTCGCATCACATTCAGATTCCATCTTTTTCAGTAAGTATGTCAGCCAAGTCTCCATGTAAATGTGAATCAGTTGATATTTCTTCCAGAAAATGATAGACAGATAATTCTACAAACAAATTCGGATTTCTTCACAAAAAAAAGGAATTAAATTGGATCCAAAAGTATTTCATTTCTTGTGTATTGAGAAGAACAAAACAAATTGACATTCATTACATGGGAGAGATTTTTTTTTTTTCCTTTCAAGTGTGTACTGGCGCTAAATTCGCCTTGTAGAAGCTTTTCCTCCTGAACAAATCCCCGAACTTGCGAAGTATCGGCCTCTTCTTCTTCTGCTTCATGGATTGATCCATGCTGTCGTAGTGGCTCTCGTCGACGTGATCGAACTCATCGTCGAAGTCGCTCATGGCGGCTTCCGCCGCCGACTTGAGGTCGGCGATGTTGCTCAGCGACGCGAACACCCGGTCCTTGTGGTTCAGGTTGCCCATCCTCGCCGACTGCGAGAAGCCGCCCTTGAACTTGGCGGGCTCGCCGATCGAGTACCTCCGGCTGCTCGGCGTCCTGGACTTGTCCGCCGCCGTCCACCGGTGCGACGCCGCCTCCGGTGTGCCCTTGGCGCTGGAGACGAGACGAACGCTCGGCAGGTGCTGGTCGAAGCCGTAGTCCGCCACGGAGGCGGTCCTCGCCGACGCCGGGGTGCTGCACGCGGTGGCCGTCGTCGTCGTCGTGGCGGCGAGCAGGCTGTTGAGCTCCTTGAGGCTGCCCTGCGCGGCGGCCTCGCTGACCTTGATGCACTCGTACTCCTGCCGGAGGCTCTGCAGCGCGCCGTCCTTCTCGGCGACGACGTCGTTGAGCCGGGCGTTCTCGCCACGGGCGAGCTCCAGCGACTCCTTGACGACGTTGGCCTCGGCGACGGCCTGCTTCAGGATGTCGCGGAGCCGGGCGTTCTCGTCGCGGATCACGCGCTGCGACTCGACGAGCTTGGTGTTCTCCTGGCGTTCGCGGTTCACCTCCTCCTCGGACGCGCGGACGCAGTCGAGGAGCACGCGCTCCTTGTCGCCCCACGCGGCGGCGCACTCCTCGGCGTCGAGCCTGCACCGGTCGTGCTCGTCGGACACGTCGCGCAGCCTCGCCTCGGCGGCGTCCAGCTCGTGCCTCAGCCGCTCGGCCTCGGCATTGGCGGCCTCCAGCTCGGCCTGCGCCTCGGACAGCCACATCTTCACCTGCTTCGCCTCCATCGTCACGTCGGAGAGCGCGACGGACAGGTCGTCGAGCGCCTTCCGGCTCTTCTCCTCCCCCTGCATCGCCGTCCGGAGCTCGCAGCGCAGGGCCCTGATCTCATCGTCCCCGCCGCCGAACACGAGGTCCTTGACGCTCCTCTGCTCCACCGCGCCACCCCGCCGGCTCACCACCGCCGCCGCCGCCGAGGCCTCGAGGCTCGCGTTGGCTTGCTGCAGAGTGGTGATCTCCAGCTTGGCCTCCTCGAGCGAGATCTTCGTCTGCTCCAGCTGCTTCGTCTGGTATATTAGCGACTCGAGCATCTTGCGCTCCGACTCCTTGGCCTTCTCCACCTCCCGCTGCAAGAGTTGCACCTTCTCCGCCGCGTCCTTCTCCTTCCTCAGCTCCTCCTCCATCTCCGACACCTTCTGCCGCATCGCGCCGTCGCGACGCCTCTGCCAGAAAAAAAAAACACGACAATCAAAATCAAGCAGAGACAAAAAAAAGGGAAAAAAAAAGGGGCACAGGCTTTGAAGGTAACGTAATTAACGTGGCGTAACCTTACATCTGGGGGCGGGGACGGCGGGGGCTTGGAGGTGGCGGCGGTGGAGCGGCTGCGGTGGAGACGAGGGGACGGCTTGGAATCCTTGGGAGAAACGGTAAGAGGAGGAGGCGCGGGTGACCGGAGGCCGGCCTCGAAGGAGCCGGATCTGCAGGGGGAATCCCAGCTCATATCGAAATCGAATCGGCGGAAGTACTTACTACCACTAAATAGTCAAGCAATAATAAAAGAAGAGAGACACGGCCGGAAAAGAAGGATCTTGAGGAGGAGGAGGAGGGCTCTCGCTCATGGCGTGGCACGCCGACTCGAGCGGAGCGCGAGCCACTCCTCTCTTTGAAAACTCTCACTCACCTCGGCAGCGTGGAGGCGGGGCACGCGGGCGGCGCGTGGTCCGAGGCAAGGAGCCCCCCCGGAGGGAGGAAAAAAAGAAGAAAGAAACGGTTTCCGCGGCGACAGCCGTGTCAGGGAACCGAATTAGAAGACCCTGCCCAACATGGCGCCATTAATACTCACTCAACTGGGTTTTTTTATTTTTATCCGCGTCGTCGCGAGCGATCGAGCGGGGCGAGGAAGGCCGCAAATGGCGTTCGCGTGGGTTGGGAGGGTGGCCCGTCCGTCCGCCCGTGCCTCCGTTCGTTTGGCTCCTGGCGGCGATGGGGTCAACGGGGGAGGCGTTCTCCTCTCGTTCTTTTTTTTTTTTTTGGGTTTGATCGGAACCGGGCGGTGGGGCATGTACCAGTGGCGCGCGGCGCGCGGGCGCGGGTGGAAACGAGGGTGTTCGCGGTCGATTCGATTTGGTGAGGTGGGGATCGTGGAAAAAAATTCCGTGGAAGCTGCTCTCACGTGACGCGCCGCGTAGGGCGGCTCCGGCCTCCGGCTCGTCTCGGATAGTCGGATGCGGTGGGTGGGATCTCGGGTGGGTCTCGGCGCCACGCTGACTGTTGAACGAGGTTAGGCGGAGCCGCGGAGGCGGCACCGCGTCGTGTCGTGCAAAATGGGTTTGGCCATCGCCCATCGGTAAATCGGGATGAAGCTTCTCCTGCTGGCTGACTAGCTGCTGTGTCAACAACACCACGTCGTGAACCGGTGAATCGCTGGATCCCCAATTGTTTTTTTCTCCCCGTCCAACTCGTTGCGTTCACAGTTCACTCAAGAGTTACCGGTGAGGCAGATATTACTACTACTGGATTATTACTGCTGTCACTTGTGTAATAAGTTGGAAACATTGGCAGTGAAGCTCTGGATGTTTTGAGTTGAAACTTGTAAGTTGAAAGGCTGCATTCCACGAGAGGGGGGAACAACCGATCAGAGCCACATGATGACATGGAGCTCGGTTTTTGCTGAAGAGTAAACAGGCGAGTCATTACGCTCTTCTAGGTGTGGAATCAGTGGCGCAGAGGCGAGCGTCAACGATGATGAACTGATGGCTCTCGACCGTGCTCCCGAACAACCGTGGGGAAAAAGAAAACAGCGTGCAGATGCCCTCGTTAGTGATGAATATCAAATCATAATCAAATCGACATGTCATAATGTCCCTGATTATCGATGCGTAACCGCGGTTAACTCACTTGTCCTTGCCTTTTTTTACATGTTCCCATCCAGACAGTGGCGACGATGCACCGTTGAAAAAAACGTGTGTGCATACAGAATTCAGATCTGCGACAGCATAACACCGAGCGATGCAGTATTCTCCATGTTGATGAGTAAAACTGCATATATTTACAACGGTTATGTTTGCTGATGAGGTTAAGTTGACCAATGATGCGAGAAAAACAAAACATATTTTCTCACCCATAGGCCTACAGTTATAGGGATTTCTGTTAGAAATAACTAATCAGATAAACACAACTCGATCACCAGTGGAATTCAATCCAGAGTATATCATGGCTAGCCAAAGCCCAAAGTTATACAGCCTCATCGTTTGCCAAACGGCATATTTGCAAACGAAAATCAATTTATGAATAAAACTTTTATATATGTGTTCTTACTGATATAAAAGCAAAGGCTGAAAAATAAACTTCGATGAAAAAACCCCAAAATCAGCTTCAAATTTAACGTTAAAAATTCAATTTTTGGCTGATAATCATATGAATATGCCAAACGATGAGGCCTATAGTATCAGACAAGTTGCTTCACTAACGTACTTTCGATTTCGATCGATATTTGTGGGCCTGCCAATAGCATATGACAATGTTGAAAGACGAACAACAGATAGTACTCCCACAGCCTCTAATATCCCATCATCCCAGAAAAACTCAGGAAAAATTCGTGTAGCAGACAAGAAGAAAAACACCAGAGCAGTGATCAACAACAGGCAACACCTGACACGGGAGCGGATGATAGCAGTCAGCCATGCTGCCCCGCTGAGAGAAACCTCCCAGAATGGTCAGCTCGACATGCAGACGTGCAGTACGCCACAGTGTCCGTGCCCAATTTGACACGGTCCAAACTCCGAGCCTAATTTTAGCTCGTCCAGTAGCGGCGCCCAGTATATATGGAAACGACGAACCGGCAATCAGGCGATGTGTTCCAGACTCCCAGTGTGCTTCAGCATAAACAGGTACGGTCACACACAGAGCCAGGCAGGCTGCTGCTACCTGTAGACTTGTAGTTGTAGCTGGGCAATTGGCAGCATCTCGTCGTCTCTCTCACGCCCATGGCGTGGTCTTCCAGGCGTTGGAAGAACTCGTCTGATGATCGTCTCCCCCACAAGGCCCCAACCGGACGTCAGGACTCGCGGGACTCAGGACCGAAATGGTCTTGTCACACGCATCGTGTGCTCTCATTCAGCTCTGCCTGTGCTGAGTCGCTGACCCTTTCTGTGGATTTATATGCAACTAGGGTGTGTTTTTCTTGCTAAAATTGAAAGTTTGATTGAAACTGAAATAATGTGACGGAAAAGTTGATGAAGGCTAAGGCTGCGTTCAGGAGGAAGGGTTGGGCCTGGCACGCAAAACGGAGCACGCATTATTGCATGATTAATTAAATATTAGCTATTTTTTTAAAAAAATAGATTAATTTGATTTTTTAAGCAACTTTCGTATAGAAACTTTTTTTTTAAAAAAAAACACATTGTTTAGTAGTTTAAAAAGCGTGCACACGGAAAACGAGGAAGATGAGTTGGGAACTTGAAGATAAGAACATAGCCTAAAAGTAGAAGTAACTAACTTGACTATCTTCCATTTCAAACAAAATAAAAACACTGAGGGCTCCGGTTGGGTTCATAGGATTTCTAAATCAAAAGAATAGAAAAAGTAAAGAATTAGAATGTCACACCCACTTCATTTCTTAGGAATCTTTTCAAGAGGTCTCACCTCATTCTAAGAATCCTATAGAGTTAGCTTTCCTCAGAAAATTGGTAGGATACATATAGGAAAAAGTCTTAAGGATTCAATTCTTACAATAATCCTAACAAAATTCTCCAAACCGAATGAGCCTAACTGGACAATCTCTGTCTGATGCAACCATGCAGTTTGCAGTCTAAAGTAGAAGTAGAAGTGCTGAACAGTTTCCAGACTTGCAGTAATTTCTTCTGGATCTGCAAGTTCTTTTTCCCTGGAGGCCTATCGAGCCGTCTGTAAACTGGCCCTGGGCTTATCTGATGAACACACCCAGAAGCCGGTGAAGTCTAGGCCTTAGCCCAATATCTTGGGTCGACTAACCGAATTTGAAGCCCATCTCCGCATATCTCACGCGGCATCAAATCCAGCCTTCTGCCCGTTTTCAGTGGTGAACTGAATCCGCTCGCGAAAATCCGAGACGCTGCATCAAACGAAACGAAGCGAGAAGCCGAGAAGGGGAGAGAGGGGGGAGCAATGGAGGCGCTGCTGAAGCTGGAGAAGGTGCAGAGGGTGCTCTCCCTGATGGGTTCGCGTGGCCTCTCCGGCTCCGGCTCCGACTCCGGCGCCAGCGACGGCGGCGGCGGCGACCGATTCCTCGCCCACTTCCTCCTCTTCCTGGTAAGTCGCGTTTCCCGGTCCCCCGCTCCTTTCTCCAATAGCCGCGGATTCCATCAGTTCGGGGGTGATTGCGCTTGTGCGGCGGGCTCCGGCGAGCTCGAATCCTCGAACTGCCTGTTCCACGCGTGCGTAGGGGTGCTCGTTTGGGGCTCCGATAGCACGATGACGAGATGGCTTCTTAAGAGGATTTCGGTTGGCCGAGGGTTTATGCGCGGATCGCATTTCATCTGCGTCCTGGACTCCTGCTCGTTTTGAAGGTTTGGTTTGTTGGGGAGGGGAGTAGGTAGGCGTTTGAGCATGCGTGGTGGAGTGAGAGGATTTTTACTTGGGGAAGTGTGAGACGTGTGCCCCGAGTTTCATTGTGTAAGACGCCGGGAGTTTGTGCAATTGCGTGTGACTCGCGGCCAATCTGATGCGATGGTGCACGCTGATGCGCGATCATGTAGTGCTTGTGAATGTGAAGCATTCTGCTTACACGTGCTCACTGTGTCTGATGATTTCTCACTGACAACATATGTGCTGCTGGCCTGCTGTTCTAGATTTGGACTTCCAATATATGAGGATCTATCACCTCTGGTTGGATTGCAACCAGGGGCGGACGCAGGATAAAAATTGACTGGGGGCATCTGTGGTATGTAAATTATCTAACTTAACTTTATAACTTATATATAGCAAGTTAGAAAACCCTAGTAAATTCACCTATTTTGCAGATCCTACATAAAAATGACTATGACATATTACATTACTCCAAGGAAGCTTGTCTGAATCAGTACTTCAGTAGGTTGAGGGGCTTGAGGCATTGCAAAATTTTGTCTAGTTATTGGTTTTGATGCATTTGCACTAGATTCCTTCCATTAGTGTTCATTATTGCTGTTGTTTTTTTATTACAAATATATGTCATTATCTTTTCCTACCAAATCATTGATGAGATGTTGCATTACGATATTAGTGCTACCACAAACTAGAGGAGTACGGCTCAAAATTTTGAAAGACAAAATTGCTAATGTAAACATAAAACATACCGTGGCTACTTACCAAGGGCAACTAGAGAGGGTTTCAGGCTGCAGGTGCACCGGGTGAGGCTTGCCGACATGGCCGCATGGGCTGTGGCCATAGCCCATAGAGATTGTCCACGACTTGCGGCGTGACGCGATTGGCACGGAGATGCGTTGTTGGGCAGATAGCGATGGAAGGACGCCGACATCCCGCCATCCGTGGCTCTCGTGAAGCCTCCAGGCGGTGGTCGCGACGGCCTCCTTCGGCGCTGGCACTTGCAGGCTGTGGGAAACGGCGAACTGCGGGAAGCACCAGATTTTGATGGCCTCAATCGCTCCGGTAATTACGATTTGTAGATTGGGATCCAGGGAAGGGGAGCGGACGGTTCGAGTCCTCAACACTGTCCTCACCGCACGCACAGAGATTGCAAAGGAAGGAAAACCAGAAGAGTGGGGGCCTTCTTGTCAGGTGCAGTGGGGGCCTATTGGTAATATGATTAGGGGTATGTGTAATATATGTAAAATTTGAGTGGGGTCCAGGGCCCCCACTGCTAATACGCTAAATCTGTCCCTGATTGCAACCTCCCAATAAGTCCTTCAGAAGAGGAAAAAAAAAAGATCTACAACCTGGGAAAGCACAACTCTTCATTATTTTTCTAAAACACCAACTGAAAACTAAATTTCCACATATGCTGGTTTGCCAGGCTTATGTTAATCAAATTATGTTGAAAATAATCCATTGAGAAAAGTTGAAACACTAGCATGAATTCTTATTATGATTACTAGCAGAATGCCTGTACCTTGTTACGGGATTAAAAACATAATCTTATTGCATTGCTCTAGAATTATTACTTCCCGTTCAATAATAATAGGATTATTAACAACAGAGTCTTATTACATTGGTCTAATCCCTTATAGAATTATGATGCACTCAGGAGGCTGAAGCCCCAAATGGCCTAATGGGAGCACTTGAATTGACCTGTGGGCTCCGCTTGCCAGTGGTGGTGGCAGACTCATGTCCACCACTACTGGCTTCTTTTAAGATTGTATAGATAATATCATCTCAGTTGGTTTGCCTCTTCTTTTCCCCATTGCTATGCTGAATTGCCTGAATTCAATGCCTCTTGCTGGCATATCAGATGCCCCTACTTTTTGACTAAGTGCATTTGGAATTATGCTTGTAAAGTATGATTTAAGGACAATCCTCATCTTTTTCGGGTTCACAGGTGCAACCGTTTGATTCACTTAGCATGGAGAAAAAAGCTCTATTGGTCTCTGACCTGTTAAGAAAGGTAATTTTGGTGCGCTATTGCTCTACTTTTGATTTTTCTTACTTGAAAATGTTTTCTATGCTGCATTTGTAATTGAGTTCTGTTTATAAGGTCAATGTTGATACTCTTGAAGAAGTGTGCCACCTTGGCAGCATAGAATGTACTAGTGGTGAAGGAAGGATCATTCCTGCTTCAACTTGTGAGTTAATCTAGCAAATATCTTGTCAAATGGGATTGTATTCCATAGAGATGACGCCCCTTGAAATGCAGCTGATCAAGATATATCTTTGGGAGATCCACTACAGCCAAATAAGAAGTTGAAGTTGCATGCCGAGAAACTAACTGTTCAGGAGGCACCTATGGTTGGGTTTCATGCAATGAGGAGAGCTAATTCTACGATTGAAGATTTTGTGCGTACTGTTCGGTACCTCTAACAACCTTAATTGTCATCAGCTTTCTGTAAAACTATGTGCTAGTACTTCTCTATTACTTTTATGAAAGCTGTCATGGGTTCGCTTGTGCCACAAAATGATATAACTCACTTAGTGACCTAAGTTCATCTTTGAACAAGATAACTTAACATGGAGTATGTCTTGCCATTTCTTGAACCACCTTTCAATGTGATGTTATAGATTTTCATTGTTCTCTTGCAAGCATATTTTCATTCTTTTGTTTTATTGTGGATTTCTTTTAGATATTTTTCTTACAACTATGAGTCGTTGACAATATTTACTTGAAATGACAGTGCAGGTCATATTTCATGTTTCATGGTTTAGATGTCAACAAAGCACAATCTATTTTCAAGTTTCTTCCTGTTCTTTGTTTCACCGAAAGCTACATATACCAGGTTTTTGCTCAAATGCTCACTTTTTTGTCCTTGACGGCTTATGTTTTTTTTTTCTCTGATCAAATTCAGCCTTTCTTGTTGCAGTTAGATGATTTAAATGAATATAACTTGCAGATGGTCCCAGGTAACGATGCTTCCTTAACAGTAAGTCTTGGTCATTTGACTTGATTATCCTGTGAGATGTGGGGTACAATCTATGTTGATTATTGGATGATAGTTTGTACATTGACTTTCTAATACACTAGTGTCACTGATGCAGGTGTTGGAAAGGGAAAACAGAACTTCCAATGAAGCGTCCTTGACTGGCATGCTCAATGTCCTTGACGATCTTCTTCAACGCCAGGGGCTAATGACAGATCAGTTGGGTACTCTTCTATACACCTGTAAATATTTAGAAAATCCACCATATTTTATTGAGTGGTCTCCTTATTTTTCTCTGTTTTTAGATTGCGAAATGAACTAAAGTCTGGCATTCAGTATTGGTCTCTAGAGAGAAAGCTTTGCCAAGCATTGTCGAGAAATGACAAGGTACTTAGAGCCATCTCTTGGATCATCTGTTCATTTATCAGGGCATCAACAGTTATATGACAAAAGCATCAAAGTATACCACTGAATATTGAAAAAGCAGAGACTAGACTAAGCAAGACTGTCTCTCAGGAGAATTGGTATTTGAGCCTAGCAGTTCGCACACTATATTGTAAAGGAACTGATGAGCAAACAAGTTTGAAACATGCATTTTTCATTCCCCTTTTTTGTTGAAATACAATGCCTTTGATAACGTTTTCCCCTGTTCTGCCAGACTTAAATACAATGCTTATTCTTTCTCTGTAGATATCAATTGAAGATGTGATGGAAGCAATCCATCTGAAATCGTTTGATTACCGAGTTCTTAATCTGCTGATGTATCGTCTAACTGGTCAGCAGGTACATATGGCTTTGACTACCAAATCCTGCTCGTGTTTGTCTAGTTAAACTCTTTCTCTTTTTATGTTTGTAGGTTAATGAAGTGCATATGGAGTTCTTGTCAATTTCAGAGTTTTTAGTGGAGATATCTGATGATCTGTAAGTGTGCTCTAAATATTAATCTTGCATGCATAACTGAATTTGTACTGCATCTACGTAGAATAGTGCAAACTGTTTAGTTTGAAGAAATCCTCTACATGTGATCTGCTGGAGGTAATGCTCAAGGAAAACAGTGACGGGTGTAGAGTATATGGGAGTAGAACTTTAAGGCAGAAATCTGCAAGAGCTGCATTATCCTGACAAGGATGTGTGATATATTCAACTTTAAACAGAAGTTTGTTATGAATGAAGTTTTGGTTTGACTGACTTTCATGGTGAAACCTAATTGGTAAATGATATAAGAAAAACAGAAACAACCTTTAAAATATTGAAGGTGTGGGTGCATTTCAGAATTTACAGCATAAACATTAAGCAGTTGTTGCACTATTGACATGTTATAATTATCTTGCAGGTATGATTATGAGGTGAGGTTTTGCTAATGCCTAGTTGATATTGTCAATGTACCAATGCATGTATAACTGTTATTTAAATAGTTTAAATTTCTGATGCAGGATGATGTGATGAACAATACTTTTAACATCCTCCGTATGTTTGCTGCAATTTATGGACCTTCAGAGGCACCAAAGATGTTGGTGAGTAACAATTTATCCGTCTTCGACCTAATGGCACTTTTTTATTTTGACAATACTAGTGCCGTGTTCCTAATGTTTCTAATTCATTAAATATGGTTCTTGTTCGTAAAATTGTGAGTATCTAATTGCAAGAAACTTGCAGTCAATGTACTGATCTTCTTATCTATGAAATAATAAATAGTAAGTATTGATCTTGTTTAAACTAAAACTATTCAACCATGTAACATTGAGAGTATTGCCATTGATCACCGCCAGTTTACAGAAATTTGTCAATTATGCCAATGAGTTAAAAATATCTAGTTCCCATATTGTTGGTTTACAAGTTATTATACATAACTTCTTTTTTACTTTGTGATGGTAATTCTTTCATTGAATGGCTGCTACAGGCCAAGTGCATAGGTGAAGCTGAGGAGAAATATGAGAGATTCTCTAAGAAATTGGATCCTACCCTCTCAGGAAGTTATTGGAGAAGATGCGAGGAAGCTACAAAGGAAGGTGTGTCTTTTCCACCCATTTTGAACACAATAATTAGTCTCTTCATCTTTATTTTGGGTGATATTCTTTTATTGATGGAGTGCTAAAGCAACCATGCTTGTTATCATCTTGCAGGTGGAAAAATGTCAGGCCATGCATATGGCACATGGAATATCCCTCCTTTGATAAGAGATGAAGAATTTTTCCGCCTTGAAAGATCAAACAAACGCGACGCCTCTGCTATAACCATCACATGACATTTAATCCCCTGAGCATGTTCATACAAAAGCGCAACAGATATTGCTAGGTAAGTATCTTACACATCCTGTGTGTGCTTAAGCTCTGTCCATTATCTGTAACCTTATATGAGGTGCCATGGGGTTTGCCCATCTAGTATACTTCACTAAAGAAAAAATCATACTAGGATTTTGTGTATCTCTAGCCTCACAAGCTGAGCTCAATTTCCATCGTGAGAGTTATTGCTTTTTGCTAGCTGTTTCTGTGGTTCGAATTCACTCAGGCTCAATCAAGTCAAAATTTGCTGGATTATTTGTGGCCCAAACTCCAGTGACTCATTTCAGTTCCTGCAAATTAGTAAGTTGTGAAAATGTGGGAGTGTTCTGTGGTTACTGTGCAACCATATAGATATATTAGATGATAAGAAAATAGTTTCTTGAGCTGGTCAATATGACTGTCACACAACTTATGTTGCTCCCTAGGACTAAGCACTAACAAACACTTTGACATGTTTCTGGACCTGTGGATGCCACACGCCAGATACATTATTCTCTCTTTTTCTTTAACTAGTTACATGTCTGTACATTGCAACGGGATCACAAGATTTTTTTGGGGTGTTTTTTTTTTTTGGGAGGAGGAGCAGTTTTTTTGAGGAGAGGTTTTTTATAAGGAGAGGGAACAGTTTTTTTAGTGAGGAAGGAGAATGACTGCTTTCAAAGTAGTTAAGAAACAATTTTTCTTCATGTTACACATCAGTATGCTAAGCATTCAACAGTTCTTTTTTTTTTATTAGTATGTTAGCATTAGAATATAATATATGCAGACCCTATATGACAACGTCTTTTTGGCACATGTTAGTGTTTTGCCACCTTCCGTCATGCCACAATTTGTGGATTGCGATAAGATCACGAAATATCTTCTAGATAGCTGACAAGATCTATTTGGCACATGTTGTGTTTAATCATCTTCATGCCATTATTATGCTGTTACAATCATGACATCTATTTGGTTCGCAGAACTAATCCTCATAATTCCCCTTAAATAGATTTCCTTTTATACAGGGGAGATATATAGCATCTGTATGTCTCAGATGAACTATCTATCAAGCTAGCACATTGCTTATTCTTTTCTATTATAATGATCATATACCCTTAATACTTGGAGGATACTCTATAGAGAATTGAGCTAAGGTAAACGTTCTTAGGAGTGGGAATTTTATTCTGTTTTCCTTTGTTTATTACGCAGATTTATCGAACCTTCGTGTGTTACTAAAGCCAGCGAGTTGGATAAGAAAAGAGGAGTCAGCGAACATTGGTAGCATAGCTCTATCTGGGTGTAGTCCAATACTAATCGTTGCTCAATGCATTCTAAAATTTCCTGTCATTTTCACGAGATTTTTCTGTTGGTTTTCCTTTTAGTACTTATGTCATCGGCTTGAATGATTAATTGCTGTGGTAACCACAACAGGAGCATTGCAAAAATCAAGAAAATAATGTATCTCCCAAAAGTTTTAAAAATTCCCCACCGTAAAAATCTTGATGAAATTCTAGAACTTATGTCGAGAAATTTTGATTTCTGGAGTTTCAACTTCTACAAGGGCATAATGGTTGTTTGGGGACAATATTAAAGGAGAGAGATGCAATAATGGAGTAGTGGCAAGAAAGATATGCATCTTTTAGATGGCAGAAGCGATAATATGGTTGCAATCCTATGTCTGTCTGTTAAGGCATTTATGTGACACTGCCATAAACTTATCTTGATTGTGAACTCAAAACTGGAAGTCAATTGTGTGTTCCTTACACATCACTTCTAGAGAATGACACATTGTGATTTGATATCTTGTTTCGATGACATCTCTTCCTCCAGGGTTGCTCTGTATTGTTTGTTATATCTGATCTACATCTGCCGTTGGTTGCATTACAAAACTTCCCATGCATGATCTTGTTATTTATAATTAATTTCTGCAAGCCTTATTCTTTATGGACTGATATATGCTGATGCATTAAGTTCCACGTGCAGATCACATGGAAAAGGACAAGCTAATTAGTAGCTTTTTTGGCTGAATACTAGATATATGTGCTAAATCTGGGAAGGTTTTTAGACCTTGTCACCTCATTTTACTGGATGATACAGGTTTTTGTTGAGGCGTGGATAATTGATTTATGTGCTTATTCGGTCTCTCCTGCCTTCTATGCTTTTCCAATTATCAGTTTACCACTAAATCTCATATATTTTCAATGAAGTTTTCGCAGTTATTCTCGAAAATTGAAGTTGTTAGTGGTTACTACATGCTTGAATGTTCATGCTTCGACTTTTCATGCCAATCTAAGCTGCTAATACATGGTTATACCTAGTATTTATTGTGCACAATCTTTTCTAGGTTGTGTTTAGTTCCACGCTAAAATTGGAAGTTTGAAGAAATTGGAACGATGTGATGGAAAAGTTGGAAGTTTGTGTGTGTAGGAAAGTTCGATGTGACGGAAAAGTTGAAGGTTTGTTGAAAAAAGTTGGAATCTAGACAGGGCCTTAGTTGATACTTCGCTAACCACTGTTGATTATATAATTTCTGTATGCTCCACGAGGTGCCCATGATTGAGACGCTTCACAGCTCAAACCTGGGATAGGTGTTCTGTTGATCTCCAGTATATATTCATCTAACATGTGCATGTGCTCGAGCGCAGCTAGTGAATAAAAATCTGCAACGCGGATGCCGTGCAAAGTAATATATCGTTTCTGTTGGTAAAGATTGAGTGAGTTCAGGGTTGCTCCCTAGTCTCGTTCGTGCAACTGTTGTCACAACTCACAAGTAATCAAGTATCCCAGCAATTGCAGTTTTTTTTTCCCTCCTACTGGCCAGTGACACACTGACACTCACGTATCAGAGTACGATTCGAAGAATTGACCTAGTGCTGCTTCATGTTATTATATGCTGAAATTGTGGGCGCCAACGGGATAGTAACTTCTAAATTCTTACATGATTTTTTCCCCAAATGATACAGAAGAAAAAGGGTTCACCGTGTTAGCCAGGTGGATAGATCATGGATCCATATGGCTAAAAGGATCTTTGAAGGTACATGTTCCCTGCATGTAGAAAACTTGGCACTTTGCTCCACTGAACGAAGTGCTTATATTACTAGTGCCCCCGGCCCTCCCTCTTTTTTTTTTCCTGGAAATTATTGGTCGGTAGTCGGTACTAATTTGTGTTAGTCCATATAGTAACAAATGTTATCAAACAAAGAAAATAAGTAGCATTACATGTTTATGCAACAGTCAATGGTACAGACGCAGAGATGCCTGACTGGGGAGGTCATCCCAGTCCGGTGCCTCGTGCTGTCCCATTCAGAGTTCTTTCCATGTCCATCCACTCATCCAGTAGATGCGTACTGTTTTTGGCTAATTATACAATTCCTATCAAAGAGTTAAAGCAATCAGTGACACGATAACTAGTCGCAGTATATTATCAAGATACTTTACCATAGCCATCTTTGTAGTGATTGGGCATTTGGGCACCAGCGTTCCTTGCGAGATGGCGACAGCGCGAAAAGCGCAAGCAATGATAGACAGAGTAGTAGGACCTAGATCTATAAATACCAGCTTTCCAACCATCACTTATTCACTTGCCCTCCTCACTGAAAACAGTAAACAGGACACGGTTCAGTGACCACACGAGGTTCACGAGTACAGTGACGCATACAGAGACATGGGCTCCATCGCGGCCGACGGCGACAAGCCGCACGCCGTGTGCATGCCGTTCCCGGCGCAGGGGCACGTCACGCCCATGCTGAAGCTCGCCAAGATCCTCCACCACCGTGGCTTCCACATCACCTTCGTCAACACCGAGTTCAACCACCGCCGCCTCCTCCGCTCCCGCGGCGCCGCCGCGCTGGACGGCCTCCCGGGGTTCCGCTTCGCCGCCATCCCGGACGGCCTCCCGCCGTCCGACGCCGACGCGACGCAGGACGTGCCCCCGCTCTGCCGCTCCACCAGGGAGACGTGCCTCCCTCACTTCAGCCGCCTCCTCGCCGACCTCAACGCCAACGCCTCCCCCGAGTCCCCGCCCGTCACGTGCGTCGTCGCCGACGACGTCATGAGCTTCGCCGTCGACGCCGCCAGGGAGTTCCGCGTGCCGTGCGCGCTCTTCTGGACGGCCAGCGTCTGCGGCTACATGGGCTACCGCTACTACCGTTCCTTCCTCGACAAGGGCATCTTCCCGCTCAAAGGTAAACCCTGAGCTTTTACGAGAAGAAAATCGGTTTCCATTCATGGGTGGACACACGCATGCATGCAGAGGAGCAGCTGACGAACGGGTTCTTGGACGCGCCGGTGGACTGGACGCCGGGGATGAGCAAGCACCTGCGGCTCAAGGACTTCCCGTCGTTCTTCCGCGCGACGGACCCCGACGAGTACATGTTCCACTTCGCGCTCCACGTGACGGAGCGGCTGGCGGAGGCGGACGCCGCCGTGCTCAACACCTTCGACGAGCTCGAGCCGGAGGCGCTCGACGCGATGCGCGCGATGCTGCCGCCGTCGGTGTCCATCCACACCATCGGCCCGCTCGGGTTCCTCGCCGAGCAGGTCGTTCCCAAGGGGAGCCCCCTCGACGCGCTGGGCTCCAACCTGTGGAAGGAGGACGACTCCTGCTTCGGCTGGCTCGACGGCAAGCCGCCCCGGTCGGTGGTGTTCGTTAACTACGGCAGCGTCACGGTGATGACGAACGAGGAGCTGGTTGAGTTCGCGTGGGGGCTCGCCAACAGCGGCCACGACTTCCTGTGGATCGTCCGCCCCGACCTCATCCACGGCGATGCCGCCGTGCTGCCGCCGGAGTTCATGGAGTCCGTCGGGGGGCGCGGCCTGCTGGCGAGCTGGTGCCCGCAGGAGGCGGTGCTGCGGCACGAGGCGGTGGGCGTGTTCCTGACGCACTCCGGCTGGAACTCGACGGTGGAGAGCCTCTGCGGCGGGGTGCCGATGCTGTGCTGGCCGTTCTTCGCGGAGCAGCAGACCAACCGCCGGTACAGCTGCACCGAGTGGGGCGTCGCCATGGAGATCGACGACGACGTGCGGCGCGACGCGGTGGAGGCCAAGATACGGGAGGCGATGGGAGGAGACAAGGGCCGGGAGATGCGCCGCCGGGCGGGCGAGTGGAAGGAGACCGGCCTCCGCGCGACGCGCCCCGGCGGCCGCGCGCACGCCAGCCTCGACGCGCTGGTCGCCGACGTCCTCCTCTCCGGTGGCAAGGCTCGGTAGGACAACGTGCACTAGTGCCGCCTGTTGCATGCTACTCCCTCCCTCCCATAATACAAGAGATTTTGAGTTTTTGCTTGTAACGTTTTACCATTCGTCTTATTCAAAATTTTTTAAAATTATTATTTATTTTAGGAAAAAGTACAAATTACCCCCTAAACTATCGCGGTCGTCTGAATTACCCCCCGAACCACAACACCGGCTATTCTTCACCTCCAACTATGCAAACCGGACAAATTACCCCCCTCAACCCAATCCGCGGTGGTTTTGGTCCACGTGGCGTACGCGTGGCAGTCCAGTCAGCACTCTATTTATAAAAAAAAATGTGGGACCCACCTGTCATCTCCTCATCCTCTCTTCCTCTCTCTCTCACACTCTTCCTCTCTCTCTCACGCGCCGTGCGGGGGAGGACGCGGCGGCGGCGTGCGGGCGGTGGCGGAGCGCCGGGGAGGACGCGGCGGCGGCGGGCGGCGCCGACGAGGGGGGATGAGGAGGACGACGACGAGGATGGAGCACACGGCGGCGGCGCCTCTCGGCGGCGTGCGCGCGGGGAGGACGAGGGCGGCGGGACGGCCGGCGTCAAGGCCCCCTCCGCCCCGCCGCTCCGACGGCGCCTCCACCTCCACCGCTGGCCAGCTCGTGGGGGGATGAGGAGGACGACGACAAGGATGGAGCACACGGCGGCTGCGCCTCTCGGCGGCGTGCGCGCGGGGAGGACGAGGGCGGCGGGACGGCCGGCGTCGAGGCCCCCTCCGCCGCGCCGCTCCGACGGTGCCCCCACCTCCACCACTGGCCAACTCGTGGGGGGATGAGGAGGACGACGACAAGGATGGAATGCACGGCGGCGCGCCTCTCGACGGCGTGCGCGCGGGGAGGACGAGGGCGGCGGGACGGCCGGCGTCGAGGCCTCGGCCTCCGCGCCCGCCCGCCTCCGGCCACCGCCCCCGCAACGCCCGTAGCCATCCCCACCGCCGGCCGCCCATCGGCGTCCGCTCCTTGCCCGCCCGCAACCCGCCGCCGCCTCCGCGCCCGCTTGCCGGCGTCGGCGTCGGCTCCTCGGTCCTCGCCTGCCCGCCTTCGGCTTCCGCCCCCGCAACGCCCGCAGCCATCCCCGCCGCCGGCCGCTCGTCGGCGTCCGCTCCTCCCCCGCCCGCAGCCCGCCGCCGCCTCCGCGCCCGCCCGCCGGCATTCTCCCCGGCGCTCTGCCATCGCCCGCCCGCCACCACCGCGTCCTCCCCGGCGCTCCGCCACCGCCCGCACGCCGCCGCGGCGTCCTTCCCCGCACGACGCGTTTGAGAGAGAGAGAGAGAGTGAGAGAGAGAAGAGAGAGAAAGAGAGGATGAGGAGATGACAGGTGGGTTCCATATTTTTTAATAAATAGAGTGCTGACTGGACTGCCACGCGTACGTCACGTGGATCAAAACCACCGCGGATTGGGTCGAGGGGGATAATTTGTCCGGTTTGCATAGTTGGGGGTGAAGAATACCCGGTTTTGTGGTTCGGGGGGTAATTCAGACGGCCGTGATAGTTCGCGCTCGGGGGGGGGGGGGGGTAATTCGTACTTTTTCCTTTATTGTATTTGTGACTTACTTTATTATCTACAGTACTTTAAACATAATTTTTTAATTTTTATATTTGCAAAATTTTCTTGAATAAGACGAGTGGCTAAACGTTGCAAATAAAAACTCAAAACTAGTAATTGTGTTACGTGTTGTTCGTGTGCTGTGTTTCGGTACCTGCATAAATCACCGATCAACGGTGTATTGTTAAGTGATCAACAAGTTCATGATGAAAAAAACCGACAGTAATAGTGGCATCGGTATCAAAGTGAAAGAAACATCGATAACACTAAGTCACAATATTTGTTAACGATATTTAAGCCAAAACTTTACATTCTCTATAAATTGCTCACGGGTATCATCACCACCAAACTGTCATAACTCATAATTATAATGTATTAGCATACCAATGAATTTTGATCGTCCAGGTTACCGACCAGTCGTTTTTTTTAGCTTACCTATGTTAGTTGTCATCTTGTTACATCATATACGTCTCTCTATTCAAAAGAGATAATAGAATGTACTCCAATTTTACTTTCATCCTAAACATTTATTGCAATTATATATCCCACTTTATAACTGGCTTTATATATAGGCACAAACTCTAGCAATTTATATGTTCAGTGCAACAAATTAATTAGGAAATATGGGGGGTGCAGTGGCAACAATCCGGAAGTTCCTACGTACAATAGCGACCTAGGGTGATAGCAGCTTCTTGCGGTTTCGTTGCTTGTTTTCCACTTGCATCAGTTGTCACATGTCTCTTTTGGAATTAAACCCCAAGAGATTTTTGGATGAGCTGTGGTCATATAAGAGAATCTCGATTTGCATGATGAACGTTCCACACCACTTGTTGGCGGTGAGCCGGTGAGAAACGGGTCTTGGTGATGCTTCGGTAGAAGCATGCATGCGTGCGAGATAATCGGTTGGATTGCGGTGGTGGCGACTGGCGAGCACAGATAGATTTGCTAAAACCTTTCTGAAATGTATTTTCAGATAGGTAATCCCTCCGTATTTTAATGTATGACGCCGTTGACTTTTTAATCAATGTTTGACCATTTGTTTTATTTAAAATTTTTGTGTAAATATAAAAATATTTATATCATGCTTAAAGAACATTTGATGTTAAATCAAGTCACGGTATAATAAATGATAATAACATAAATTTTTTAAATAAGACGAATGATCAAACATTGGTTAAAAAGTCAACAGCGTAATACATTAAAATACGGAGGGAATACTTTTTTTTTCCCTTATTATCCTTATTGGCTTGACACAGGGCAATATCGTCTAAATATATATTGTGCTGAAGAGTAGACAAGTGGTCATTTGGAGTAAATTGCATACGGCGGATCTACGACTATGATGTATGCGAGTTTGGACTAAAAAACAAAGTATTCGATGCAACTTATCTAAGAAGGATTGTTTTCATGCCAGGCTCGACTAGATCATGAAACATCCGAAGCACCGGAATGCCCCCATCCACTAGCTTTATCGGATTATTAGCCCTTTGAAATGGATGACTAGACAGATTGTGGAAGATTGATTATAGGGTGAAATATATTATATATTATATAGCTAACAATAGCTTAAATCAAGTTGTTTAAGTAACACTGATGTAAAAAAGTTTTTGGCAAAATTATTCTTTTGGAAGTGTGGCACAGATAATCATCACATAATACACGCTTTCCAGACTAATAAAGGTAAATTTTGTAATATATAAAAAAACTTTCTATATAGTTTTTTTTTCTAAAAAACAATCAAATAAAGCTAATTTTAAATTTATAACCTTATATATTTAATTAATCATATGTTAATGATTTGTCTCGTTTCACATGCATGTGCTTGGCAGTGGCAGAGCCGGGAGGAGCAGAGGAAGGCCTGGCCTCCCCCAACAAATTGCAAATTTCCAAGTACATCTAGTTAATCACAAGATCAAGTAAGCATTAATGCTAGCTGCCCTGAGTCTTTGGGCCTTTGTCTCAAAGGCCATTGGTTGTGAAATTTATGCTAGCTGCCTAGTACATATGGATGGGTGTGGAACACTGGAACAATCAAGTTTGATGGCTCCAATCATGAATTTGATTACTTAAGTCCTAACTGTCTTGTTATACATAGTTCATTGTGAAAAATCTTCACATTGCTAAATGATTGGCTTAAACATGATTAGTTTGTATTGTTAAATTGTCAAAATATAGGGTATATATTAATATAAAATTACTACTGTTAAATTGTTAAATTATCATATTACTACAACAATTAAGTATTATTATTACTCAACAAGTCGGCCCCCTCACATGTTAAAATTCTAGCTTAGCTAATCCGAGACGCTGAACTGAAAGCTACCTAACAAGTCTACTTGTTCAGTGCATTCAGCGTATGTAACCGAGCAGTCATCTCACTTGAAAACGAAATTGTTGGTAGTTCATAATTAATGAGAGACATGAGACGTGGTCAGCACAACTTTTCGATAGAGATATGAATAAATGATGCTAATAAAAATTTGTATCAGTAAGCCTGATAGCAATACGAACAAATGACACTACGAAAAAGTTGTATCATATCGAATCCTCATAGTGGTACATAGGTCCCCTTTGTTTCATCTTCAATTTAGTAGAAAAAATATCCGTGCGTTACAACGGGTTAAAAGGAATTTTAATCTTACATATTACTTAATTCCGTAAGATATTCTACTCTAGAAAGGAAGCTCAAGGTTGACGAAAAGGAGCTGACCATTATTTGCTCTATGAAAATAGGAGCCCTGCTATGATTTTTGCATGCATGCACAACCTATACGTATGAGTGCATTTATAACAACCAATTAGACAGTTAAGTCTTTCTTATTATGAAAATAGATGGATAATAGAAATACAAATTTTATGTGAAAATCCTGATGGGAAAAAAACCATGTGCGTCGACCGGCAAATATCAGTATAGAGGAGTTAGATATAAACGTAAGAGATACATTGGGTTGCTGCACCGTTTCCGTGCAGCATAAAAGAGATATATAAAGGAAAATCTAGGAGTCCTAATATGCAAACGCTCAAAGTCCTATTTGGAAACTAATCCTGTAATACAAAGTGTTATTATGTAACTAACCCAAATATATTGTATGCTGAAATTCGGATAACATATTTAACAATCTTTGTCGGAGATATGGGCTCGGGGGTATGTGAGGTGAGGGGAATCTACCTTCCCATCCTGCCACGTGTCCCTACAGCCTGGTCCTATCCCCGCATTCCGCGAATCGCAGGAGCGGCCGGGATGGCGAGGGGCCTCGGGGTGCCACGTCATGCCCCTCGGGCCCTTGCGCCGCTTTGCCCCGAGGCCCTCGCCTAGCCGCCATTTGGCGGGGGGAGCAAGCGAGGAGGGGGCCCAGGTTGAACCCCCTTTAATGCGCGCAGCCCCCCAACTGCCCCCTGTCGCATTTAATGCAGTGGGGCAGACGTGCGGCGTGCCCATCTGGCGCGTGATGGTTAAGAATGACCGGTCTGTGACTGGCCTGACGCCGGTCACGTCTGACTGGACGGACAACCGTGCTCCCACGTCGCATCTGCTACCGGC